ATACAGAACTATTGTGATTAATTTGTCATTCGCATACACACCAAGCATGCAAATTAAGCAAATTAAAGTTGGATTTCAAGATTTTCTTGGCTTGTAGTATTCTTGCCAAAGCTACTGTTTGGAATTCCAAATCCAACCTACAACATATTGAACACATTAAAACTAAAGAGGTAAAAGGATTACGTACAAGTGATTATGCTATCTAATCATAGATATCTTGTATGATATATTGTCGAACTATCAATTTGGGCCTTAAAATTAAAAAGATTTTATTTCAATAATTCAAATTGATAATGTGGACACAAGATAATTTTATGAGTGAAATATGAATCTAGCGATTTATTATAATTTTTCTTATGCATGCATGTGTGTGTTGTCTCTCACATCGATAAATAATAAGAATAGGTGTAACAGGTCAAGGGTGAATAAAATTCATGAGGTGCATACCATGTATGCTAAAGAGAAAAAGATTCCAAATTCTCCCAAACTGGTATATCAGTAACTACATGCAAAGAGGTAAAAATATTGACAGCAAATTATAGTAATTTGTAGACCTATAACCCAACACGTTTCCAAGTAATGCTAGATGACTACCTTTTTAGACCAAAAGCAATATTAAAATACATTATGTGACAGATGAGGTATACTTCCCAAAAATTATTATGGCCAATATATTGGTAATTGCCAGTACTCATACGACACATATCGTGGTTCACCCATCAGATCCAAAAATATGATTTTTTACCATAAAAGTGAATTTCTATGTATAAACCCTAATATATACCCGGTCCCCTTCCCTGATCTCTATCTCAAACAATATAAACAACCCCATTTGTCTCAATCTCTATCTCTTTGCTTAGTGATTAGATTTTAATAATCATCAAAAGAGCTTTCTTTGCTTGATTTTAGCCATGGTGAGGAAGAGCAAAGGTAGGCAAAAGGTGGAGATGGTCAAGATGGCCAATGAGAGCAACCTCCAAGTGACCTTCTCAAAGCGCAGGTCTGGTCTCTTCAAGAAGGCCAGTGAGCTTTGCACTTTGTGTGGTGCTGAGGTGGCCATCATCGTCTTCTCCCCGGGGCGAAAGGTCTTTTCCTTTGGTCACCCCTGCGTGGAGACTCTCATTGATCGGTACCTCTCCCGAAACCCGCCTCATCACCATCACCACCAAAACTCCGGCACAATGCAGCTCATTGAGGCTCACCGCAATGCCAATGTGCGTGAGCTCAACGGCGAGTTGACTCAGATCTCGAATCAACTCGAGGTTGAGAAGAAGCGTGGGGATGAGCTGAACCAGGTGAAGAAGGTGACTCAGGCTCAGTGCTGGTGGGAGGGGCCATTGGAAGGGATGGAGATGTCACAGCTGGAGCAGCTCAAGACCTCTCTTGAGGAGCTGAAGAAGAATGTGGCCAGACAGGCTGATAGGGTTTTGATTCAAAACACAAACCCTAGCCAATTCTTTGTGGGGAGTAGTTCCAGTCATCCCAATGTTGGGTTCAATGGAAATCATGTTATGCCTCCTCATCTTCCCCCCCATGCCTGGAATCCTGGATATGGACGCTTCTTCTGAAGATTGATCTCTCCAGGATGATGTCGATGATGATGATGCTGATATTAATTACTTATTAGCCACAGCCACAGTTTTTACTTTCCATATTTTGTTATCTATATATGTACTTGTTATTGTGTGTTTAATTTCTGTTGTTTGGTATATGGTCATAATCCATATATATGCATGTGTCATGTTTGTTTTACTATTATTTTGTTATCTATATATGTACTTTGTTCACTTCTTTTGCGTATATGAAGACATCCTTGCTAAGGGAATCAATATTTTTACTTATCCCAATTCTTCTAACCCTTCTCTTTTAGACTAACTTATATATTTGATTCACTTTTAACTAAAGGAAATTGGAAACTACCACTTTCTATGTACCTTGAAGCACCCAATATTCTTTGAAGAATATAATAATGCTATAATATAGTACATCAAAATAAAATTCTAAAATTTTAGATACGTAATCAACTCTACTGATTCGATAACATTTTAATCATACGTTTAAATTTCACCTAGTTAATTTTTAACAACTAATACATTGTCAGAAATCATTGTTCAAATCATTTGGTGATATTATATATACAAGGACATGCATTTTAGGTTGTTATATACTGTCAATTTACGGGGCGAGACGAGGGTGAGTTGTTAGTGATAACATGAGAAGATTTTCTTTTTCTATACAATCTGGCATGCATGCTATGTTGTTTGAATGTTTATTTGTTCACTGACATATTTACATCCGGTATATAAATGGAAATTAGACGCGGGGAGAGAGGGGTTGGGTTGCTGGACTGTGATAACATAAGAGATTTATCTTGTTAGATAGTTTGGCATGATATGTGAGACTGTTAATTTGGACCAATTATAGGTAAAACTTGATCAATGTATAATACAATTTCACAGTATGGTATATAAATGATAACTAGAGGTAGGGGGAAGAATTGCCAGATTGTGATAATATGGGAGATTTTATCTTGCTGGACAGTTTGGCATGCTATATATGCTATGTATCAACCTATTAATTTAGACCATGAATAGGTAACTTGTCCAGTGTATGATACAGAATCATAGTTTGGCAACATTATATGCAGGAAATTATGGGCTAGGTGTTTCCGAATTGTAATAATTGTAACTGAAGAAATTTTCTCTTGCTAGATTGAATCTCTATATCATATTACATAGACAAATTGTCAATTTGGATAATTCCTAAGTGAAAGCATGTTTTGAATGTATTTGGATGTCATGGGTTAGTATGGGGCTGAGTTTGCCATACCCCATCCTGATCTCTACCACGTACATACTCTGAAATGACAAAGATTTCACGTGTTTTCTCAAACTAATAACATTATAAAAAAAAACTGCCACCTATATTACAGCATGTGAATTAGTAATACCACGTAGGTGTGATCATCAACAAAAAATAAAATAAATAAATCAATGTCATTAACTTGTTGATAATTCTTTTCTTCATGACACACATCTCATTATAAGGGTTGGACCACATGGGATCCTATTTGACATTAAAAAAAAAAATTTGGTATCCTTATTAATGTGACTAAAGTATCGAATGGGTTCAGATCCTTTGCTTTGATTTTCTCTGCTATGATCTGCTTTACTTTTGCCCTCCATCTGCCACCTCATTAAAATTTAATCTAACGAATTTAAAGTTATACACATCGATTCCTTAAAACAAAAACCTAATTTACTCATAATGAAAAGAGTTTTTTTATTTAAACTCCACAATTTCTTTGTTCACTCCAATACTTTAATTATTAAACTCTTAAGTTTTATTATTGTGTAAAAAGACAAAAAAGTCATTCAACTTAATACTTAACCCTAGTACATCTATGCTCATTTTCAGAAGCTTTGATCTCCTTTTCTTCAGGAAGCAATATAGAAGATGGTATTTGAAGTTGCTCTTTTGATATCCTTTCATGGACTATCTAATAAACAATGATCTCATATTTGGAAACTATGTCAGTGCTTTGAGAATCAACTTTAGACACTGTTTCAAAGGTTTCTTTGATTTCTTCTTTAGTTTCGCGAACATTCAACTCTTCTGGAGCCAATTCAGAAACTTTGAGCTCCCTGGGCTCTTCCTTGTGCAAGATTGTCTGTTCTACTGACCTCGCAACAAATAAATCTCCCCCATTTTCATCGACTGTCCTTTTTATTTTCTTGGCAACAATGTTTTTATCTCTTTAATTTTCTGTTGGGTGTGTATTTAGGGGTAATTTGGGAAGATAGTGGGGTTTTCTTAGAAATTGTGAAAATTTGAATTAGAAGTTGGGGTGAACTTAGAATATGGGGTGAACAAAGAGAAGTGCGGGGTTTAAATAGAAAAACTCTAATGAAAATGCCCTAACTCTGTTAACGGAAAACTTAACTTGCTGTATCAGTTTGTTTTTGTTTTTCCTTATTCTTTTCTCTGCTTTTTCGTTATGTAGCCGTTCTTCTTTTTATTTTTCCTTTTTTGCCTTCTTCCTTTCTCTGCTAATTCACCCTCCAAAACCTTATCTCTCATCAAGCTTTCTTGGCTGAGGAGTCTAAAATATATAAATCTAATAGCACGCCTTTTTGCTCCAAGTCTATGTTAACATTTGTATTCCCTTATTTGACATGGATGTCCAGTGAACCGTTTTTTGAAACCACTTTCACTATCTCAATTGACATATGGGAAGAGAAGTGTTTTTTGTTTTTTAATAGGGGGAAAAAGAAAAGATGTTGATGTTCAAATATATGTGATATGCAGAGGTTTTGGAGGGAAGGAAAACTAGTTGATAGGTAAGATTTTGGGGAACGGGTGGGGAACAGAGAAAGGACGAATGAAAATAAAAAGTACTAGATGACGTTAACTTTCTTGGTAGCATAGTTAGGGCCTTTTTTTCTCTTTTAATTAGAAGTAAATTAGGTTTTTTGTTTTAAGAATGATGTGTCAATTTTCAATCCCTTAGATTAAATTTTTAATGAGGTGGCGTATGGAAGACAAAAGTAAAGTAGATCATAGCAAAGAAATTCAAAGCAGAGAATCCGGATCCATATCGAATAGAATACCATATCATTTTAGAGTGAACACCCGTATGGCGGTGATTCTTGTTGACTTACCAAAAGTCATATAGTTTTCTATATTATGTCAATGATCAAGAGGTTATTATTTTCATAGTAATTATAAATTAAGTGAGTAGAGATTTATAACTTCCAAAAGATCTTGGATTAATCATATACGGTACTAGTGTCAATAGGGCATTAAGGCCTCATTGAACAATACAATAATATGCTAACATAAGTGCTATTTAAGTGAATTAATCGTAAATAACCCTATAAATACATATGTTTTATCCCTCCCCAACCATCACAAGTAATATTGGACAGGATCAAAACAAAGCTAAGCATTCGGTGTCTATCTATCCCCTCTTCTCTTTAATCATCCTCCAAATTCCTACAATGGTGATGAAGATCAAGAAAGCTAGCCAAGGTCGCCAAAAGATTGCAATTGCCAAAATTGAAAAGAGAAGCAATTTACAAGTCACATTCTCAAAACGTCGTTCAGGGCTCTTCAAGAAGGCCAGTGAGCTATGCACACTTTGTGGGGTTGAGATTGCAATCATAGTCTTCTCTCCTGCCAACAAGCCCTTCTCCTTTGGCCACCCCGAGGTTGACTCCATCATTGACCGCTTCATTGCTCGGAACCCTAACCCTAATCCCCTAGGCCTAGCATGGTCTACAGACACCACTCAACAGCTTGCTGAGGCTCACAGGAATTCTAATGTTCATGAGCTTAACAAGCAGCTAACCCAGATTGTGAATCAGTTGGAGGCTGAGAGAAAACAAGGAGAAGCACTTGATAAAATGAGCAAAGCTAGTCAAAACCAGTGTTGGTGGGAAATGCCAGTTGATGAACTTGGATTGCATGAGCTTCAGATATTGAAGGCCTCAGTTGAGGAGCTCAATAGGAATGTGAATAAACAAGCCAACAGGATTTTGATGGAGTCTAGTTACCCAAGTGCTGCTGCTAATTATTCTTCATCACCCTTGTCTATGATGAAAAATATTGGTGGTTTAGTTCAACGTGATATCGATGATCATTATCGTTTCGAGAGCAAAAACCCTACTGATCAGATTGAACCTGCCTATAATTTTGGTTATGCTGGCCATGGTCTTTTTTGAGTTTTTTCTTGTTTTGATCTTCTTTGATTTCTCATGAAGGGAGTTACAAGCTAGCACCTTGCTACTTAATTATTATTGTCTCTTTCTTTATGGTTTGTAATTATAAATAATCAATAATTAATGGACAATGTTTAACCAGATATTTCACTAAAATTAGGAAATAATACACTCATAATGTTGAAGGAGGACATGCTTTTAAAAGCATAGGGTTCCCTCAATCATTTAAATGGGATGATTATTATAATTAAATCCTTCATAAACACAATTAACTAGTAATTATATCTAAACACAACACAATTAAATCCTTGGTTTTTTCCTCCTGTCTCAAATTTCTGTGTTTAATGTGATCGACCATAACGGTAAAAGAGATAAAATGAGGTAAGTAAATGAAAGTAGTGGGTTGAAACATAAGTTTTATTTCTTTTCTTTTTTTGGGAGAGAACATAAGTTTTTTTATTTTTTCTGTTTTTTTTTCAGTACAAGTCATAGATTACAGGAGATAAAAATTTCTCACACACACACACAACTATGATGTCGTGGGGAAAAAGTTATGTTTTTCATATAAGAATCGACAAAGAGAATTCTCCTTATAAAGTGGATTTTCCAATATATTTATATGCTAACTTCCATAATTAACTTTTACGATTGATCAACCATACGAATCCAAAATCTCCAAATACTACATCTCCATCCATCGTATCTAGACCATGAAATCACTTCTAAATTAAATTATTTTTTTCTTCTGGTTTTGCCGAAATTTCTAAACCCGGTTTTTTTTCCTTGATAAAACAAGCGGATGTATATGTCTGGTTTTTTTTTGTTTTTTGTTTTTTGTTTTTTGTTTTTTTCTGAAGTGCAACTTGTGGGCTATTAAATCACTGGTTTGGATGTACTTATGGGCCAAGTTTTGCCCACCAAGTTGGCCCAGGTCATTTGCTGCAAAAATAATGGATTACTGGGATAGATCTCACTTCCAAACAGCTAAAAGCAAACCACTTTATTCATGAATGACATCTCTCCAAGACGATTATCTTAATTAGGAAAAGAACTTCTGTACAATGAGAATGCCACTGTGGCGTTATTTTAAGCCAATAACACACTACTATGTGAGAGTTTTTTTAGAGAACTTCAACGGATCGAGAGATTAATGCGTGATTAATTTGTGATACCGCGAAAATGACATCTTCAATGTAGGTTGTTTCTTTCCTTCATTTCGAGAGGACATGCCAAGTATTACTTTGTTATATGTCAATAACAATCTCAAATATGATTGTAGTATCACAGTGCGCTCACTTACATTTTACAAATAATAATAATAATAATAATAAAATGACAAGTTACATAGAATTAACATTCAAAGTAACACCTTACTGTGATTTGAGAAATTACGTAACAAGATTAATAGACACATAATTATATAAACATACAATCCACAATGGAAATTTTTTTCTCTCGTTGGAGAAGGTCCACACACATTCTTAAAAAATATATAATTATCTTCCATCAAACAAATAAAATTAATATTATCTCAACATAAAATTGCCACTTGAGAATTAGCATCCACATCACTACACCAAGCCATGCCCCAATTTGTTTACGAGTGTAGTAAATACAGCCGAAATGGACATTTTTTTTTTCCTTTCTTTTTGGTGAAAATGGATGAATTTGTTATGTTCTATCGTTCTGTCTCACTTTTTTTTTATTTATCAAATTGTGTCGCATATATTTGTTTAGAAAACTACTTCCCTACATTCCTTTGTAAATAAGAGCTCATACGTTACTATCAATAACAGTGTGTATAAAATTTTCTTTTAATATTTTTGATAAATTACTTTTATACATACATCAAACTGTAATTGCGAAAAAGCAAGCAGTATCCATTTATTTATGCTTATGTTCCTCCCAAACATAAAAAGCTAGACTAGATCCTTGGCTGAAATGACTGTAAATTAAATAATAAATAATTCTCTTTAAAAAAAATTATATTCTGGAAAAATTAACAAGTCTGCACGTGAAACATTTAGGGCCTGTCTGGTAACGTTTTCGGAGAATGTTTTCTGAGAGTATTTTCAGAGAATGAAAACAAGAAAACAAATTTGCATTTTCAGGAAATGAAAATGCGTCTGGTAAATTAATTAGAAAACATCTTTAGAAAACAAAAACAATGAAAACGTGTCTGGTAGTACAATTGTTTTTCAGATTTATTTTTGCTAATTTCAGTTCTATTTTTTTTTAATTATGATATTTTTATAGGCTAAAATTATTATAAACAATGAAAAAAATTAAAGCACAAAAACTATCTTATCTCCTTTCTTTTTTCTTTCTTTTTTTCTTCTTTTTCTCCTTTTCTCTCTTTCCTCCTCTTTTCTTCTTCTTTTGCTTCGCAAGTCTGTTTCTCTTTTTTTTCATGTTTCCTTCTTTCTTCCCCTTTTCTTCTTCCTTTCCTTCCCAGGCTGCACCCATTCTTCCTTCCTTCCGTGACATGAATCCCATATGCCCACCCATCTCTCTCTCTCTCTCTCTCTCGTTCCACTAATTAATGGTTGTGGTGGTTTGATTGGGTGATTATGGTGGTTGAGCTGGGTATGCGGTGGTTCTTCTTCCTGTCTCTGTTTTTCTTTTCTTTTCTTCTTCCTCTGTATTTTTTTTTCTTAGTTCTCAGATTTGTGTTATTTTGGGTCGGAGAAGATGGGTGTTGTTCCTGTTGGTGGGTTTATCAGTTGTCAAGAGAAAGAGCTAGAGTTGTTGATGGGATGCATTCTTGTGTCTTCAGAAAACACTGAAAACGAAATCACTGAAAACAACTTTTTTTTCGTTTTCAACTTTTGTTCACAAAGTCAGATTTGTTTTCAGAAAACGTTTTGTGAGGGAAAACGAAAACGATGCACCGAACGTGTATTTGTGAAAAACAGGAAACAAAAACAGAAAACAGGCTCTAAAAACATTAGCATCCAATGTTTATGCTGCCAGCAAATTGAAAATAAAGTTCCCTTATTATTATAGATCAGATCCGATACTGACAAATATCTGAGGTGGCATCTATCATCGTCACGCGATCAGTGGGTAGCCGATTTAAAATCCCAGCCCAGCCCAACCCAGCCCACAGTTTTTTTAAATCAATCATTTAACTTACATTGGACCATCCGTGGGACCCACTTTTGATGTGGTTGGTCAGAATAGCGTCCACCCTCGGTCCTCTCTGGCGCCACATAATTCGGGCACAGCTGTCCGCTGGTTGGAGCCCCGACAGGCCTCCAACGGATCGCCCTGTAGTGCATTATTTCATAACAATTTCCAAAGCTGGCGAGCCCCATTTGGATCCGTACGCCCGAACCCACAAACCGACAAGGGGTCCGAATATTTTTTTAGTTTTCTTTTTCCTTTTTAGTTTTTTATAATTTATGACTTGGATGCTGCCTCCGCTGGCAAATTGAAATATACATGGTACGTGCGCATTGTGATCCAGCACGCATGCTCATACGTTATTTAAATGGGGTCCAACTTGTCTGCGGCTGTGTTTGTGTGAGTGTCTGTGAGCCCGCTATATGACTGCGACATATGTCTGCCCAGTCATATTTTCATTCAAGTTAGTCTAATTTTCAATATTAAAAATAATTTTATAAAATGTTTTTATTTGTAAAATATTTTTTATTTTTACAACATTTATTTATGATTTATGATTTATTATTCTTATTTTTTAGGATGGTCACTGTATACTAACATATATGTAAGTACTCAAGTAAAATCGTCATTGGAATGTCACCGATATAAAATGTTATAAACTACGTTGTATTTGTTAACAAATGTATTGCCTTAATGACCTGAATAATTAACGTAAGTTTACCGAAGTAATATTAGTCTAAATTGTATGCAAGTTTTTAAAGTTAAACTTCCTTAGAACTTCGTCGTTAGTATGAAATTATAAATTAATTTGTGCTTCGCAATCAATATTCTTATCATACATGACATAAACATCCAAGGTGATATAATGTTATAATTCTTTCATTTCATAAGTTAATAAATATTTTCAACATGTGTAACCTATCCATATTGAATGAGACAACAAAGATATACATTATTTTAAGAAAATATATTATCATAGGTAACTTAAACAATTATCGTAAATTTTGCAAAACATATTAATCTACAATTAAGAACTGATGCATACATATAAAGTCTCCAAAACTAGACCCATGAGAAATGGGCAATGTACATTGACAATGTAGAAGTTAACATATATGTTATTTTTTTTCTTTATCAGGTTTATTCTCATATTCGCAGAATTATTCTTTGAAAACCACAATAGTATTGTGAAAACACAATGCTCTTACCAAAATTTTAATAAAATGGTTTTTATCGAGCAATTATTCTACCTAGATTATATCCCATAAAACTCCTGCTATAATATGGTCTTAACTTTAGTTTGCATAAAATTAGTTTAGTAATTTGTTTTGTAATTACTATAAAAATTTATTTAAATCTTAATAGGAAAATTAAAAGAACAAAAAAGAAAAGAGAGTGCAAATTGAGGTCATTGAGGTCGGTCGCAGTATATCTCTACACATATGCAAAGTGCTCTAGCTGTGTTTACAGCCTGTTTCACCTTCATATCTCTATCTTCCGCTTTCAGTCTTCCTACTCTCTCTCTCTCTCTCCCCCTTATATTCCTCTTCCCACCCAACCCAACCATCAAAACTATCGAACTCCCAAATCAGAACCAGACAAACGCCAAAAAGACTTCAATGGATCCGTGCCCATTTGTACGGATCCTAGTCGGAGACTTGACCGTTAAGTATCCCACGGCATCCAGGCCATCCTCCGCCACCGTCCACCCGTCGTCGTCCCCTTGCTTTTGCAAGATCAAACTCACCAACTTCCCCCACCAATCCTCTACAGTCCCTCTGATCCTAAGCAACGGTCAAAACCTAGATACGACGACCTACGATCACTCCCTCTCCGCCTGCTTCAATTTGAACAAAACCCAAATCGAAAGCTTAGCCTCCAAGCGGCCCTGTTTGAAGCTTTCGATCTACACGGGTGGGGTCGGCGCCACGTGCGGGTTACACAGCGGGAAATTGTTAGGTCGGGTTATAGTGCCGTTGTCGGAGCTGGGTTTGGCGGAGTCCAGACCCGTCGTGTATCAGAACGGGTGGGTCGCCATTGGAGGAGGGAAGAAGAATGGCAGTGGGTCCTCGTCGGCGCAGTTGTTTTTGAGCGTCCGGGCGGAACCCGACCCGAGATTCGTTTTCCAGTTCGACGGCGAGCCCGAGTGTAGCCCGCAGGTTTTTCAAGTGCAAGGGAATGTGAAGCAGCCGGTGTTCACTTGCAAGTTTGGGTTCAGAGATATGCAATCGAGGTTAGTTTATTTCACTTCTTTCACTCTCGTTTACCGTGTTGGTTGCCGAGAAAATCACTCAATTCCCCTGCTTGAAATTAATTGATTTTTCAAAACGGCAAACAAATCTATCGTCGCGAAGTCAAAATTTTCCCCTGTTACTAATTTCTTTTTTTATTCGATTTGTTTCAACAGGTCAATATCTTCAGAGCCAGGCACACCGAGAAATTGGCTGCCTTTTGGTGGGGCCCACAAGGAGCAAAGCGCGAAGGAGCGAAAAGGGTGGTCCATTACGATCCACGACCTGTCCGGCTCGCCGGTGGCGGCGGCTTCCATGGTGACGCCGTTCGTGGCCTCGCCCGGCTCACACTGCGTAAGCCGGTCCAACCCTGGGGCGTGGCTCATCCTCCGACCGAACGAGGGCACGTGGCAACCGTGGGGCCGGCTCGAGTCGTGGCTCGAGCGCGGCGGGTCCGACACGGTCGGCTACAGGTTCGAGCTCCAGAACACGACGCTCGCGAACTCGACGCTCGGCGCGAAAACTGGCGGGAAATTCTCGATCGACCTGACGTCGAGCCTCACTCCAGCGAACAGCCCTCACAGCAGCTTCGACTTCGGGTCCGGAACGGGGTCGAGACCGGGATCAGGATCAGGGTCGGACTTCGGGTTCGGGTTATTCCCACAGTTGATTCAGAGAGGGTTTGTGATGTCGTCGACGGTGGAGGGCGTCGGAAAGTGTAGCAAGCCGGAGGTGGAGGTCGGGGTGCAGCACGTGACCTGCACGGAGGACGCGGCTGCTTACGTGGCATTGGCAGCGGCGATGGATCTGAGCATGGATGCTTGCCGGCCGTTTTCTCGGAAGCTCCGGAAGGAGCTAAGGCAGCAGTAGATTCGGAAGGCGGGGTTCGTCGTTTCGTGGGGTAGGGTTCGTCGTTTTGTAGTTGGGTGGGCATTGGATTCGTTTTTTTGGCGATTAACTGCCAACACAGCATTTTTTAGCTGCCAATTTTATTATTATTTTTGTATAATTTTTTTCGGATGAGACTGTACAGTGAGGAATGAGTAGGCAGGATTTTAATTTTTAAATCAATTTTTTTTCTTGTGATTTGTGAATTCTTGTTGGGCTATTTTGTTAATACATGGTTTGAGTTTTTCTTGAGGAAGAATCCAATGTTGGTGGGAGTTTCACTAAAACATCCAAAATGGGAGTTGAAATTATAAAAAAACCCAAGCACTATTTAAACATATAAACACACCAAAAATCCATCATTACACACACTCAAAACCCATTTATAAACACACCCAAAAAGTTGATTTTGGGGTTGATTTTGGGTGTGTTTCTATGTTTAAATAGTGCTTGGGTTTTTTTATAAATACATGTTTAGGATTGGGTTTATTTATAAATTTGTATTATTATTATAATGCTTTGATGAGGTGGCACAGGTTCAAGTTCAGACTCTGTGCAGTGGATCATTATTAAGTACTTGATTATGTGGTTACTAGTACTACTTAGTTGTTGATTATGTGATTAGTACTACTTGATTGTGTATTATTGTGATTAGTACTACTACTTGGAGTTGTGTGTATTATTTGTGGGATTGGTGGCCTTATTGACAACCTGTGGATATTATGCTTGTGACAACTTTTTATTTTATTTTATAAACTTAGGAGTAGTCATGATTTTCTTTCTAGAAATTTCATGTTTATAAAGTTAAAAGTGTTAACGTAGTTGGTCTATACATATAGATTTGTTATAAAAACATAGGTAGAGAATAGTGAAATATTCAAAATGCTACAAAATGTCATTGTTTTTGTTTTTAGTACTACAAAATGTCATAGTTAATTTAAATACTAAGAAATGAAACTATTTATTAAATAAGTAAATTAACTGTATTTCATATTTTTAAAGAAGAAAACTGAAATTGAAAAAGAAAAAGAAATAAGAAAATAAGTTTTATTTTAATGAGACACAACTAGTCATTTTATCTTTTCCTAATTATGAAATAAATAAAAACAATTGACAAAGGGTTTAGTGTTATAAATCGGGTAAATATTTGATAACATGACACAAGCATAACATGAAATAAGTCAACGGATTCTAACTCAATGGAAAAAAGGTCTTGATTTGTAAATTAGCAGTCTCAAGTTTGATTCTGGTAGTGTGTGTGTGAGAAAATATCTCCATCTTGAACTATCATTTGTACTGAAAAAAAACATGAAATAAGTTTAGCGTTACTCAAGTAACAACACAAACATAACATGAAAATAAATACGTATAAAATTGGATTTTTATCGAACTTTAACCGATAAGATTTCATAATAATTGGAGAAAATTATTCTCGAAATGTCTTCCATTATCTTTGTTTTCCCTTTCTTTTTCTTAGTCATTATATGTCTTTCGAATTTGTAAGTCCAGCTAATTTAATATAAGAAAAAGGTGGCATCATTATTATCACCCATAAATTGCTCATCATTTTCCCCCTTCCCCTAATTGTCGTTATTTTGAAAAATATATTATTTCAGTTGAAAAAAGAGAGCAAATTATTCAATCCAGCTACTAATATTCCAAATGACCCCTAAAACCGGATTTTAGATAATATTCCATGGTGGAATAAAATAGTAATTATCAAAATTTCAAAAAAGAAAAAAAGAAAAAGGGTCAACAATTTGAGAGAGATAATGGCCGCCACTAAGCTATCCATCCAGCCCACAGACCTACGAGTTCCAACCCATTGGCGACCTTGGGTCGATCCATGGATACCGGGTCAGGTTAAAACCCAACAGACTGGTTCTCCATATGGGCACAAAGCTGACTTGCTTCTGCTGCGCTTGTTGGAACTTTCATTCTCGAGTCTGATTGATAGCTCGCACAAGTGAAGATGAAGGCGTTGAGTTGGTGGCTGATGCTGGTGGGTTCACTTCGTTTGGTCTCCGTTTGGTTCGGGTTCTTCGACATTTGGGCTCTCCGTCTCGCTGTCTTCTCTCAATCCCCCAGTACACTTCTTACCTCACTTCATTCTTTTGTTTCAGCTTTTACTCAATTTTGAATCAACTTCTTCGTATGGATCCTGTTTGGTTGCTAAGAAAAAAATTTGGGTTTGTTATTTCAAACTTGAAGAATGGAGAAAAACCCATTTCTATTTTTGTGGTTTGCTTCACTAAGAGTTACTTCTAAGAGAGCACATAGTGATCAATGTGGGAATTTGATAGGATATACAGTTGGAATTCTTGTATTCTTAATCTTGTAAGAAATTCAATGTGATTCTACCGATTGTGTCCAGATATAGATCCAAAAGAGCTGAACTTGTTTTCCTATTTCATCCATCAATAAATTCTTTTTCTTTGCAAATGCATAAATATGATAGGCTGATTTCACCTTCAGATTATATGAGATTTCACATAATATTAAGTGTTACTGTATTTGATGTCAATGTCATACAGAAGTGCATATCTCATCTTGAGAAATTACCCTAAAACTTGCTTTTTGTAATCAATGGGCATACTATCCTCCTAGGCCCTTACTTATATACAATTGTACACTATGCATTTAAAATTTAGAACTTGCTTCTCTGATATCAGGAGTTGCTTGTATCAGTATGGCATACTTGACCTAATGCTGCTCGTTGCTGGATCAACATTTTAAACTTTCTTTGTGGTTTGTCTTTGCCTTTAAGTCCATAACAGTGTGCTTCTAATATAGAATGAAGCATGTACAAAATGGAATTAGTCTATTAGATTTTTCTTTTTGTTTTTAATTTATACTGTTTTTCTGATTTTCATGTTTTGCATTTTTGATTCGTATTTTTATTTCCAGTGACTGAAGTTCATGGAAGGACATTTGGTGTATGGACTCTTCTTACTTGCACACTCTGCTATATTTGTGCTTTTAACCTTGAGAACAAGCCTCTCTACCTAGCTACCTTTCTATCATTTGTCTATGCACTTGGTCATTTCTTGACTGAATACCTAATATATCATACGATGGCCATTGCAAATCTCTCAACTGTCGGCTTCTTTGCAGGTATCAAATCAATTCACTTGGCTTCATTTTGAATCAATAGATGTATTCATCTTTCTCTTTTATATGCTACATGTTTCAAAGCACTTGAATGTGGCTGTTGACTTCTAAGCACCATGGTACAAGAATAAATATACTGAAAGTGAGGCTTCATGCGCTATTTGGGACAAAGGAAAAAATCTGTCAATATGATGATGCTTATCAGAAAAATGAAAGAATTAAATTGTCTATAATGATTATGATGATGCTAGCTTCATCTGAATCTCATAGCATAAGAATTGGAGAACTGTGTCTTCACATGCTATTGCGGAGTACCCCGGTTTAATTGGAATCAAATATATTCATCTTTCAACTGTTCACAAACGATTTGTATGCTATAACATCCGACTACAAATAGTTCTAAGTTTTTCTTTATAGTGACTAGCTATATATAATCATGGTGAACTTAGGAACCAATAATATTTGTAGTAAAAGAATTCTCTTGTGATCTTGACCAGGCACATCGATAATATGGATGTTGTTGCAGTGGAATGCACATCAACCTCAGCCTTCGTTAAAATCAGAATAAAGTGTCTGGTTGGTTCCTGCCTCAGCTTTCTCCACATATGTTGATGAAGCCCTTTCTTAAACCGTGATTTGTTCTCTGTAATTGTAATTGTAATTTTTGACAGCTGCTATTGCTATTGCACTGAAATTTGGCGTAAAATGTAAAAGTCTAACTCAACACTGTTGAACAGGCAACATTTTGAGTTGCTGACAATTTTTGAAATTAAGGTCCAAATTAGAGAAACAAAGATTGTCAATCCTTCATCATGTAACCATCAATTCAGTGCAATATTTTTTTTGGGTATAAGGGCAATAATGGAAAAATTCGTTTGTTTGAAGCACAAGGGTTTAGCTGGAGTACGACCTGTTGGGTTTCTGGATGAGTTTGAGGTCTTTATCCCAATAGGATGTGAAGTTTGGACCAAGTCTGAATTGGGTTCTTGTCAACTCAATGAAAATCATGTACCTTGTGACTCAACTCACAACTAATAAGAAGACACCAATTCAACCACCAAAACCAGATCTGCTGTCCACATCATACTCTATAAGATTCAGAATATGCTCACATTGGTGTAAAAATTGACAGATATTTATGCTAGACAACTCACAATCTCATCTCATCAATTGGGTTTGGCTGTCATGCAGCAATGTCATTTTCAAAACCAAATTAAAATTAAAAACTTAATATACAAGCAACATATAAAGGGCCTAAAACCTAACACAACTTCAATATAAGCATAGAATTTTCTTTGAGAGCTCATCTGTTTCGTATGGAGACTGCAATTTTCAGAGCTACAAGTTGCATTTTAGTCCACGATTGCCATGCTTACAAGTTTTTCGTTTTCTTTTTTGCACACAAGATTAGTCATTAGCCTAATTGATATGCCCAGCTTTACATTGCAGAAAACTTTAGAATGGTTTCAAGCATTTGAATGAATGCCAACACGGGTATACCCAGTTTTTGTTTATAGCGTTTAGAGAAACTGCGTTTTCCAGCAGGTCACAGGAAACTGCTTAACAGACAAGGGTTTAATTTAACATAAGGGAATAATAATAGATGCATGCTTTAGCATTATGAAAGGATAATAACACATGTGAGAGTTGCTTAGGAGACTAAACATTTTTCTTAAGCATCAATAGCAAAGCACAAACCATCCAATTAAACTCTCTCCACCAAAACAATTCGTTTTTTTTTTCCAATTCATATGACATCCAAAATTTCAACTTGGGTCATCAAACAATTCACTTCTCCTTTTTATGCATCATGAGCTTCTTCCCAAGAGCTTACAATATAAAGAAACAGCACATAAAACGAATACATGAAAAGAAAGATTAGGGTGGAAATAAACAGTACAGTGGAAGGTTGAATTTAGTTTTACAGATTGCACCTGCTGCTGATATAAACAAGCCTACATTTTAACTGCTATATTGATTTTCTAGCCACAGATTAAAATTCACACACACTAACCTAACTGCTTTTCATATCAAAAGCAAAGGCAAGCATGAAAATTGTAAGCACCAGAAGAACCCAAATACCACAATCATCATTCTGCTGCAGCCTCTCCATTCTCATCCCCCTCTGTTTTTATCTCTGGCAATGTATCCAGATCTGTGCGAGCCTCTTTCTCGGCTTCGGCAATATGGGAATCAGAAGAATCAATTGGATCATGCTGAACAACATCCTCCGTCACATTTGTGGGGTCTGAACCTTCATCTGTCCTGCCAGATTCACTGGTACCATTAGACTCTTCATTATGAGAGGCATCTGTGATCTCCTTGATTGTTGGAGAACTAGAACCATTCTCTGTTTCAGCTGTTCCATCAGATCTTAAGATATTTTCTGACACATCGGTCTCTACCTTTTTAGAGGAGTTAGATGATTCTCCCAATACCCCATCTGTGCTCTCAATTTTAGTAGAAATTGTTGAATTTGAGTCAGATTGGTTGTTCTGAGAAGCTGTGTTATTAGCCTGTTCCACAACCAAGGTTTGTATGGTCATGCCCTCTCCAGTAGTCGTCCCATCCAACGTTTCATTTTGAGAGTGAACTGACTCAGATACAGTTTCTGTTACGTTCTGCTGGTACGAATCAGTTGCCCCATTGATTTCTGTTGAGTTATTGCGTGCTTCTGGTAGAGCATTAGACTGTGTTTTCACCGTTGCATTCAAAAGTGAGCTATCCACAGGATTGGACATAGCATCATTAACTTTCTCTTCACTTGCAGTTACATTTAAAGAAGTACCATTTTCAGCCATTACACCATCAACCATTCGTGAATTGTCATTAGATTTTATATCCTTTTCTAGAGCACTAGCTTCTGAGTTCTCATTTGAGTTTTCGGCACTTACTTGGGTATCATGGGTCACTGCACTAGAAGCATCATCCCCTTTGTAATTTTCCTCTCGTGCTTCATGAGCATTGTTGTCATGGGTATCATTATCCTGATCATCCAATGAATTCTCATTTTCTGCTTGATGCTCTCTCTCTTCACTTTCATTCTTATCACCATCCTTCTCATTCCCCTCATCTTCTCTTTCTTTCTCTTCATCTACAATGTCCTCATCGTGATCTGCTTCCCCTTCTTTTTTCTCTTGCTCATTTTCATCTATCTCATCATCTCCAGCTCCTCTTCCCTCATCCTCTATATCTTCGTTCTTGGCTTCTTCCTCCTCTTGCTCTTCTGCCTCATGCTTCGGATCCTCTTCTTCTCGCTCGTCTACTTCATGTTTCTGATCCTCTTCTTCTCTCTCGTCTACTTCATGTTTCTGATCCTCTTCTTCTCGCTCTCCTACTTCATGTTTCTGATCCTCTTCTTCTCGCTCGTCTACTTCATGTTTCTGATCCTCTTCTTCTCGCACTTCTACTAAATGTTTCTCTTCTTCCTCTCCAGCTGTTTCTTCTTCCTCCTCTTCCTGTTGTTTCTCATTTTTAATGACTTCCTGGTGAGGAAGGTCTTTCCTCCCAAGTTTCAGAAGCTCACCATCACTCAAATTTTTGATTGAGGATTTTGCATTTTTCTCAGCTAATGCCGCCTTCTTATCATGGGAATGCTTGACCTGATAGATTAACCAAAAGCAGACCCCAAGCAGTAGACAAATCTGCAGAAAATGCTTCACCCTGACTCCTTTGGTTTTCTGGTTCCTACTATGAGTCCGCTTGATCATGATGTACTTCCCCTAGAGTACCCTACCCCTATCTTTACTACCTATTTGCAAACATTGCACGCGTCAGAAACCTGCCTATAATCCAAAATATAAAACTAATAAACTAAAAATATTACTCAACCTATTCAACTCAATCAAATTAAAAGTATTGAACACAAATCAAAGTTTCATCATATAAAAATTTAAAGCTGCATTTTAAAATAGAAGCAAACATTGTCAAAACATATTATTCCCAATTGATTTCTCAACTCTCACTGTGTCCCAAACTGAACGTTCGTTCTCAAATTCGATTAACATTCATAGAGAAGCCATTTGATTTGAGCATAAGACAGTAACGGCGTTAGAAATTGATCTGTTTTTCCTCATGCTTGGACATAAAAACACCACATTTATCCAAATACACTAAAATCATAACACAAAAGAGAAGAAATTCAGAACTAAGAAAATCCATTTTCTTCCTCATAGTTGTTGCTTTGCTTAAGAAACAAAATCTATTGCCAGAAACTTGGTGGAAAAAAAATGAAGAACAACAATAGTGAAGTTCCCATGGAAATCCTAATTGGATAATGAAGTAAAGCCACAAGCAAACCCTAGAACACCGCTCAATCTGAAAGATACTGAAATAAAATTGACCCACGAAACTTAAACCTAAAAAATCCCAACTTTATTGATCCACAAGCAAAACCCATCTCCAAAAATAGTAAATTGTGAGCACCAAAGAGCTCTGCAACAGTCATAGACACCAAAGATAGGAAATTTATACTAATCCAGAAATGAATAAAAGGCGTTACCGGTGAAAATAGAAAATGGGAATGAGCAAGGAGGAAAGGTGATGGAGGGGAAGGGGAAAGTACCTGAGAAGCAAAGCAGAAGGAGTCAACGTGCAGAGTGGGAAAGTAAAAGGCCAAGGCTTGTGGATGTCAAAGAAGTTTTCTGTCGCAGACTGAGGAAGAGATTGCGAGAGAGAGTGTCCGTGTTTTTCTATACCTCAGCGGGGGATGACCGGATCCAATTCCAATTAAGCTACTAGGAGCCAATAGGTAGTAATTAGTAATTGCCTTGTTTTCAGACCCAAAAGTGAAAAATAATGTGGTCATTTAATAACATTTTTTTTGGATTTGATATAATTTGAAATCAAATTTTACTCATGCCTAATCATTAAATTGATTTTTACCTAAATAAATTTGAAATTATTTTGTGTTGCGATAAATATTTAGAAAAAAAAAGGGTCTAATGGCAGCCAAATGGATGTTGGAAAATAATAACAAAAGAACCTGAGACTTGTTTTTGAGTTTTTTGGGCTCCATTGGATCGGCCCATTCTGTTTTCCTTTGCCGAAACCCAAAAATGCGGGCCCAATAATCTAAAGGTTGAATAACCAGAATACCCTTGCTTAATGACACTTGAGCTCTGTCTTTTACTAAGTTTCCCTTTCCGTCTCTAATTTGTTTAGTTAACTAGTTTTGATTATTAATTTAGTTTTATTTAATTAATTTAGTTATCTATATATATATATATAAAGTAAAAGGAAGAAAATGGTGAAACATTCAAAAACCCCGAAAATACCCTTTGTCAAAGAAAAAATTAAAAACACACTATTTTAATTAAGAGAGGATGAAATAGTAAAACACCACCGACTTAATAAAAATAAAAAGAAAAAGGAAAAAAGAGTCGTGCTGTGCTACCACAGGAGAAGGGTGAAGAACGGTTTAACCCACGAACAACGGTTGCCTAGAAAAAAAGAAGAATTGAAGAACGCATAGACAAATTAAAAAACAAATTGAAAAACCAACTCAAATCCGCTGCAGTTCATGTCAGTTTTAACACTTCCCACACGACCCAATATCCTCATGCCATTACACAGTAGTTCCTTTCAGTTTTTTTGCTTCAATGAATCTTCTTTTTGCAGAGCATCAAGATGTCAGGGGTATGAATCTCTCTCTCTCTCTCTCCCTCTAATTTTTGGTTCCTGATGGAATTTTGCTTCAATTTCTGCTCTTTGTTTAATTTATTTTTTTTCATGCGAAGCTTTAATGAGAAAGCATTTAGGTTTGATATGTTTACTATCTCTAATTTTTGATTATATATGCTCTTTCTCCAGAGCACCAATGAAGAGCATTTAGATTTGATGGGTTTGATGTGAATGGTATGAATCTCTCTCTCATTTTGGTTTTGGTTTTAGTTCTCTCTCATTTTGGTTTTGTTTTTGGTTCGCCAAATGGTTTTCTTTATTTTCATGTCAATGACTTTCTTTATTTTCCTGTCAATGACTTTAGTTTTTCTGTGCAAGGAAGACCTGTGAAGATACTCGGCAACAGGTTGGTTGACAATTAAATTCTTCAGTATGTTTTGGATTTTTAATTTTATTTACTCTCGATTTGATTTTGATTTTTAATTCTTTTCCCTTCTCCTCAAGTTTGATTGCATTGATTTTTTTTTTTTTTTTTTTTTTATGATGTTTCTCTTTATCTTTGAAACATGGCCTTGCGGTTTAATTTGATTATGCTAACACTATTCATCCATTCATGCCCTCCGTCTTCTTCCACACAATGAATTCCTCCACCTTTGTTGAATTTTATCTCTTTTCTTTTGTGTAAGAAGAAGCAGGGGAAGACTTCCCCTATATTAGAGTATCTACAAGATATTTATTATTATTTTTCTTTTTCAATTTTTCGATTTAATTAGTTTAATTCCTCCTTTGTATGCATCTAAGTGTGTTTTATGGGATTTTCTGCGTACTGTGTTGTTGGCAAACAGATATCTATTGCATTTTTAGAAAGGATGAAAGCTGACTTTAGAAAAAGATATGGTGTGGGTCATTTACTGGAGGAGAAAGCAGCGCAGTAGAGACTCAAAACAGAGAGAAGGGTGGGGAAGCATCAGGAATAAGGAATAAGAAAAGAAAAGAAAAGAAAATCACACGTTAGACTTGGAGTTCTATTTCCACATAACCGCTGCTATTTCCTCATAATTGTTGCAGTTCCAAATTTCAACCGCATAATCACAACTTCTTTGCCAATCTTCACAAATGAGTTCATTATATTTTTTTATCTTCTTTTTTTTCTGTTCTTTATAGCTGTTTCGGTTTCTTCTCCTATTTTGTTCTAACTTATTGGAGTTGGGGGTCCAGAATCCCCCCTTTGGCAGAGCATCAGGTAAGAATCTTCTCTCTCGAAACTGCTCTAATTTTTGTTCCAAATACAATTCTAGACACGTGGTAGTGGTTGCAACTGAGGTGATCTATTTTGTTTGGTTCAATTAATGCTGTAGATTATGTGCAGGTAAGACTTTGGTGGATATGTTTCTCTTTCAGTCTCTTTGATGTCGAACTAGACACTTTGTGTGGGACAAATGAAGAAGGTACCCGGTTTTCCAATTCTTTAAATGTGGCAAACGAAAGCACTATGTATGGTTATGTTGATTTCTCCTGGAAAATCAGAAGGTTCTTAAACATTGGATCAGAAGCAGCATTAAGGAAGAATATGAAAACCGTAGATCAATTTGTTTATAAATTAATCAAAGACAAGATTGAAACAGTTCATAATTCAGAATATAAGCTACGAGTTGTGAGTTACCTTCTAAGTCATGTTTGTCCTGGATTGAATTAATTTCATGTTATTATTGATTAATATAATTGAATGAATGGCAGTTGAAGAAAGTAGACATTGTTTAAAGGCTTTTGGCATCGGAAGAGACTAATCCAAATTACTTACGAGACATGGTCCTCAGCCTCATTGCAGCCGGAAAAGACACAACGGCTAGCACTCTTACATGGTTTATTTATATGCTCTACAAGCATCCTCATATACAAGAAAAGATTTCACAGGAAGTTAGAGAAGCAAAAAATCTGAAAGATAATTCAAGCATTGATGAGCTTTCAGACAACCTTACTGAAGAGGCCCTTGGGAAAATGCAATATCTCCTTGTAGTTTTGAATGAGACAACTAGGCTGTACCCTGCTCTTCCACTAGTAATTCTAATTCAAACACAATTGCAAGGCTAAGCTGATATAAACAACGTTGTCTGCTGACCTTTCTGAATTTGAATCTTTATAATTACTTTTAACAAGTTTGTTTGATGCTGTCGTAGAATGCGAAGGTTTGTTTTTCTGATGATACCTGACCAGATGGATTTAGTGTCAAAACAGGTGATGTGGTGGCATACCATGCTTACGGCATGGGCAGGATGAAATATATATATGGGGTGATGATGCAGAAGAATTTTGGCCAGAGAGATGGCTTGATGAAAATGATCTTTTCCAATAGGAAAGCGCTTCAAATTCACAGCCTTTAGTGTAAGAAATAAATTAATGTTGATATGATCAGTAACACATGCCACATTTTATTAAAACATGCACAAAGGATGAGTAGACTTATAAATTATGGAGAATTCTAAATAAATTTGTTGATTTAAACAGGAGGGTCCAAGGAGTTGTGTGGGGGAAGGACTTTGCTTATAGAGAGGCTTTGATATTTTATATTGTGCTTTGGGGCCGCTACATGTTCAAGCTGAGTGATGACAACAAAGTACCATGCTCACCCTCCATTTTAAACAGGGGCTCTATGTCCAAGCCTCTCCAAGACTGTGGCATGCAAAATCTTAATTAAACTATATATTATTAGTTTTTATATATATTAACTTATTAATTAAACTTTTCTGTATAATATTAGTTTTTTTTTGGGTCAAACTATATATTATTAGTATTGAATCTTTTATTGTAATGTTGCTTGTATCCTCTTTATTTATAATACCACCAGCCTCCCACGTGTGTGTCGGAGATTTTTTTGGGATCATGCGCTATGTGTGACTTACAATTTTTCTAATTTTTCTATTTTTGTAATTGTATTTTTTTAGATGACCATCTCAAGTATTTTCTTTTATCGACCTTATTTTTCTAGACATCCATCTTAGCAGAGAAAAAAAAAGTATAATTAGAAAACAAAGAAAGTAATGTAAAGGTAGGTGAACGTGGGCGTATACCCATACCTAGCAATGGATAGATCATTGGAAGAGAATCATGTAACATGAAATTAGGAGCAACATCAAAATGGGGATAATATCAATTCAGCAGAAACAACAAAACCCAAAATTAAAAACATGTAACCAATTGGACATTTTATTTGGGTGGTGAAGACAACTTGTTAAAGTTGAGAAATGTAGGTTTAAAATCAATAAAATTGAAATCAATTGAATGAGTTGAAAAGAGTAGGCAGAGCACTAAAGAAGCAAAGTTTGTCAGACAATATAAATCATTGAGAAAGGGATATCTCATAGGCCTTATTAATACTAGTCTCTCTGCACATGCTTCCGCGTGTGCGAGAGGCTTTTTTTTAATCACGCCCGACTTACAAAGTTTCGTAAATATTTTTTCACAATTGTATTTATATAGATGTCCATTTCAACAGTTTCATATTTTGATCGCGCGTGTGTGATAAATCGTCGTCTTAAGAGTTTTCCTTTATTGCCCGTATTTTTCTAGACATCCATCTTAGCAGTTTCTTTTTTTCTTTTATAGCGTGTAAACTACTAAAATGGACGTCTAGAAAAATACGGACGATAAAGGAAAACTCTTAAGACGACGATTTATCACACACACACGATTAAAATATGAAACTGTTGAAATGGACATCTATATAAATACAATTGCGAAAAAATATTTACGAAACTTTGTAAGTCGCGCGTGATTAAAATAAGGGAGATTCACTAATATACCCAATATGGGGGCTCAAATTATAAAAATACCCTATATGAAATGAACTTTATAAACACACCCAAAACCCATTTACAACATAACAAAGAAGCCTTAACTTCTTATAAATTACAAAACTACCATAAATTTCTTAAAACAAGCCCAATCTCAAAATCTCATAAAAATACCCAAAACACTCAATAGGGTATTAAAGTAATTTAATAATCAATATTAAATTCAATAAGACCAGCTGTCATTTTTGGAGTTTTTTTTTGGGTTTGTTTATAGAAATTCAATGATGAAGGGTTTATCTATAATATTAGTGCTAAAAATGGGTATATCACTAAATATCTCTTAAAAAAAAACCTCTCACACACACGGAAGCATGTGCAGAGAGGTTAGTTTCCATTAAGGTGTGAGGTTTTGACTAATAGATAATTCAATTTATTAAATAATACCTCCCTCTCATCTCATTCCCGACTCTCTCTCATCTAATAGATAATCAAAATATTCAAGCTTCAATGCCAAGAAAGTTTTACAAGCCTAAACTGACCCTTTTAAAGGTTTTGACTAATAGATAATTCAAATTTTATAGTGTGAGGTCGGATGAGCTCACTCTTAATATAACTAATAGCCAAGGAGTATAACTTACCAGTACTAGAAAACAATAATTGGCAATGATTCATTTTCATCTAATACCTGGAAGCCACTCCATGTTTTGTCTCCAGGTCTACACATAACCAACACCTTTAAATTATCAAATATTGCTGCCTCCATACATTCTGAATCATTTTCATCTAATACCTGGAAGCCACTCCATGGTTAGCACAATGTGATGAAAGAAAAAGCTGGTACCACACAAATCCCATTCTGTTTCTACGAACTCTTTGAAAGATGGAATTGTCGCCAATGGTGGAAGTTGGCATAAGGCTCCTGAAACCGGGTTGAACAGAAACATTTTAGAATTCAATCTTTTTTCTTGGATCATAATTAACCAACCTCTTGAAGAGCCATAAAACCGACTTCCATGAATTGGCTTAGGCAGCCTCAACTTGTGAACTTTGCCGTCGGCAAAGTTGGTAACGGACAAGTACTTGCAATGTGGATCCTGAGGAAGAACTAACCTAATTCATCGAGGAATCTATCTTAGGGAAGGGCATTCGTTCCAATCCAAATCCAAATTTATTTTGAAGAATTTGACATCCAATCCAGCTTAGTATAAGAATCCAATCCCATACAAATGAGTATACAAATCCAACTCAAATTAGGGTGATTTGGTCTGTATGATTGGTTTGATTTGGATTTCGCACACCCCTAGTCTATGTCCTACTAGCAACATTTGAAATTCGTAAGTGGGCCCCACAACATGTACCATCAAATTCAAATTCCTCCACCAAATTCTGAATATAAAAAAATAATCCAGCCCCCGAATGGGCCTGGATGATAACAATCTCAGAATAATTTTTGGGTTTCTTTACCGCCATCAGGCCATTCCTTCTCCACGCTCTATAAATGCGGCCTGATGACCTTTATAAATCTACAATGGAATTGAATCATGTAAAGTAATTTTTATTTATTTATAAATCATGCGTAGAAAAAAGTACCAATAATTTACATATATAAAAAGAAATGCAGAAAATAGTAAAACATTCAAAATACCAAAAATATCCTTAATTAACAAATATTAAGAAATAAATATATTTATTTATTAAGGGTAATATGGTAACTTAAATATATTGCGACCCTAGATCCTCGACCCGAACCCAAAGTTGAATTTTGTGTTATATGCCGTGTAAAACATAATGGAAAAGTCACATTTCCAACATCTACCAAAAGAACCCACTTCCTCTCTTTAGTTGGGGTGGAAGAAGTAGTAGGTAAGTTATGCAGTAGATTAATAATTTAATTAGTTCAATTAGTAATCATTTGCAGTTGGATTAACGCCACAGTCAGCTTAAAAATCTGGATTTCCCTTTTTTCTTTTTGGCGTTTCTGTAATGCCAAGCCTAAAGGTAATGATTAACAAATGTTCTCCTTGTCAAAGATAATTGGTCCATATGTCTTAATTTTGTAACCTTGGCAGCAAGGTAGAATCACATTAGAGCCATGGTCATAATTAACACCTTAACATTTTTACTTAATTACTTTTATTTAACGAGTCGGGGAGATTCGAATTTGGAATCTCTTCAAAATGTATATACAAAGTTTATAACTATGTTCTATGAGTTCCATTATTAATTCAATATGTGCAGTTGATGACTTGAGGCTTCGCTAGTAGTTTAAAAAAATGGGTAAAAAGGAAATCCAACTCATGTATGCACAACCCTACAAAAGGAGGGAAAGAATAACCTTAAAGGCCTCATGGAGTGTAAAAGGGATGCTTGAATAACTAAGTCATCCTAGCTACAAAAGAAAAAAAAAGAAAAAAAGAAAATCTTGTCAGTTTCTCTGTTTCTTCAACTTTCTGCTAACATGACAGAAAAATATATAAGCTCTTATTTAGTAAGCCTAATGAGTATCCTCAGCACATTAGAAAGCCTAATCACCAAGTTATCTAAGCTTCTTGGTCAACTATTTCTGCCAAATGAAAAGAAAATTATGATTTGTTCACAGTTATAATCACATCCTAATGGGGACCATAAAAAACCCATAAAAACTACATTCATAAGATGCTAACAACCAAACACTTCTTTGCTTCCCCCTAAAGATATTCCTGCTTAAACAAAACCTTCCTTCCTTCTATCACACATTTTCTCTCTTCTTTTTTCGGTTGAATGTTCTCTGTTCCAATTTTCCACCGCCCTCCCATGCAATACCTATATATAGCTCTCTTCAACATGTTGCTATCATATTCCTCCATTACACACTATTAAAAAAAAAAACCAGAGTTAAATCATGAGTGATAATCACAGAATTGTCATCTTTATTGGGCTTTTTCTTACTTTGACATCGATTCGAATTACAGATGGTTCTGTTGTTTCAACAGGGGACTTCAACAAGGATTTCTTTGTCACATGGTCTCCTAGCCATGTAAACACTTCAGCTGATGGCAGGACAAGGAGTATGAAGCTCGACCAAGAATCCGGTATGATCAAAATTCAAATTTCTTTAATTAGTTTTAACATTTCTGAATTCTGATCCTTTGTTTTTCATTATCCTAGGTGCTGGTTTTGCTTCAAATCAGATGTTCTTGTTTGGACAAATTGACATGCAAATTAAACTAGTACCAGGTGATTCAGCAGGCACAGTTGTGGCCTATTATGTAAGTAGAAAACGTTTTCTTCTTCTGCTTTTTTTTGTTGTTGCTTATTATTGAGTAATTAACAGCATATATTTGATCAACTGGAAATTATTTTTAATGCAGCTGACATCTGATCAACCTAACCGTGACGAAGTAGACTTCGAGTTCCTTGGAAATGTGGCAGGCAAACCATATATCATTCAAACAAACATGTTTGCTGATGGATTGGGCAACCGTGAAGAGAGGGTCAATCTGTGGTTTGATCCAACAAAGGACTTCCATACCTATTCAATACTATGGAACCTTCACCAAATTGTGTATGCCATCTTTCAAATGAGCTAATCAGTATTTAATTTGAGCCTTGCTTACATAAGTTTTCTTCTTTTAAAAATCAACAAGAAGAAAAACGATTCGAAGTAATTTTAATGGAGAAACTTGGTGTACTTTTGCTTGTAGGTTCATGGTGGATTGGGTTCCAATCAGAGTATTCAGAAACCATGCAGACAAGGGTGTAGCATTTCCAAGGTGGCAGCCAATGAGCATAAAAACCAGCCTATGGAACGGCGACAGCTGGGCGACAAGAGGCGGCAAGGACAAAACTGATTGGTCAAAGGGCCCATTCATAGCTTCATTCAGAAACTACAAGATTGATGCCTGTGTTTGGAACGGAAATGCAAGGTTTTGCAGGGCAGAGAGCCCTACAAACTGGTGGAACAAGAAGAAGTTCAGCACCCTAACAAAAACACAGAGAAGGTTGTTCAAATGGGTTAGAAAGCACCACATGATTTATGACTATTGCCAAGATAAACAGAGGTTCCAAGGCAACCTTCCAAAGGAGTGCTCTCTGCCTAAGTATTGATAAATTAAAGAAAACAAAATTCCATTTTATTTTATTTTATTTTAGTCTTTTTCCTTTTCTCTATTTTATTGTGTAGCAAATTATTATTTCTAGGTTAGAAATCAATAATCATATAGAGGTTGTTCATCAGAGAGGAATTTAAAGCTCAATTACTTGAAGCATTCAAATGAATCACATACTTGGAAGTAAAGTAACCTTTTTAGTTTTCTGTCTTTGGATTTGTAATATACCAAAATGTTTCTTCACTTTTTGGGTTTATTGGGAATATTGCTGCTTTCACCTCTTTTTTTAATAGAAGTGTGCATGTGGTGAAGGGGAAGGACATTGTTGAGAGAAACCTTGAAAATTTAAGTTCCACGTATATGAAAAGGTAAGAAGGTGTAAGTCCTTCCAGCTCGAGGTTGTAGGTCTGCCTTGACGCCGATGGTAAGAGTAGTCAATCTCCCCCTAAACTTTTTGTCATATATAAAAAAAATAAATAAATAAAAGGTAAGAATGCAGGAGCCAGTTAAGAACATCAATGTTAATGAGCCCTCACAACTTTACATGAAAATTAATCTAGTTGCTCTTAACTAATTGAGCCACAAATCGCTTGTGATTGAAAGTATTAAGAAATATTAATAAAGGCTAATTAAAGAAGATTTAAAAAACAAAAAAAACAAAAAGCTAAACTGATAAGCCCATAGTCGTTAGATGCTCTTAAGGCCTTAGTGATGGGGATTGATCAGCCCACTATATGATCTGAAATTCATTATGCTAAGATTAGAGCACAATAGATTTCTTAAAACAAGCTCAATATCCAAACCTCATTAAAAAAACTCAACAAATTAAAAAGGGTATTAAAGTAATTTAATAACCAAAATTAAATTCAATAGGGCCAGCTGTTCTTTTTTGGGTTCGTTTATATAAATTAAATGGTGTAGAGTTTATCTATATCACTAGTGCTAAAAATAGGTATATAACTAAATATCTCTTTTATTAAGTCTAATATGAATCATAAAATTATTTCGAATTCCACGTACGCCCATCAAATTACTAAATATAACTAAATATATGAATATGTTGTATATATAATAAACAAGAAACTATGAATGACGTGAGATAACATAGCAGTCAAGTGTCTGTTCTATTGAAACTGAAAATGGACTGCAGCAGAATATATGCTGTTTAATTTAGAACAGCTAAGGAGCTTAATTAGAATGAGAAAGAGAGAGAGAGAGAACAAAAACAATTGGACTTCGAAGGTAAACAACATACCTGAACTGAAACTCATCATCACCAACAATGGATATGTACTTGATAGTGCATTTCTCTGAAAATATATTTAAAGAGTATAGGCTATACTCCTTAAATTAAAAGAATAAAAATAAATAGCCGAGTGGGTATACTCTTTAAATAATAAAAAATATATTCCAAGAGTATAGCCGATCGGCTATATTCTTTAATAAAAAATAAAATATATTTAAATAGTATAGCCGTTCGGCTATACCTGTATTTTATTTAAAGCCGGTCATTAGATTTAGATGCTCTTATGATCAGCCCGTTATATGATCTGAAATTCTTAACGGTCAAGTCAAAGCCCAATAGAAAATGGAAAATAGAATGACAAAAATAATAAAATAAAAAAGCTAGAAAACCCTGCTGGATTGAACCTCCTTCTTCGAGAGGCTAAAAACCCTAAACCCTTTGACCCTCTACCGCTAGCGATAGAGAGAGATGGGAAGTACAAGCAAAGACCTTCTGCAATTGGAGCACAAGAAGGCCTTAACTTCACCCATTGGTATCTCTTTCTCTCTATCTGTATCTCTCTGGTTCGCTCGCTTTCAGTGCAAACTCATTAGCTCACTGTCTGTGTCTTTTCTTGCAGAATCCACACTACTTGTTTGTAAAAATGACTCACAGGCTTGTCAAACAAAGAAGGCTCAACCTGAAGGGAAACCCATCGGTGTTCCTGTTATCAAAAGCCAAGGTACTCGATTTGCCCCCTTTTAAATTTGGTTTCTTTGTTCCTTTTTTTAATTTGTTGTTTTTGTTAAGAATGTGGATTCTGCAAGCAAGTACAATAGAGATACAGGTGTAGAAATATCATTTATGTTATTGGGTCATCCTCAAGTATTCTCAAAATTTGTCACAAAAGGCTTTATCTTTTCTTTTTCTTCGAAGTATTTTCTTCAGAGCTAGTTCGTAGGATTACGCTATGAACATTTCAATTTAAAGGAAGTTGATTTATGTATTCGTGGTAAGAGTTAAAATCTAAAATACCACTATGGCCGTGTTCGGCATGTGTAGAGGTCTTTTCTTTTTCTATTTGGTAAATTTTTTCTATGTTGGCTTTGTACAGGGCCAACGAGTTGATGTTTAATCCTCCACTGGGTTTATGATTTGGGTGATGTGTGCTTAATTGCTTATACGAGGTCTTGGTTATAATCAGCTGTCAGCATAACATCTATGCAGCCTGTCTACTTTTTGAAATCTCCTATGTTTTATATTTTATTTACACACTTGCAAATTGGCTAAGTTGTAGTATTTTGGTTTAGAAGGATGTGATTCAAGTCTCCTGTTATTGAATTTGTCTCATTCATTTTGATGTTGTGCTGAATTTTCATCAATTAATTTTACGAGATGAGATAATTTTTTTGTGCTGCCTACTTTTTTCTTAGCACCTGAGATATTATCTTCTTCCTCTTTTGGTTTATTGGAAAGAATTTTTATTGAGATAAAGGAAAACAAATCATGTTTTTCAGTAAACATAAGTACTTCTTTGTCTAGGTGTTAAACCCTCCTTCAGATGGGCTTGAAATCTGTGTTCATGTTGATCCTCTACAACCTGTTCATTACCTTACCTTGTAATACTGTTGCTCATATGGTTTCCTTATGCATATTTTCTCCCACTGGAACTTCTACCTTTAAAAGACCATAGAGGATTTGTGCAATTTGGGTTTTAGAATATGTCCCAAGCTTTTGTTTCTTTGTTTAAATAAAAACTTAATTGATGATCAGACAATGTCAAGGTAGAAGATTGAAATAGATTACAGAGCATTGTAACATTGAAACTTGAGGCTGGACTGAGATGGATGTTTCGAACTGTTTTCCCTTACCTCTTTTTTGTTGGGTGAAACAGTAGTTTGCACTTCGTCATGGACTTGAGATTCTTCAGTTGTCTCTGCTTCTGTTTTGTTTGTAGTGTTGTTTTCTTAGAAATAACTTGGATAATGTTGCTCATTTTCATTGCTTGTCTGCAGTTTTGGGAAAAATAAGGGATTTCTTGGGAGTCATATCAGAAGCTAATGAAAGATTAGAAAAGGATGCAAAGGTTGGTATATTGGTCCTGCACCCCAAGCTAGATTGTTTATCCCGATTCCAACATACTTTTCAAATCATAACCTGTGTTTACTCATTTACTTGTATGTAGGATAATTCAAAAAACTATGATATTGAAGCGCTCACTGGAAATGAATCTCAAGTCATTGAAATGGTCTCTCTCTCTCTCTCTCTCTCTCTCTCTCTCTCTCTCTCTCTCTCAGAGACACACATACACAGAGGGGATTAATAATTTATTTTGGGTGGACCTGAATTGACAGGATTTAATGCTGGGTGTTGCTGATCTTCAAACTCCCGAGGCTGTGGCTGCTGCGGAATCTGCTATTTCTGGTTATCAGCCTGTTATACCATTGGCCGTCAGCAGTAGTGAAGAGGAGTCACAGGATAGCAGTAACAACGATAGTAGCGGTGATGAGGATGAGGATGATAGTAGCAGTGAAGAGGATGAAAGTGATGGTGAGGATAAGAAAACATCCTCTCCTGTCAAACTCAAAACACCCAAGTCGGACAAAGATGATTCGAGTGATGTTCGTAACACCCGGTCCAAAAAGCGGCCAAAAATTGTTGAGCTTCCTTGAAATGATGTGAGATCTAGTTCTAGTATCTGTGCGTTTCAGGAATTATCAATTTATTGTAATAGTTGGGCAAGTCTAAAGACTTCCACACTGTGCGAAGGGAATATGAGTGAACGTTTCTGGGAGTATCTATAAAAAGTTGTCTAACTGTGGTATAATTTAATACGTAATTTCTTTTCACCCGAGTCTGCAGAGTGAATTCTAAGTTATTTGCCACTAGAACAAAAGAAAAAGACCCAAGTAGAAGACAACTCCGAAGGTAAATATGTCTTTACAATCACTCAAAGGAAAAATATTTAGAGGACCACTTTGTATTATGCCTCGTTAGAGGGGAGACTCATTCCAAGAGACATTATTATTTTCTCCCTATTTATTTGTTTCATTGAGGACTATACATGCATTGTCAAATTGACCAAAAAAATAAATAAATAAATACACGCATTGGCAAAATAAAAAATAAAATGCGTTGGCTACATTTTGTGCATACATTCGGACGTAATACATTATAAGTTAAAATTAGAAGGGAATTGTTATTGGCATCCAAAATCTGTATCAGTGCATCAAGTTTCTTGCTAATCAACAAGCAAAGTACACTTTGAAAGTTGAAACAGTTGATCAAGACAACCTTAAAACGAACCAAAACATAAAAATACACTTGGTGACTAAAAGCAAGGAGTGCACCATCACTTATTTTATCAAAGGAGGCTTTGTCTAATTATCACATATCACCTTATTTTTTATTTTCACCTTATTAATTAGCAGGCATCCATTCCATTAATTGCTTAATCAAATCTGGATTAAGCTTAAGCCTCCTTAATTAATAAGGACGCTGCCCAACATAGTTGCCAGGAGGGTCGTAGTTGCAAGTCACAAACCACCACCCATTGCTGCACTGAACCCTAGCACACCCCAGCCTAACAGAGTTTTTCCAAACCACTTGAGTATAATGCAGACATTGCTGCCCTCCAACGCAAGAGTTTGAGGTGTAGTTATAGTTAGGCTTCTCTGCCACCCACAAGTTCACAGCAGCTGTGCCTGTAAATGAGCCACTCCCCTTGGCCAAGTTCTCACCATAATTCCCATTTGAATGCACCAGGTTGCAATCTGCAGCACTTGAGTTGGCATAGTTCTGAGCATAGGCCTCGACGGTGCTGTCCCACGTGATGTTCGGGACGCCGACTTGCTTACGTGCCACGTTGTGTGCATTGAGGTAGTCTTGCTGGGAGTTTTGGGCATGGGAGGGATGAAGCACCAGAGACGTGAGACAAAGAAGTACAATACACAAAGCCATGTTGTTTGATTTTTCTGTGTACCAAATGATTATGTAACTTGTGTGAGGATTGCACTGTCAATATGACATTCTTAGGCTATTTATAGGAAGAAGTACAATTAAATAACAGATTATTTATGGACAGTTAAGGGAATATAATATGAAAAGTATTTTATCAAAAGGATACATGTCACCATTTAAAGCAACCAAAGTCATCAAAAACTTCCCCCTTGGTCTTGCATCACAAAACTTTGCGGTTACCTTCAGCTATGTGTTATATATATATAGCAACTGGTGCATTGGTCACTACGACTTGCATGCTGTTATTTTTTTAAAAGAAGCAACTTCATTACAAAAAAAACAAAGAATGAATGTGTTACTTCCAGTTTGAATTTCGTCAATTGAAAGTACTTTGTATAGCAATATATATTGCTTAATCTTTACACATGTTAATCAGAGAATTCGTAAGGGGTTTGTAGTTCAGTGGTTAAGAGTGTTTACCTCTGCATCTAAGGTTTTGAAGTTCAATTTCCCCCTCCCCAAATATCGCATGTAAAAAAAAACAGAGAATTTTCTAGCCCGGCCCAACTCAGAAAAAAAAAGTGAAAAGAAACTCTGAAGTTAAGGCCCAGCCAAGGCCAGCATAGACTAGCTCCAGCCCTCATCTGAGATCAGAATAAGGCCCAAATATTCTGGACAGAGTGTGAGTCATGTCCCAAATTGCCAATCATCATTTGTGGCTAAGATATCAATGAAGATGTGTTTAGGTGGGATTCAAACTTCCAGCCTATTCTAACATTCGAAAGAAATTTATCATTAAATCAAAATTTAGTTGGTGAAATGTGTATAAATGTTTAAACATCAATTTTATGTGTTTGGTCAAAATGTTTGGAGAGTTTGGGGTCCAATTTTAGCTGAATAGAATCGGAATCGAAATCGGTCTGAACCGATTCGGTTCGGTTTTTCAACGGTTGTTTTTGGTTACTTCAGTTTTTTTTGATTTTTTAGAGTTCAACTCAACTCGGTTATCTGGTTCAGCAATTCATATGCCCACCCCTAGTGTGGACACATATTTTGTGTTTGACAAAAATTCTTATACGTGATTGTTATACATTCAGGTGATGTTACAATCTACACATTATAACACATGTTTTATTGATTAATAAATCGAAAAATACAACACGTAATATCACACAAAATAAATTTATGCATTTAGAAGCCGACGAAGTAATATACCTCATTGGCATGACTTGTCTCTCCCTATCTTTTGTCAATGACTAATAGTAATAGATGCGGTTTCTGTTGACCCAAAAAAAAAGATCCATTGACGGCCAACCTCCTTTGCTCAAGCTGCATTGACAGCCAAGAGCTAGTCTTCTAATGGCATTTGGGCAAAGAAAAGATGGACCTCGTCTAGGCTTTGGTCAAGGATGAAAATGTGTGGTGCTGCAATGTGGAAATTTATTTCCTCTACGGGTCCAAATGGATTTAGGAAAATGTTAAAAGATGCAATAATTAAACCCATTAATTCTTCTGTTGGAAAAAAACCTAACTCAAGTTGAGACTAAACAATTTTTCTCCGAGTAATGCTACATTTACCATATTTTTATCTCACATTTCTATACCACATGATGTGATATGTTCATATTATATGTCAAATCAATTAAAGCAATGAAACATATTTTAATTAAGAATTAGAAAAATAAATACTCGACTAAATCATAAAAGAAAAGAAAATGTTAAATAATTTTAATTGATGTGGCTGTCCATCTCAACTGTTACATAAGATGGTATAGGAATGTGATATACAAATATGGTAAGAGTAGTATTACTAAATAATTTTTCTCCTCCTACCATTTACGACTTTCTATCTATCGAAAACATGCATATTAATTTTACCAGCTTCATTTTCGTCCGTTTCTTCATTTCCTAGAGGAAAAGGGTAGCTAGAGATTGATTTAATTTCGTTTGTAGAAATTAAATAATCATTGTGTTTTCTGTTCTTGTAAGCCATGCGATACCATAAGATACATTTCAAACTTGGCTTAAAATTTAAATGCAAGCCATGCGATACCATAAGAATATTAAAGGAATAATGGCATCTTAATTCTTTGATTGTCCGGCGCCATTTAACAATTGGGTCCATGGTCTCAATGATGGCTCTTGGCTGATCTTGAGTGACTTTTGGCCTACCTTTCTAGGCTTATCCCATGTAGTGCTTCTGCCATCACACAAGACTTGACTCGACACCCCTTCCATCGACTATCGAATAGAAAGCTTTAATTATATCCTTGATTCCTAACAACACAATCAGACAACTAAATTGGATGCTTCCTCAATACAATATTGACTTGTAAAAACCCAATATGGAGGTAGATTAGGATAAATATTTGTTTATGACTCTAACGAGAAACACTTGTGTTTGACAAAGGAAAAAAAGGGAAACACTTGTGTGAAACGGGAATAGTACTGTTTTATTATTTTCAGCCAATCACAATATGTCATGTGTGATAATTTTTTTTGGTGGCAGTTTGTGATTGACCGAGGATAGCAAAACAATGTTATCTCTGTTTCACACAAGTTCTTCTGAACTCTAAACACCACCCCTTATTATTTAATTTTTTATATATATTATAACACGTGACAGTAAGGAGTACATATTTTAAAACTCTCGTTTTCATGGTCGCTAAGGATCAAAGATTATAATGGTCACCTACCGTTAGATCTAATACAATGGTGAATACTAATCTACAAAGTTCAATGCTTAACCCACCCACTCCTTCTCTCATCGTGTCACGTCTGGCCGTTCAATCTCCAAACTAGCCTCCTTCTTCCTTTTTTGGGGTAGGGTTTTCTCTCTTATTAATTATTGGTTTTACATTTTCTGATGTGGTTTTAAGCTCTCAGATTACTTTGTCACAGAACTATTAGGTTTAGAATAACGATATTAACATCACCAATAAAAACAGTTATTCTGGAAAATTGTCTAGAAAGTCATAATGAAGTTTTTTTAAAAAAAAGAAGAAGAAGAAGGAAAATCATAAAAAAATTTCAACACATTCCTTTGTCAGATAGAGGACAAGAGGATGAACTTTCTGCACTAGTCGAGGAAACGAAAAATCCAAAGGAAATAAGAAAAATTAAAACTTGAAATCAAGGAGGGATAGAAAGAGGGTTCAGCCGTACCCAACAATAAAACCACATTGACTTCAGATTCTCATTAACTCTTCCATGGAAGTGACAAAAAGAAGAGACAACGAGGAAGTTAAAAACCTATATGGAGGTTTGCTTCAATGGAGGACAGAGGTCATCTTTCTAGAGAAGGCTGAGTTGGGTCAGCATAATTTCTTTTCACTATAATAACCGGGCAGCATAATTAGGCAGTGTTTTTTTACACCTCTGAGAGCTTTTTTAATTATTGGAAGAAGCTTATGAATATAATATATGAATTTGAATCAATTGTCCCTCGATCTAGTGGTATTTCTCTTCCAAATGTTAGAAGAGATTCCAAGTTCCCCTATCTTCTTTGTCGAGAAATATATATGAATCTGTATAGAAGACAAATGAGACGTTTTCCACAAAACTTCATGGAATGCAACATTAGGACGAGTTTACAACTTAATTGTAAACTTTAAGAAAATACAAAATTTTATTCTCATATATTAAAAATGAAAACTCTTATTAAAGTACTGTAAGCTTTCATTTAGCCACAAGAGGTTTGCTAATAGCTAAATCAGTAAGGCTTCTGGCCAATATAGTTGCCTCGGGGATCATAATTGCACCCAATGAAGGTACCTCCATTGTTGCACCTAACTTTGGCACATCCTACACGAGCTGAGTTGCGCCAAACAACCTGAGTATAATGGCCACACACCTTGTTAGGAGCACAGGTGTTTGAGTTGTAGTCATAGTTGGCCTTCTCTGCCACAAACAAGTTCACCGCAGCTGTGCCGGACATGTCACCGCTACTCTTCGCTATGTTTTCGCCATAAGGCCCGCCAGAGTGCACAAGATTGCAATCACCTTGACGGGAATTGGCATATCTTTGTGCATAAGCTGCTAGGTTTGGATCCCACGTTAAGGCTTGAACACCTACTGCCGCTCGAGCGGCATTGTGGGCATTGAGGTAGTCTTGTGGTGAGTCTTGGGCAAGAGTGGGTTGGAGGAGGGCTAAACCTAGGAGACAAACCAAGGCAAATGACATCTTACACAACCCCATGTTATTGGTTTGCAGTCTCTTTGCAAGATATTTTGTTTGGTGTTTATTGATGGGAAATGAGAGATATAACATGGAGTATTTATAAGGAAAATGTTAGGGCTGATAGACAATTGGAGAGAAAAACTTGGGCGGAGAATTCTGTCAACTTGACAAGCTAGGTCTATGGCACGTCTTATTACCTAGTCACAAAAATATTTAATGTGTTATTGAATCGCTCGCTCTTTCTTTGCAGTGTTATTATCTGTTTAATCAGAAAACAAGTTAGAGATATGTTGCAACATGGTGATCAATTTACAACCGAGACATGGGACCGAGAGAGAGGATCACTACAAAAAAAAGGTTCATTACCGACCAACTTTTTCTGAGGGCCCCCAAATTCCCTCGGCAAAAGTGTTTTTTCTGACGAAAAAATGTTGTCCGTTGGAAATATGTCACGGGCCTGTAATTTATTTCCGACAAATAAACGGCCGTCGAAAAAAGCCTCTATGGCCGTCGGAAATGCAATTTATTTGGCGGGAAAACTTAGCGCCAACTTTATTAACGACAAAAAATTTGTTTGTCGGAAATAAGATGATTATTTCCGAGGGACTTCTCATGCCGTCGGAATTGTTTGACTATTTCCGAGGAGAAATATGTCTGCTCGGTAATGCCTTTATATTTACGACCAAACTCATCCTTCTCAGTAATAGTTGTGCTTGTTTCCAAGGGCATATTCACAGTTGTCGAAAATCACAACCTAGTTACAAGGGCAACATATGGTCGCTGGTAATAATTTTTCTATTTACAAGGGGAATTAGTGGTCATCGGAAATCACTATCTTAAAATATTCATAATAAATTAAATTAAAAAAAATACACTGAAAAAAGCTACGCATTCCTTACAACAAATCCATTGATTTTAGAGATCTAAAATCATGATTCCATATAATTGAGGGATCAAAGAAGCAAGAGTGTTAGGTTATCAAACATTAACTAGTGCTTTGTTTGTTTACAAACTAATTTGAGTTTTTGTTGTCGCTTTGAATTTTCATAAGTAAAAATAATATTTTTGAAGCTTTAGGACAAAGAGAATGTCACTAGGATTTTGTAGGAATTTTTGGTGAATGATTTTTAATGTATTTATTTTGATTTTTAGGAGTGAAATCATATAAAATATATTTTAAACTGAATTGATCGACAAGTAGCAGCTGCTTACAAGTGCTTTTTCTGTGTTAGTGATGCATGTCCTTATACCACAACACCACCTATTTTTTTTGACTTTTTTGTTGTTTATCTTAACAAATTCATAACAAATTAAATAAAAATTAGAAAAGTATACCAAAAAAAGCTACATATAGCTTACGACAAATTTTTTGATTCTAGAGGTCTAAAATCATGATTCCACATAATTAAGTTTATAGTAATCATTGGATCAAAGAAGCAAGAGCGTTAGGTTATCGAACATTAACTAGTGTTTTGTTTGTTTACAAACTGATTTGAGTTTTAGTTGGCACTTTGAATTTACATTACCACTAGCCTATCTTCACACACTCAAGAGCATGCCAATATAATTCCTTATTGTTTTTTTATTTTTTGTTCTATCATTTTATGTGGAGAATCTCTATTGAACTAGCTCCTATTCTCCATTTATTTTTATAATTATTCATATTTTAATATATATATATACTGTTGGTTTATATATTTGTTTCTTTAAAATGTAGTTGTGTGTTGATTTTTTTTTCATAAATGTAATTTTGAGTTAGTCAAAAATTTACTCACAAAGTATTTAAGAAATGAATATTTTTAAAAAACACTTATTTAAAAATAAAAATTTGTTGCCGCCTTCCCCCCCACCCCCCCAAAAAAAAATAAAAAAAAATCAGAAACTCCCGCTCTGAGAGAGAAAAAAGGAAGTTAGATGCACAAAATTAGGTTAACTACACGCACTAACCCCATTCTCTATTCAACACGCCCTAACCCATTCTCTCTTCCTTTCCGCAGCCATAAGGAAAACCTAAAATCAATCTTCCTCTTCCCTGTTGTGGCCAACAGAGCACAAAACAACACTCATCCTCTTTGTCGCGGGTAAGCACCTCTCTCTATCTCGTTTGCACTCTCATGGGTTTCTTTTAAAACTGAGTTTTTTTGTTTAAATTAATTAAATGGATTTTAATTTATCGCTCTCTTTTCATGTCAGATAAGGCGTGGTGGAGCAGCTAGCTGGTTTTGGAGCGGCTGTATACACATGTTCTTGGAACCAAGCAGAACTCTACAATTGCTTAGGAGGCTAAGGGCTTTCTGGTCACTGGGTATGTCTGTGACGCCTCGTCTAAAACCGGAAGTGGCTTCTTCTTTCAATGGCAAGCTCAACTTACTTGTAAGTAACCCCCTATTTGTTTCGTTCTCCAGCTGCTTGTATAAATGTCACAAAGAACTTTTTAATATTTCATAGTCTAACTAAGTACAAACGGGTTGTGGTTATGACTTCAATTCTCGAATTGATAAGGGTTATATTGAATTTGATTGTGGGACTAGGTAAATGATGTTGAGACAAATATCAGGAACCCAACTGCTGAGTGCACTCTAATGAATATTCTTCACTCATGGCTACTAACATAGAATCTACATACCATCTTTCAATTTGCAGATCCTCTTTTGAAAACATCTGGAGCAATGTTTTTATATCCTCTGTTTCTGGTTTGGTGGGTATAGGTTCTGGGACCAGCAACAAGTAAAGGTGAGCTACTGCTCTGTTATGGTTTGTCTCCTTTTGCTCCATAGTCCATAGTCAATATGTTGTATTAAATTTGATGAGTGTGATATAGGACAGAATAATTGACATACTTCTTATCATGTTCAACTTAGAACTGTGGCAAAATAAACTTTATCATTTTATTTGAAATTTCAATACCTCAACACTAAATAACAAACTTATCTAGTTACTGGTTTCTTTTGTTTCAAGATGGGAGCAGATCTTAGACAAAGCTGCAAGCAATTATATCTCCAAAGGCACTTAGAACCCAAGAAAGACATGCTATACTCCAAGGGATACCTCTGGCGCAGGTCTAGACAAGTATTTTTGGCCTTAGTTCTTTATTTGATCCATTTTGTCATGTTTCAGGTATGTTAGTAAACTCTTAATCTTTTTCTTTACCTCATAAAGATCAATTTGTGGTTATCATAACTATTTGTATGTAGGTGTGCTTGAATCATGGGATAAGGTTTTGCATTTCAAGGAAGCCGTATTTACATACAAGTCACATGAAGACCTGAAAACACCTCATTCGGTTGGAAGTGGGCTTTGAGGACTAGTGATATAGGATATATCTTAGGATTGTAATGAGTTTCTTTTGGAATTTGTTACATTGATCTTTTATTAATGATAATATATATTATTTTTTGGACAACAATTTCTCATTGGAAATATTTTTTATATTTCTTTTACAAAATATTTGTACATTCCGACGGCTTTTTACTCTTGATAATCACTATAAATGTAGTCGGAAAAACATTTTTTTCGACACACTTCCATGTCGGAAATGCACAATTCCGACAAATTATATTTATCACAAATAATAATCTATGGTCAGAAATACTATTTTCGACCAATAGTCACTAGTTGAAAATATAGCACATATGTATTTGCGACCATATTTATGGTTGGAAATGAATTCGTATAGTTGTTTTGAAAATCCATTTCTGACAGAAATATAAGCAATATCGACGAAACATGGGCGTTGGAAATAAATTATTTCCGACGGACTGGTCGGAAAAAAAGTATTTCCAACGGGCGTTTTTCCGACGGCTTTCGACGGCAAATTGCCGTCGGAAAAAGGTATTTCCGACGACAAAAGGCCTTTTTCTACCACAAACCGCCCTCGCTAAAGGCATTATATTTTGTAGTGGATGTGGATGGGAGAGAGGAGGGGGGTGTGGATGTGGATGTGGATGTTTATTGTTAGCATAGTTCCGGGCAAGCCCTTACGTTAACGTCCTACGTCAGAAGGCCAACGTCATCACTTTTGCCAGCAGGAAAGCCAGATCGTCTACTAGTCTTCTCATGAGAGGGCAAAGTGAGATGGACCTGTAAATTACAATCAAGCCCATGAGTCCTCCAACACACAAAAAGCTTTTGTCCTAGATTGGTTTTTCTCCATTGACTATTATGAAAGGAGAAGGACCCGCATGTCACATGGATAAAATACAGTTTTGTTATTCCTATTCACAAGAAATCTGCATTTTTTTTTCCTTGAGCAAACGCCAATTTTATTTATTCATTTGTTTTCTTTTTTTAATATATATTTTCTTATTTAACTCTCTCTGTATTAGTAAGATCAGTAGCAAACTCTAGGAGAAAGAGGCTGCATGACACATGATTAGAGGTATAATTAATTTTTATTTGTTTATTTAATCGATAATTTGATATTGATTTGTTTATTTAATTGATAAATTATAGTCAATTAGTCATAGTTATAGAGTTTATATCCTCCAAATAATTATACAGTTATGCAATTGCTTTGGTTGAGAGAGCTTTGAATATTGTGAAAACATCATTGCCTAACAAAATAGGGAATCAATGGTTGAGTGATAGCTTGGTTGTTTACATTGAGAAAAATATTTTTTCTTATATTAGTAATGAAATATAATATGACGTTTTCATGATATGAAACTTCGTCGGCAACAATTGTAGGTTAATTGTAATGTTATTTTTTTCAATTAATTATGAATAACATTAGTATTATTTAAAGTATAAGGATATTTAGTTGTCTATATAATTTTTTTTTGAGCTCTTAGCCTTTAAAAATTGCACCTCTATTGAAAAATTCATGAGTCCGCCACTGCCCATCCAAATTACACTTTGCCATGTGGAATCCTATTACTTGGGATGGAACGTAACTGATTAAAAATAGCAAAATAGTGCTATCCACGTGATATATAAGTTTTTCTCAGGAAATCTTTGGTTAAGGATAAGCAAGTGGGGTTGTAGGAGGCATGCATGTGGAGTATGTATTGGAATATAGTGTGGAAATTTTTCTTTCAATAATTAAGGTCCTTTTTCCTTGCATTCATTTTTCGTCCTTCTGCCCTGAGGGATAGGGTAGAAATTGGTTGAATTGTCATTGTAGGAAATTGGTTGAATTGTCATTGTAGTCCTACAATTATTGTAGAGCATAATAGACATTTCAAACTTTTCCCAAATGGTCTCGGTCAAGAGATTATGGGCTTGTTTGTTAGGGAGGATTAGATTAGACTAGACTAAACTAACAAAATGCCTATATTTTATGTGCATTTTAAGGCATAATATGGATATTTTGCCTAACTTGGAGGAATAATGGGGACTATCTATAAGATGTTGATTACTAAAACCTATCCCCCTAATCCCCTTGAAAATGGTGGGATTATAAGGGATAAGTTTTAGTCATCAACCTCTTATGAATAGTCCTCCTTCATCTTCCAAGTTAGATAACAATATCCAAATTATGCCTTAATTGCACATGAAATGTAGATATTTTGCTAGTATAGTCCAGTCTAATCTAGAGCTTCCTAACAAACTAGGCCAGTCATAGAATAGCACATATCTTAGCTCACAAATATTTTGTGCAATGTAATTGGGTGGGTCGGTAGCAACTAGTTAGCTAGGACTGAGGGCAAAGGCGGAGACAATGAAGGCCCACAAGGGTTATCTGACCCTTCTGAAGGTCCCCTAATTAACCCTACATTTGTTTATATTTACCTTTTGTTTATAATTTATTCTTAAAATCTGACTTTGACTGAAGTTCCGCAAGCAATTATAACTTCAATTTTTTTTTCTTTACTTTTTTTAATAACTTATGAATTAACCTAAAACCATTATTTTTTTTTTTTTTTTTTTTTTTTTTTTTTTTTTTTTTTTAAATTAAAAAAATGATTATTCCATTTCTTTTGGTTGTCATTCCCTCTCACATATCACCCCTTAAAATTGCAAACGAAAAAAAAATATATAAATTACATATCCAATAATGTAATATGAAAAATATAAATATATTATTTAAATAAAATATAGGTATATTATTAACCAATTTTTTTTAAAAAACTAAGTCAGTTACTTTGTAATTGAAATTTCCATACATTTTTCATAAATTAAAAATAGGTACACAATAATTTATAGAAAATATAGGTATAATATTTACCCATAGGTAAACTATTTTACAATATACCTATAAATTTGTATAGGTACATTATTTGGAGAGGAAAAATAGGTTCATTTAAAAAAATACGCACATTGTTTTACTAGGTACATTATTTGGAGAGAGAAGATAGGTTCATTTAAAAAAAATTGTTTTTCATAAAACAAATAATAGGTACGTACTTTATTCAGAGAAAAAAGGGAACATTATTTAGAGAAAAAAAAGGTTCATTTAATAAAATGTTTTTCATAAAATAAACAATAAATAGATTATCAAAATATTTTTCAACATAATTAGAATGTGCACCATTATTCATGAAACTATAATAAAATAGATTACTAGTAGTATAATTCATAAAAGGAAAACAACAACAAAAATTTTATTAAATAAACCAAAACATTAATCACATGCAGATTACTAATACATTAATGTTGAATTTAATATTTAATTTCAAATAAGTTTTTAAATTAATTCCTACATCCATTACAACCATTTGAAGATATTTCCAAATTCAATTTGTGTCATTAGTTACATCCTCACATAACACGTCAACTTGTAAGTAGAGGTAATCCCAAAAATAGAATAAATCAGATTTTAAGCTAGATTAGGTATTTTAACACAAAAATAGCATTGGGTTTTACTTGAAAAAATTGGGTATTTTAAATAGAAAATAAAGAAAAGGGTTGTAGGTGATTAAAAATGAATTTTATGGGTCTAAGCTCAATTTACTAATTTTTTATTATAAAAAATATATATGTGGTCTCAACTTGTTAGCCTTTGGATTATTATTTAATGTGGTGGCAAGTTTACGATAAAAATCAAGCAGATCAAAGTAGAGAAAAACCAAGTAGAGGATCCGAATCTCTATGTTATCATCAATAATAAAGATATTCGAATTTGGGACATCTTATAATTTTAAAAAGATAAATAGAGAAAACTCTAAGAGAGAAAAAAAGTTTCAGCCGCCACCCCCTTTGGAGGTTGGTGATCTCCATCCCTCTCCTCCTCCCCTTCCCTCCCCTCCCAGACCTGTCCCTCCCCTATCCACCTCTACCCATCCCCTCCAGGACCTCCATCTTAGCTGAGTGCGGTGGCCGCAGAAAAACATAGTAGATATTTTGATGTGGCATTGACGTGTTAACTAAAAGTATTTGAGCCACAAGAACTAATTTATTGGTGCGTAATATACATCAGTTGTATTATTTTGTTTCTTTCTGTAAACATGGAAATTTCAACATCTAGAAAGCTATAGGAAGTAATCAAGTCGCCAAGACATCCCCCTTGACAATTATTGGATTGCCAAACTTTTACCAGTAGTACTACATTACAATTTGCATAGCGCTTTCACTTTACTTCCAAGAAAGGGAAGAGAAAAGAAAATAAGAAATAAAAAACAAAAAACAAGTCAAAATATGCATGAATGCTCCATCGCATGATTCTCCGATCTATGAATTCTTTTCTATTTTTCTTTTTTATGATTTAGGTTTAATCAGAAGACCAAAAATAAAAATAATAATGGCCAGGATCCCTTCAGGCACACAGTGTGATCAATTAAGCATATTAGTAAGGCTTCTCCCCAACAGAGTTGCCTGCAGGATCATAGTGGCAAACGACATAGGAACCTCCATAGGCGCACTGGACTTTGGCGCACCCAACAAGCCCCGTGTCACGCCAAACGACCTGCGTATAATGGCCACACTGCTTCCCAGGGGCGCAGGTGTTGGTCTTGTAATCATAATCGGCCTTCTCCGCCACCCATTGGTCCACAGCCAATTTCGCCGTCAAGTCTCCGTCCGGGCTCATTGCAAGGTTTTCACCAGGGCCTGAATTCGAGTGCACAAGGTCGCAGTCGCCGGCACGTTGGTTCGCATAGTTTTTCGCAGAATCTGCTAGGCCTTCATCCCAGTCCAAGGTGTCGAGGCCAACCGCCGCTCGAGCCGCGTTGTGGGCTTTCACGTAGTCATCTGGGGCGTTTTGGGCACGGGCTAACCCTATTAGGCAAATTAAAAGTAGGGCTAATGAGATCTTGTTCTTGCACAACCCTTCCATAATGTAAATTAGTGGTTAATTGTAATAATCTACAGATTGTTCTGCTAAAGAGTTTCTTGTTGGATATGGATTGGAAAATATTGAGACCTACGTCTGGGTTGGAGAGAATTATATATGTTGTTATTTTTGTGGATGTGAAAATTAATGTAGTTTGCATCATGTGTAACCAAGGAAGAACCCTATAAGTCGTCGAAACACCCGCACCTTGTAGAACCTAAAATAGCTAGGCTCCTTTAAATTGAAGAGGAGCTCCTACTCAAAACAAATAGAATTTTGACACATGACAAATTCCTTTAACCTTTTTTGTTTTTGTTTTGAACTTTAACAACTCTCAAACTTTTCCTTGGCCTAAATTTTGTCATTTCTAATTTAATCAAGGCTGATGAGATCTTGTTTTTTTTTGTTTTGTTTTGTTTTGAATTTTTATTTTAATTTTTTTATAGTATAGGGGATGAGAGTTTCTCATACACACACACAAAAAACTAAGATAACATGGGGGTTCGAACCTGAGACCTCTGGTCTGTAAGTCAAAGCCCTTTTCCATTAGGCTAGACTCTGTTAACGATGAGATCTTGTTCTTGGGGTGATGGATACATTTGTTGATGGGAAAATATTAAGATGTGCGTCTAGGTTGGGATCATTTAGTTAAATTAGTTTTGTTTGCATATGTGTTAAGGAGCACTCTATTTCTTTCTTTAAGGCCTTCTAACTTCCCACTCGCCCCTTAAGAACTAAAATCTGTTGTGCCATTTGTATCACCACCATAAATATCAAGAAACTGAAATTGTCCCACCAATCAAAAAAACTTAGTTGAAAATTTGGTCAAATATAGAGACATTATTACAATTACAAAGAACCATCATATTGGCTATGGAGTAAAATTGCGGAAATATGTTCACCTTTCACGAAAGTAAATGGGAGCCACACAATGAACCATCATGTCCTGGAAGAAGATTAGAGACGTTTGTTGTTCCTTTTGTCAGTGTTTGTTAAATTTTTAGGCTTGATCTTTTTTGATCAATAAAGTCAAGAAACTCTGTGAGTTTTTTGTGTTTTTGCTTCTCCTAATTCCAAAAACTTTATTGAGTTTGTTGAGTGTTCTTAGTCTCTTTAGAAGAGTCATGCCAGTTCGCGGCCAATTTTTTCCTTGATATCATTGGATTAGATTTGAGGAAACTATGGCAGTAGAAAGGGGTTAGAGAAAAGTTATTTTCGAGAGTGATCCTCTCCAGATCCTTTTCAGCTTTTTTACTGGCTCAGGTCACTAGGGAAGTTTTTACCCATGTCTGTCATATTGCTAATGGGATGGCTCCCTTTACTGTTGATATCCTTTGTACTCTTTTTTCATTGTATCATCTTTTTATAAATTAAAAATAAATAAAATAAAAGGGAGCCACACAAAATAGTTGGACATTCCAACAAAACGCGCAATACGTTCTTTTGACGGATGCAATTTGTTTTGCAAGAGATTGTTGCTCAACTAGTTAAGAATATTTACCCTTTAATCCTATGTCCAAGGGTCGATTCCCCTTATCTCAAAAAAGAAAACAAAAGAGAAAACAAAAGACAACTTTGGACGCAGCATGCATATGTCTCAAGTTTCCAAAATAATAAAAAGTTATTCTTCATATCCATTAAGTTTAGCATCCACCATGCCGGTGAATAAGATACAATGAATTGATGATCTAACATCACTTCTTAATTCATTTTATTCTTGATAATATAGCTTCATAGATATAGTTGGTTTAGTAAGGCTTCTCCCCGTTATAGTTGCCTGGCGGATCATAGTTGCACCCGATGAAGGTACCTCCACTGTTGCACCTCACTTTTGCACACCCTACACGAGCTGTGTTACGCCAAACAACCTGCGTATAATGCCCACACACCTTGCCATCGGCACAAGTGTTAGAGTCGTAGTTATAGTCAGCCTTCTCTGCCACCCACATGTTCACGGCATCCGTGCCCGACAAGTCACCGGTGCTCATGGCAAGGTTTTCGCCGTAGGGCCCACCAGAGTGGACAAGATTGCAGTCGCCAATGTGTTGATTGGCATAGTCTTGCGCATAGCCTTGTAGCTTCTCATCCCATGACAATGGCCCAACGTTTACCGCCGCTCGAGCGTTGTTATGGGCAGTGAGGTAGTCTTGTGGTGTGTCTTGGGCATGAGTGGATTGGAGAAGGGCAGAGCCTAAAACACAAACGAGGGCTAGTAAAATCTTGGACAGCCCCATGTTGGGTTTTGAGAGTTTGATAATGTATGGAGGAGTTTTTTGTTGCGAGAACGATACATATGGTGTGGAGTATTTATAATGGAAAATGTGGAAATTTATGTGCATTACTACATACAAGAGCGTTCCTAATACGTTACTGACTCTATCAATAATGATGTGTGCTTGTGCAATATAATATCAAAATACTTCAGAGCTTGTGAAATATCGATGCATCTAGAAAACATATGAGTTTTCTTTGCCATCAGAAAATAAAAAATAAAAAAACGTATGAGTTGACCAGTTAGCTAGGTCTAACTAAGGCTAACCGTCAATTTCGGTGAATAAATTGATCGCAAACTTTGGAAGACAAGAAAAGAAAAGTAAACTTTGGAAAATAGGGGAAAGGAATATGAAGTATATACCACACCATGATTGCTTTGGAAAATCCTTTATGGACTTTACCATACCATGTGTAGTGCGTGTAGTTGTACGGGTCTTGAAAAAGAAAGAGATATTTTGTTATATATCAATTCTTAGTACTAAAACTATAAATAAATCCTATATTATTTAATTTCTATAAAAAAAAAAACCCAAAAAAATTCCAGTATCAACGGTGTCTTCGGAATCATGTTTTAGCACGGTTGGTCAGGTAATTAATTCATTTCGTGCTTTTTTGACTCCTAAGATTGTGGAGGCCTTAATTTGCTCTCAAAATTGGTTAAGGTCAGATGACATATCTTCTTTATAATATAAGCCAACAATTCAAGAGATGAAGTTTTACAAATCCATTGAATTAGGTATTTCTTTGTAATTGTATATGCTTTATTAATGTATTATACAATTTGTATGTTTCACTAATGTTTTAATAGGTTTATGTTTTTTTTTATATAGATTTATGAGTTCATCCACACCTCCCAAGTCTGCCACAGCTACTTTTCAATGTTAAGAGGAATTTAATGAAGTTGAAACACTTGAGACTACATGCTTTTGTGAAGTTTTTGCATGCTTGTATTTTGTTTATATTTTGCTGCAGTAAGATTGTAATTTATATTTTGCTGAAGTTGGAATATAATTTATATTTGCTAAAGTTGGATTGATTTTGATGTATTAAAAGCTTGGCGGAAGTTTAAATTTTGGCTTGGCCTATTTGATAATGAACAAATTGGTAGGTTTGTAATATAATTAAACTTTGGGCAGGTCTGTAATATAATACAATTTTGGGCAGATTTGTAATATAAATAAAATTATATAATACAATTTTGGACTCAGGCCAAAAATGGGAAATTGCAAGAACAAAACCGGAATTGGGCAGGTCCGGGTTGGTTCGGTCTTGCCTATGAATTTTTGTCAAAATCAGACCGAATTAAATCGGTTTTCATTTTCAATTCAAGTTTCAATTTTATAAGAAAATGGTTTGAACCGAACTGTACCCACCCCTAATATCCATTAAGTTTAGCATCCATCATGCCAGTGAATAAGATACAATGAATTGATGATCGAACATCACTTCTTAATTCATGTTATTCTTGATAACATAGCTTCATAAATTTTTTTTTTTTTTTTTTTTTTTTTTGACGAACAGATATAGTTGGTTTAGTAAAGGCTTCTACTCAACATTGTTGCCTATGGTGAATATTATTGGCGCATCCATGCACCTGGCGCATGGTAGAATTTTCGCATAGGAGTTGTAAGGCTTCTGCCCAACATAGTTGCCTGGCGGATCATAGTTGCACCCGATGAAGGTACCTCCACTGTTGCACCTCACTTTTGCACACCCTACACGAGCTGTGTTACGCCAAACAACCTGCGTATAATGCCCACACACCTTGCCATCGGCACACGAGTTAGAGTCGTAGTTATAGTCGGCCTTCTCCACCAGCCACATGTCCACGGCATCCAGGCCCGACAAGTCACCGGTGCTCATGGCAATGTTTTCGCCGTAGGGCCCACCAGAGTGGATAGGATTGCAGTCGCCAATGTGTTGAGTATTTACAATGGTAAATGTGGAAATTTATGTGCATTACTATACAAGAGCATTCCTAATACGTTACTGACTCTATCAATAATGGAGTGTGCTTGTGAAATATAACATAAATAAAAACTTATGAAATATATTATGGATGCATGTAGAAAACGTATGAGTTGCTTTGCTATCAGAAAAAACAAAATAAAAAAACGTATATGAGTTGATCAGTAGTTAGCGTCTAAGTAAGGCTAACCCTCAATCTCGGGGAACAAATTGATCGCAAACTATGGAAGACCAGAAAAGAAAAGTAAACTTTGGAAAATAGGGGAAAGGAAATGAAGTATATACCATACCGTGATTGCTTTGGAAAATTCTTTATGGACTTTACCATACCATGTGTAGTGCGTGTGTGTTGTACGGGTCTTGAGAAAGAAAGGTGAAGTCATAAAATGGTTGGTCGGGTTCAGAGTAAGAAAATTACGAATCAGGATCTTGTCCTCACCTCTTAAAATTACGAGTTAATATGGTCAAGTCTCTTTGAGTTTTAGGAAGAGAAGTATCACTGGCCCAAAATCAAGAGTTAATTAGTATTTATTAAAGAGAGGTTGATGAAAATTAAATAAATAAAGAGAATGACATAAAAACTTACAAAAAATGAAAATTTTTTTACTTCTTTTTTATATGTGCCATCTCCTCTTATAATCAATAGTCACGTAAAAGAATGTTGTGAGGGTGAGGAGGTAAATTCGAACACAACCGTTCTTATTCCTCTAATTTCTCAACAACAAAAATACAAGACCGCCAAACAGGCCTAGTGGAGGTGTGCACGTATGTTTGTGTGACATGTAAATTTATTGTCTAGTAGGGATGGTCCTCCTCATTATAAGCAGGATCATAGTTGCAGATGACATAGTTTTGTCCATTCTTGCACTTTGAAATGCCACAACCAACTTCGGTGGTTTTGCCCCAAATCACACAAAGGTAATGTCCACATTCGTCTCGGACGCATTTGTTTAGCTCGTAGTCATAAAACTCCTTCTCAGTGACCCAATACTTGGTGGCAGCTGCTCCAGACATGCCTTCTCCTGAGGCCAAGTTCTCACCATAAGGCCCCATTGAGTGCTCCATGGCGCAGTCATCAACTCTCTTGTCTGCATAGTCTTGGGCATACTTGGCTAGGGTCTCGTTCCATTTGAGTGGACGGTTGCCGACCTGGGCGCGGGCCTTGTTGTGTTCCTCCACGAAGCCATCGATCTCTTCTTTGGGAAGGTTTGCAGAGACAAGAGTGAAGAACAATGCGACGGAGCAGATGGCCAGAAGAAGCTTGATGTTGAACGCCATTTTGTTTCTCGGTATGAGAAAGTCTCGGATGTTATTGTATTAGAGAATGTTGACGTGATAGAGGTTGATTGAAAGGGGAAATGAGATTGTGCATTTATATAGTTGGGAGGGTTAAATATAGGATCCTTGAAAATGGGAGGGTTTCTCAAGTTCTATAAATAACCACGGAGAACAGAGGGTTAAATATAGGATCCTTGAAAATGGGAGGGTTTCTCAAGTTCTATAAATAAGCATGGAGAACAAATAAGACTTGTGTGGGATTGCGTCACCGTTTCATGAGAGTGGATTTGGATCCTATATTACAATATATAATCATTACTTAGGCGAGGATTTTTAGCTGCAATGACAAACATTAAGCCTTGCAATGAAGATCAAAGTTTTGACTCTCGTCTTCTCTATCTCATAAATAAAGTATTCGTTACTCCAGAATGATATAAATGAACTTGTAATATCGCCCCTCTGTCAACTTCTTGTGGCTTTTAAAAATAAAGGGTAAAGCATTATGCTTCTTTCCAAAATACAAAGAAATGAAAGAGGAAGCAAAATAATTAGACAAAAAGGTCACCTTTTGTTCATGTAGTTTGACGAAATTTTCACTTTTGTTTGTAATTTTAATTCTAGTAATTTGACCCATGTAGTTTGATAAACACGCGTTTCTTACTTGGAGGAGTATTTTGTACTGAATTGTGGATGAAATTCGCTGGAAATTTAGATGGGTCCTTGAATTGCGATAGAATCAAACTATAAGGGTTAAATTGACAAAATTAAAACTACATGAACCAAAATAAAAAAAATTGGACAAACTATAGGGACCAAAAATGACTTTTTTTTCCCCAATTAAATATGGATATAGAGGAAAACGTTTGAAGGGTTTTGCCTCTCTTGATCTTGCAACAACTTTGGGCTCTCTTCTGCCCGAGTTGCCCCATATCAGATTGGCATTGTCTAGCGCATGAAAAACTCTTGCGAGTTTCTTGGTTTTCAGGCCCATTGTAGCAAAAAGGAAATACGTATGGTTGTTTAGCCTTATGTTTCTTACCAAACTAATGGATAATTAGTCCTTTATTAAAATTTTGGATAAACCAATTACATTTTTGTCTAGTTGTATTTTTCTTTCCAATATTAAAAATAAAAAAGTCAAATTCGAATCTTCCTCACTTCAATTTAAAAAAAAAAAAAAAAAAAAAAAAAAAAAAAAAAAAAAAACATTACATGGAAAAACCATAGACATAATTAGTGAAGTATAATTACAACGAACACATTCAAATTTTCAAAATCTATAAAGACATAAGAAATCCAAGTTCCTACCTCTAATCACTGCCAACCACAATCTTGACCAAGGTTTTAATCCAAAAATTCTTTGAGATCTTGAATAAAGTTAGGTGACATCTCAACCTTTACAACAAGTGTTCTATTCTACTTTAGCTTTCCAATCATATGAATCTCTAATCTTACTTGAAATGGTATAAGATATCATATAAGATTTGTTATATTTATAATGGAATGGGCTAAATTTACTTTATGTGAAGGATGTTGTATTAGAAATTTTGGGCTAAGAAAAAACGCCATACCTGGGCTATAGCTCAAGTTAGTCCTTACTAAGTACCATCCTTTGGTTATTGTACAACCACAATCAAATTGGTATACAAATCTCATATATATATAAAGAAACAGTGCATGCAAACATCATGAACAAGAAAATCTTAGGTGGCATTTGGTATCCTGTTTAAGTATGGAATTCAAAAACTTTTATTTTTCTTGAAAACAAAGAGTCCTAAAACCCATTTTTTAAGATTCAAAAACTTGTTTGGTATTCAATGAGGGAACCCAAACTTTAAAAACAAGGAGTTCTAAAATCCATGTTTGAAAATTAAAAAACTTGTTTGGTATGCAACTTGAAAACAGTTTCTTTGGAAAAAATTCTATAAAACAAATTTGTTATATTTTCAAGTATCTGGGTGTTTTTGAGTTATTTTTTAGTTTAGGTTTTCAAAACTAGGTCTACCAAACAATTTTTTTTGAGTTTTGGACTTAAATATATATTTTTAAAGTTTCAAAAGTTGGATTCAAATAGAGTACCAAACATGCACTTCACATCCCTTTGATATTCCATTTGTCAATTAAAAGACAAATGAGAGAGAAGAAAGAAAAAAAAAAAAAAAAAGAAAATAACGAAAATGAGATAATATTTCATTTAGAAATTACAAAAATGAAATAATCTTATTCTTTTTCATTTTTTATTCACTCTTGTCACCTCTCACAATACCATATCAAGTGCTAGTCATGTAAAAAATGTTGTGAGTGTGGGGAAGTATTTGTATACATCCGTTACACTTTATTTTTCTAATTTCGCCAAAAGACAAAAAAAAACACGGGATCACTCAACCGGCCTAGAGTTGGTGTGGTTGCGCGCACGTGAGCGTGCATACATAATCTAGTAGGGGCGCTCGTCCTCAGGCTGGTACATGGGATCGTAGCTGCAAACCACGTAGTTCTGTCCATTCTTGCACTTTGAAATGCCACATCCGACCTCGGTGGTTTTGCCCCAGACCAAAGCAAGGTAGTGACCACATTCGTCTTTGCTTTTGAGGCATTTGTTGGACTTTTCGTCATATAACTCCTTCTCAGTGACCCAATACTTGGTGGCAGCTGCGCCGCTCATGCCGTCGCCGGAGGCCAAGTTCTCACCCCAACGTCCCCTTGAGTGCTCCATGGCGCAATCGCCAACTCTTTTATCGGCATAGTCTTGGGCATACTGGGCCAAGGTCGTGTTCCACTTGAGGGGTTTGTTGCCGACCTCTTTACGAGCCTTGTTGTGCTCCTCAACGAAGCCATCGATCTCTTCTTTGGAAATGTTTGCAGAGACAATAGTGAAGACCAATGCGACGCAACAGATGGCCAAAAGAAGCTTCATGTTGTACTCTTTTTTTGTTTCTTGATATGAGCAGTTTAAGGTTTGTCCTTTGTAGTATAGAAGGTTATATTGTTAGATGTTGATTGAAAGGGGACATGGGATTGTGCATATATATAGAGACAGACAAGTTTGTGTCCGCAAAGAGGGTGTTCCAAAATAGGCCCTTAAAAGTGGGAGGGTTGAATTATTATTTTTAGTAAATTTTGTTTTTTCCCTTCAAACTATTTTTGTCATACCTACAATCCATCATTTTATTTTTCTATAAATAAAAACTAATTTTTATAAGTAAAACACAATGACTAGGATCCAACTCAGCTAGTTACCTAATCAAGTTTAAAATAGGATACATGATGGATTGTAGGCATGACTACATGGATACATGATGGATATGCAAGGGATAAAGGAGGGGTTATTTTGTATTTTCTTTTCCAAGAAAAAAAAAAGGGTTGTTTGGAATTGTTTCTATAAAAGAGAGATCTGAGTGCTAGTTTCAAATGTTAAAGAAAAAATAAACAATTAATATTTAATGATTGTATTGTACCAATAGTGATAATCATGTCTAGCTTGTTAGAAATGGATAAGATAAGTGAACCATATTGCTGAGTTTCTCATCCATAGTTTTAGCTATTCTAATGATATTGTTGCAAACATGTTATCGTGAATGCAGTTACTATCTTGCTCAGAAGAAAATTCCTTCTATCCATGGACATACAATGGGAGTAAAACTACAACAGTTCATATTTAATGCGTTTCCATAGGCACCTTCAACTGCACTTTTTGAGGTGACTTCATTTCCCCCACTCCCCTCTTTTTTCTTTTTCTTTTTTCCATTAATCTATTATTTACATTTACGTTTTCAAACTGACTTGGGCTTCCTAAACTACAAAATTTACAACCCAAAAAATAATACATTCTTAATTTCCTTGCCTCCCCTCTCTAATAATCTCCATAAGATTTACAGTTTACAGTTGTTGGTACTTTTGCAGAGATTGTTGTGTAGTTTTTAGCCTAAAAGAAAAAACCAAAAAGTAGAGTGGCTGCAGAGATAGTTGTTTCCCGGGCCATGCATGCCGCTCGTGTTTATTGCTTTGCTCCTCCTGCAAATATTGATAACACCAAATAAAAATATAGTTTGGTAATTATTGATAACACCAAATAACTTACTTTAGGTTAACTGTATTTAGTTTTGATACTAGTGATTAAGTAATAGGCTACATTTAATAAAATATATATTTTCTATAACAAACTGATTTTACAATGCACATGTACTTACATGAGGTGCTGAAAACCTGACCAGATTTTCTTAATTCCTTACAACTCCGGGTCAGTCTAAAATGCTATCTATGATGGATTTATTTCATATTCTACTACGTTGGCAGAAATCATTGGATGTTGACTATTGTTAATGTGGAGAAAGAGACCATTTATTTCACGGATCCCCTAAATAGGATCATGATTGGCGAGGAATGGAAACAAGTAAACACATATGTTTGTCCAAGCTATTTTTATTTAATTCGACTTCAATTGAAAGTTTTATGAAATTATTTTATCTATTAGCTTGTCATTCTCTTTGTTGGTGAATTGCCATTGAAGTGTTGAATGTGAAAAGGAATAGAAAAGGAAGAAAAACACCGCAGTGGATTATTTTAATGGTAAGTCCCCATCTAATATAGGATAAATGATCCATTTGTTATTTCTTATGTAAGCTTATTTTGATTGTTAATCATGTCTTACAATTCATCAATAATTATGTGTAGGGAACTCCTAAACAACCAATAATACAGAGTGTGGATATTTTGTGATGCGTTATATGAAGGAGATTATTGAAGATAAAAATTTGGAATTTGCATCTAAGGTACTAAATATCCATATAGCATGGTAGAATAGTACATTTATAAATTAATTTGAATGGAAACTAAATGTTTGATTAAGACTGCTTTTTTATTATGAGACTTGGCTAAGTCTTATTTTTGATATCTTGTTACAGTGGAGTAAAACAAATGATTGTACATATACACAAAATCAAATTGATGAAGTATGGTGTGAGTGGGCAGATTATGTGATGACCAATTATGTGTAGCTCAGACCTCAAAGTGGACAAGGTTTTTTTGCTCAAAATAGTGGACAAGGTTATCAACCACTGTTTTGGTTTCTTTTGAACATCATTACGTGGCAATCACTTTGATTGTCATTTTGTGAATGATATGATTTTCACATAGAATGTACAAAGTTTTAGATTGTCTGTGGTTGGTAGCTTTGGGATGTATGTACTAAATTCAAAGCTTTAGATTGCATGTAGACCTCAAATTGTTGTAATTGAACCAATTTTGCAATTGTATGGTTCGAATACTTTTCATATTGAAATATGAACACATCATTGTTCTGCCTATATTCGTTACTTTTGGAATGCAACAATATTAATTTTTTTTAAAAATCATATTCAATGCAAAGTTATCAATAACCATTGTGGAAAGAACCATATTACAACGGTTATTGAGCAAAACCGTTGTGGAAATAACCATACTACAACGGTTATTGAGAACAACAGTTGTTGAAAGTTCAATTTTATAACGGTTATTCTGAACAATTGTTGTGGAAAGAACCATACTACAACGGTTTTGCACAATAACCATTGTAGTAAGTGTAATACTACAACGGTTATTGAGCAAAACCGTTGTTGAAAGGGCCATATTACAACGGTCACTCTTGTATACTTGTTTTATATATGAGAATTGACAACGGTTTTTAAGAAAAAACGGTTGTTGAAAGTAACATATTACAACAGTTTTTGACTGTTGTCATAAATAGGTAGAAAAGACAACACTCCAAACCTCAACGGTTTTAGAAGAATTTCAAAAACGGCTAAAAACTGTTGTCTATTAACTTTTTTGTAGTAGTGTAAGGACCATCCCTAGTTATGATACAACCCACAATCAAATTGGTCTACAAATCTCAATTCAAAAAATCTCATATATACATAAAGAAACGGTGCATACAAACACATGCACCATGAACAAGAAAAGGGTGGCGTTGGTATCTATTCAAGTATGAAATTCAAAAATTTTGATTTTTCTTAAAAACAAAGAGTTCTAAAATCAAAATTTTAAGATTCAAAAACTTGTTTGGTATTCAATGAGGGAACTCAAACTTTAAAAACAAGGAGTTCTAAAATCCATACTTTAAGATTAAAAACAGTTTGTAGTAAATATTCTTAAAAAACAGATTTTTTTTTGTTTTTAAGTATTTGTGTGGTTTTGAGTTATTTTTGAGTAACTAGGTCTACCAAACGTATTTTTTGAATTTTGGACTCAATTTATTTTTTTTAAGTTTAAAAAGTTGAATTCAAACAAAATACCAAACATACACTTAACATCACATTTGTCACATATAATTTTTTAAATTAAAGACAAATACGAGATGGGGAGGCATTGGACGATTGAGATTGACCACAAAATAAAATAAAATAAAGAGAATGAGATAATATTTAGTTAGAAATTACAAAAATGAAATAATATTATTCTTTTTCATTTTTTATCCATTCTCTTGTCACCTCTCACAATACCATATCAAGTACGGGCGCTCGCAAAAGAAAAAAAACAACATGGGACCTCTCAAAAGGCCTCATGTAGGTGTGCGTACATACATCGTTTAGTATGGGCGCTCGTCCTCGGGCTGGTACATGGGATCGTAGCTGCAAACGACATAGTTCTTTCCATCCTTGCACTTTGAAATGCCACATCCGACCTCGGTGGTTTTGCCCCATACCACAGCAAGGTAGTGGCCACATTCGTCTTTGCTTTTGAGGCATTTGTTGGACTTTTCGTCATATAACTCCTTCTCAGTGACCCAATACTTGGTGGCAGCTGCGCCGCTCATGCCGTCGCCGGAGGCCAAGTTCTCACCCCAACGTCCCCTTGAGTGCTCCATGGCGCAATCGCCAACTCTTTTATCGGCATATTCTTGGGCATACTGGGCCAAGGTCGTGTTCCACTTGAGGGGTTTGTTGCCGACATCTTTACGAGCCTTGTTGTGCTCCTCAACGAAGCCATCGATCTCTTCTTTGGAAATGTTTGCAGTGACAAGAGTAAAGACCAATGCGACGCAGCAGATGGCCAAAAGAAGCTTCGTGTTGAACGCCATTTTTGTTTCTTGATATGAGAAGTTTAAGGTCTTTTCTTTGTAGTAGAGAAGGTTGGATTGTTAGATGTTGATTGAAAGGGGGCATGGGATTGTGCATATTTATAGAGACACAGACAAGTTTGTGTCCGTAAAGAGGGTCTTCGAAAATAGGCCCTTAAAAATGGGAGGGCTGAATATTATTTTTGTGGATTCTATAGATTGCCATAGAGGAGGGGCCAAATAAAGAAAAGAAAGAAGAGATCCATAGAAATTTGTTTTGTCACATCTTTTGCGCTTGGAATGCGTCCACACCAAGTTTTACTCACAATAAGGAGGGAAGACAATTTCTTTGGTGAGTTTCCTTTTTTTTCCTTAAAAAAGTAAGTTCTTTCTTTTCTTTTCTCCTTTTCAGGTGTATTTTTTTTTTTTTTTTTTTTTTTTTCTTTTTCTAATGGATAAGATGGAAAGAAGAAATAACAGGGTAGAACATTATTGGGTGCCTTGAGTAATATGTCTTTTGTTTTTCCTTCAGTTGTGTCTGTTTTTCCTTGCATTTGGCCTTAATAATTATATTTGAGTTTATTAATTACCTTGCTTAAGGCATTATTTCACTTAAGGGTTTTGTTGGTTGTTTTGTTTCGGATTGTGTGAAGGCTGGAGGCCGATTATATGAATTGCATGAAATTATATTGTGCGTGCTGCCTGTTGGGATATTAAATTATGAATTTTGTGCTGGGTGAAATTTGGGAAATGTTCAATTTACAGGGGAGACTCTGTTGTGTGTGCCGGGTCATTTCTCCATAGCCTTCAGCCAAGTTCTCACCATATGGGCCCTGTGAGTGCACCATTTCACACGTCTCAATCTTCGAATCCGTACACTTCTGGGCGTAGGCTGCAACAGTGTCGTTCCATTTGATTGAACCAACACCAACCTCAGCTCGAGCTCTGTTGTGTTCATCTATGAGGTCCTGGTGGGGTTCTTTGTTGGGTCTGGCTTGAGAGACATGGATTATGATTAGGGCTATGGAGAATATGCCAAATAAAAGCTTATTGATAGCTCCCACTTGAATTTCTGTGCAAGGCTTGGATCGATGTGTTAGAGGTTGATCTTAGGGCAAATTTATAGAGAGTTAAGGCAATTTGGACAGTAAAGAAGAAGATCTCAGATTAATTGCTGCCTGTGACATTCCTTGGATTTGGTCAGAAAATAAAGAAATAAAAAAAATTACATGCCCATTTTTGGGAATTCTTGGGTTTGATTTATATCCGTTTGCCAAAGGTGTCACACATTTGGAGATGGCAGTATAAATGCAAATTAATGGTTGTGTTGTTAAAAAATGTCATGGAAGGATAAGTTTCTACTTGAAGATCTTACTAAAACGTGAGTAAAGACTATGGCGCCACTCTTCTTGTAGAAAATTTTGATATATTTCTATAAAATTTTGGTCCCGTTTCAACGAAAAAAAGAAAAGAAAAAAAAGAAGGTAGATTTCTATTCAAAAGTTAGAAATTTTTTTATTTTTTAGTTAATTCAAGATATATAAAAAAACTCCTTTCATGAAATTTGAATCAAGAAGTCTTTAACAAGTAAAAATTATACAAGCGATTGTCTAAACTAATCTAATTTACGAAAAAGAAACATGATCAAGGAATAGCATATTACCACGAAATGAGCATACAATGAGTTATAAGTACTCAATATAAACTTTCATAGAGAACAATACATTCTTTAAGAGTAAAAACGAACATCAATAGTACATTTGTTCACCACATGAGATTTTACAAAAGAGAGACCCCACCTTCATGTGAACTCCACCCAATCATTATTTAGTCCAAAATACTACTCTAATATCAACCAACAACATCCAATCTGTTCCAAGTTCCAGTCCACCATCTCAACTTCATCAGCTTTATCAAATGCCCTCCAATTCTAGTAGGGACGCTCGCCCTCATAGTTACCAGGAGGATCGTAGCAGCAAATGACAAAAACCCAATTGTTATCACACTTAGCCCTTGCACAACCAAGATGAACCGAGTTCCGCCAAACCACCTGAGTATAATGCCCACATTCATCCCCAACACATTTGTTGGAGCAGTAGTTAGCAGCAGGATTTTTACTTTTTCAGAGAACTTTCACCCATTTGTCATGGCAAAAGTCTAGGGGAGACAAGGGCAATTACTCTTCACGTGAATAGTATCTGCCCTAGCAATTTTTTTATTGCTTTTCCACCCATTGCCATGGTAATTGAAGGACAATTACTATTCAAATGAGATTAATTTAATTTATATGTATGAGATTAATAATTAAAAAAAAAAATTGATACGTATGTATAGAAAAAAAAATATTCTCAATTTTTTGTAATTTTTCGGAATTTTTTTTCAGTTTTTTTCGTTGCTGACGTCACAACTCTCAGGCAATAGCTCGGGTTGTTCTTGCCTACCGGGCTTGGTGAAAAGATAAGATTGTGTTTTATCAAATTTACATGGTGGGAGGGAAGATAAGGTGGGTGGGGAAATAGTGTGAGAATGTGAAAGTAAAAAATCTCACATTGGAAAGTTAGAAAACCTTGCAATGGCTTATAAGGAGTTGGGTTACTCCCCCCATTTCCAATTAATTTTGGGGTGGAACCTCAACTTTCTTCATGGCATTAGAGCATGTGAAAGCCCAATGGTCACACGTGCTCCATGTAACCCAAAATGTGTTGTCCACGTGTTAGGCTTGAAAGTTCGCCACATGAGTGGGGGCATGTAAGAATGTGAAGGTAAAAAGTCTCACATTGGAAAGTTAGAAAACCTTGCAAAGGCTTATAAGGATTTGGGTTACTCCCCTCATTGCAAATTAGTTTTAGGGTGAAATCTCAACTTCCTTCAAATAGGACAAGGAGGTGGAAATAGCAGCACTCAAAAGAAAATACGTAGGCTTATTTAGCCTTAAGTTTCTTACCAAAGTAATGGATAATTAGTCCTTTATTAAAATTTTGGATAAACCAATTAGATTTTTGTCTACTTGTATTTTTCTTTCCAATGTAAGAAGTCTCAAATTCGAATCTTTCTTCACTTAAGATGAAAAAATAAACATAGACATAATTGGTGAAATATAATTACAACAATGAAAACATTCAAAATTTCAAAATCTATAATGACATAAGCAATCCAAGTTCCTAGCTTTAATCACTGCAACCACAATCTTGACCAAGGGTTTTAATCCAAAAATGAAAGAATGAGGTAATGAGATAATATTTCAGAAAGAGAGAGATTGACCAAAAAAAACATGAAGAGAATGAGATAATATTTCGGTTAGATTTTACAAAACTGAAATTATATTATTCTTTTCCTTTTTTATTTATTCATTGTCTTGTAACCTTTCACAATATCATGTCAAGTGCTAGTCACGTACAGGAATGTGGTGGGTGTGGGAAAGAATTTGTATACACCCATTACATTTTATTTTTCTAATTTCGCAACAGAAAAAAAACACAGGACTTTTCAACCGGCATCGTGTAGGTGTGCGTGTGCTCACGCAAGCACACATACATTGTCTAGTAGGGGCGCTCGTCCTCGGGCTGGTACATGGGATCGTAGCTGCAAACCACATAGTTCTGTCCATTGTTGCACTTTGAAATGCCACATCCGACCTCGGTGGTTTTGCCCCATACCACAGCAAGGTAGTGACCACATTCGTCTTCGCTTTGGAGGCATTTGTTGGACTTTTCGTCATATAACTCCTTCTCAGTGACCCAATACTTGGTGGCAGCTGCGCCGCTCATGCCGTCGCCGGAGGCCAAGTTCTCACCCCAACGTCCCCTTGAGTGCTCCATGGCGCAATCGCCAACTCTTTTATCGGCATATTCTTGGGCATACTGGGCCAAGGTCGTGTTCCACTTGAGGGGTTTGTTGCCGACCTCTTTACGAGCCTTGTTGTGCTCCTCAACGAAGCCATCGATCTCTTCTTTGGAAATGTTTGCAGTGACAAGAGTGAAGACCAATGCGACGCAGCAGATGGCCAAAAGAAGCTTCGTGTTGAACGCCATTTTTGTTTCTTGATATGAGAAGTTTAAGGTCTTTTCTTTGTAGTAGAGAAGGTTGGATTGTTAGATGTTGATTGAAAGGGGGCATGGGATTGTGCATATTTATAGAGACACAGGCAAGTTTGTGTCCGCAAAGAGGGTCTTCGAAAATAGGCCCTTAAAAATGGGAGGGTTGAATATTATTTTTTTGGATTCTGTAGATAGCCATAGAGGGGGGCCCAAATAAAGAAAAGAAAGAAGACATCCATAGAAATTTGTGGTGTCGCATCTTTTGTGCTTGGAATGCGTCCATACCAAGTTTTACTCACAACAAGGAGGGAAGACAATTTCTTTGGAGAGTTTCCTTTTTTTTTCCTTAAAAAAGTAAGTTCGTATTTTCTGTTCTTCTTTTCAGGTGAACTAGTTTTTTTTTTTTCCTTTTGTCTTTTTCTAATGGATAAGATGGAAAGAAGAAATAACAGGGTAGAACATTATTGGGTGCCTTGAGTAATATGTCTTTTGTTTTTCCTTCAGTTGTGTCTGTTTTTCCTTGCATTTGGCCTTAATAATTATATTTGAGTTTATTAATTACCTTGCTTAAGGCATTATTTCACTTAAGGGTTTTGTTGGTTGTTTTGTTTCGGATTGTGTGAAGGCCGGAGGCCCATTATATGAATTGCATGAAATTATATTGTGTGTGCTGCTTGTTGGGATATTAAATTATGAATTTTGTGCTGGTTGAAATTTGTGAAATGTTCAATTTATAGGGGAGACTCTGCCGAAATTTCGGTAGAAAGTCTCGTGCCTTTATTCCTTTATGGCAAAAGAGGATATAGTTTCATAAGTGAGTCCCGACATCGGTGTGATGTCGAGAATTGCACAGGATTTGTCTCGGGTTCCGAGGAATTCGGGGCGGGTCCTGTCAAACCGAGTTACGCTAAACCACCTGAGTATAATGCCCACATTCATCCCCAACACATTTGTTGGAGCCGTAGTTAGCAGCTGGATTTTTCCTTTCTCAAGAACTTTCACCCATTTGTCATGGCAAAAGTCTGGGGGAGACAAGGGCAATTACTCTTCACGTGAATAGTATCTGCCATATCAATCTTTTTGTTGTTTTTCCACCCATTGCCATGGCAACCGAAGGACAATTACTATTCAAATGAGATTAATTTAATTTATATGAATGAGATTAATAATTAAAAAAAATTGCTAGGTATGTATATAAAAAAAAAATATTCTCAATTTTTTTAAAATTTTTTTCAACTTTTGAAAATTTTTTTCGTTGCTGACGTCACAGCTCTCAGGCAACAGCTCGGGTTATTATTGCCTACCGAGCTTGGTTGAGTCCATGCCTCTTGCTTGGGTTGTTTTGTACCACTTGAGGAGCATTTCATGGCCTGGGCAACCTTTTGTTAGGGTTGGACTTAGCGCTAGAAGTGCTCTAACTCTTTTTTTAAAATTCTCATTTTTATAAATTTTATTTGAAATAATAGTGGGCTACGGTATTTTAGGAATAAAGCTGGGTGAAAAGGTAAGATTGTGTTTTATCGAATTTACATGGTGGGAGGGAAGATAAGGTGGGTGGGGAAATAGTGTGAGAATGTGAAGGTAAAAAGTCTCACATTGGAAAGTTAGAAGACCTTGCAATGGCTTATAAGGAGTTGGGTTACTCGCCCCATTTCCAATTAGTTTTGGGGTGGAACCTCAACTTTCTTCATGGCATTAGAGCGTGTGAAAGCACAATGGCCACACGTGTTCCATGTCACCCAAAATGTGTTGTCTACGTGTTAGGCTTGAAAATTCGCCACACGAGTGGGGGCGTGTGAAAATGTGAAGATAAAACATCCCACATTGGAAAGTTAAAAAACCTTGCAAGGACTTATAAGGATTTGGGTTACTCCCCCCCATTGCAAATTAGTTTTAGGATAAAATCCCAACTTCCTTCAAATAGGACAGGGGGTGGAAATAGCAACATTCAAAAGAAAATATGTGTGGTTATTTAGACTTAAGTTTCTTACCAAAGTAATAGATAATTAGTCCTTTATTAAAATTTTGGATAAACCAATTAGATTTTTGTCTACTTGTATTTTTCTTTCCAATGTAAGAAGCCTCAAATTTGAATCTTTTCTCACTTAAGATGAAAAAATAAACATAGACATAATTGGTGAAATATAATTACAACAATGAAAACATTCAAATTTTCAAAATCTATAATGACAAAAGCAATCCAAGTTCCTAGCTTTAATCACTGCAACCACAATCTTGATTCTTGACCAAGGGTTTTAATCCAAAAATGAAAGAATGAGGTAATGAGATAATATTTCAGAAAGAGAGAGATTGACCAAAAAAATCAGGAAGAGAATGAGATAATATTTCGGTTAGATTTTACAAAACTGAAATTATATTATTCTTTTCCTTTTTTTATTTTATTCATTCTCTTGTAACCTTTCACAATATCATGTCAAGTGCTAGTCACGTACAGGAATGTTGTGGGTGTGGGAAAGAATTTGTATACACCCATTACATTTTATTTTTCTAATTTCGCAACAGAAAAAAAACACAGGACTTTTCAACCGGCATCGTGTAGGTGTGCGTGTGCTCACGCAAGCACACATACATTGTCTAGTAGGGGCGCTCGTCCTCGGGCTGGTACATGGGATCGTAGCTGCAAACCACATAGTTCTGTCCATTGTTGCACTTTGAAATGCCACATCCGACCTCGGTGGTTTTGCCCCATACCACAGCAAGGTAGTGACCACATTCGTCTTCGCTTTGGAGGCATTTGTTGGACTTTTCGTCATATAACTCCTTCTCAGTGACCCAATACTTGGTGGCAGCTGCGCCGCTCATGCCGTCGCCGGAGGCCAAGTTCTCACCCCAACGTCCCCTTGAGTGCTCCATGGCGCAATCGCCAACTCTTTTATCGGCATATTCTTGGGCATACTGGGCCAAGGTCGTGTTCCACTTGAGGGGTTTGTTGCCGACCTCTTTACGAGCCTTGTTGTGCTCCTCAACGAAGCCATCGATCTCTTCTTTGGAAATGTTTGCAGAGACAAGAGTGAAGACCAATGCGACGCAGCAGATGGCCAAAAGAAGCTTCGTGTTGAACGCCATTTTTGTTTCTTGATATGAGAAGTTTAAGGTCTTTTCTTTGTAGTAGAGAAGGTTGGATTGTTAGATGTTGATTGAAAGGGGGCATGGGATTGTGCATATTTATAGAGACACAGGCAAGTTTGTGTCCGCAAAGAGGGTCTTCGAAAATAGGCCCTTAAAAATGGGAGGGTTGAATATTTTTTTTTTTTTGGATTCTGTAGATAGCGATAGAGGGGGCCCAAATAAAGAAAAGAAAGAAGAGATCCATAGAAATTTGTGGTGTCACATCTTTTGTGCTTGGAATGCGTCCATACCAAGTTTTACTCACAATAACGAGGGAAGACAATTTCTTTGGTGAGTTTCCTTTTTTTTTTTCCTTAAAAAAGTAAGTTCTTCTTTTCTGTTCTTTCTTTCTGATGAATTAGTTTTTTTTATCTTTTTTTTTTTCTATTGGATAAGATGGAAAGAAGAAGTAACAGGGTAGATGTATTTTGAGAACATTATTGGGTGTCTTTAGTAATATGTCTTTTGTTTTTCCTTCAGTTGTGTCTGTTGTTCCTCATGATTTAGTTGGCCTCCTTTCTTCTAGGCGTCTATATGCTATTGTTTAAACCTGCCTTCTGGTCCTAATATTTGGTGTCACCCACTATTCGTTTCTAATTTAGCCATATTCTTTTTTATAAGAATTAACTCATGTTTTTTTTTCTTATGAACAAACTCATGTTATAATGTGCGTTTATTTATTAATATTATATCATCGAATGCAAAGGACTTGTAAATCAAATAGTTAAAAGCATTTACTCTGCATTTGAAGTCCTCAGTTCGATTCCATCCTCCCTCAATATGGCTTGTATAAAAAAATTTATGTCATAATATATAAATTTGTCGTCCACTTACATCGATTTCTAATGTTACAGTGACACAACCAAAAACAAAAACTTTCTTCAATTTTTTATAATGTTAACAGTTTTTTGAGTTACATGTGTCTCTACTAGTGAACTGTGACTTTTTTTTTCTTTTTTTATAGAAATATCGGCTCTAAAATCTCTACGTACCCTCATCAGAGCTACTGCACACCTATCAAATTTGTGGCTAGCTAATGAGTCAAAAAATCATAAGAACAACCATACATAATTCAAATCAACGCACCATATATATATTTCTCTTTCATTTTTATCAACCAAAACACATTAAATTAATTAGGCTAAAAGTCACTTTTGGTCCCTGTAGTTTGACATTTCAACCACTTTTCACCCAATAGTTTCATTTCCGTCAATTTTCACTCTGTGTAGTTTTGTATCTGTAGCAATTCAAGGACAAGTTAGTATTCCTGTAAATTTATTTGACGGTGCAAGGATCAATTTCATCAACCCAAAATTCTTGAGCATAAAAGCTCATCTGAAACTCCCCTAATTTCATATTAGGGCTTGAAATTGGTCATTTGGATTTAGGGTTCTTCAAAAATTGGGATTAGTGGCTGAATTTCGAGCCCTAATATGAAATGGGGAGAATTTCAAACAAGCTTTTATGCACAAAGGTTTTGGGTTAACGAAATTACCCCTTGCATCGTTAAAGAAATTGACAAGAATACTAACATGTCCTTGAATTGCTACAATTACGAAACTACAATGGCAAACTTGACAGAATTGAAACTGCAGGGTCAAAAGTGGTTGAAATGCCAACCTATAGGGACCAAAAGTGACTTTTGGCCAATTAATTATTTTTAGATGTAACTTTCTTCAATATGACACTCAACAATTATACATATACAATCTAGTAAGGACGCCCTCCTATATAATTTCCAAGAGGATAATAACTACAAATCACAAATTGTAAAGAATCAAAAATTCGAACCAACACCAACACATACAATGAGTTAAAAGTTGTAGTGCCCACAGACATCACCAACGCATGTGTTGGAGGCATTGTCGTAGTTGGGCTTTTCAGTCACCCAAAACAAGGGGTCAACATTGGGACTCGAAAATCGTAACACCGAACTGAATCGAATAGAAAAAACTGAGAAAAAAACCAGTTGACTGAAAAAGTCAACAAACTGACACCGAATCAAACCGGACCGGTTTGAACTGGTTTTGGTTTCAATTTAACATACTATAGGACTGGATCGGACCAGATCAGACCGAACCAGACCCACCCCTTGGGCCAAAACTTCACTGCCTGCCCGCCGGTCATTTCTCCATAGCCTTCAGCCAAGTTCTCACCATATGGGCCCTGTGACTGCACCATTTCACACGTCTCAATCTTCGAATCCGCATACTTCTGGGCGTAGGCTGCAACAGTGTCGTTCCATTTGATTGAACCAACACCAACACCAACCTCAGCTCGAGCTCTGTTGTGTTCATCTATGAGGTCCTGGTGGGGTTCTTTGTTGGGTCTGGCTTGAGAGACATGGATTAAGATTAGGGCGATGGAGAATACGCCAAATAAAAGCTTATTGATAGCTCCCACTTGAATTTCTGTGCAAGGCTTGGATCGATGTGTTAGAGGTTGATCTTAGGGCAAATTTATAGAGAGTTAAGGCAATTTGGACAGTAAAGAAGAAGATCTCAGATTAATTGCTGCCTGTGACATTCCTTGGATTTGGTCAGAAAATAAAGAAATAAAAAAAATTACGTGCCCATTTTTGGGAATTCTTGGGTTTGATTTGTATCCTTTTGCCAAAGGTGTCACACATTTGGAGATGGCAGTATAAATGCAAATTAGTGGTTGTGTTGTTAAAAAATGTCATGGAAGGATAAGTTTCTACTTGAAGATGTTACTAAAACGTGGGTAAAGACTATGGCGCCACTCTTCTTGTAGAAAATTTTGATATATTTCTATAAAATTTTGGTCCCGTTTCAACAAAAAAAAAGAAAAAAAAAGAAGGTAGATTTCTATTCAAAAGTTACAAATTTTTTTATTTTTTAGTTAATTCAAGATATAAAAAAAAACTCCTTTCATGAAATTTGAATCAAGAAGTTTTTAACAAGTAAAAATTATACAAGCGTTGTCTAAACTAATCTAATTTACGAAAAAGAAACATTATCAAGGAATAGCATATTACCACGAAATGAGCATACAATGAGTTATAAGTACTCAATATAAACTTTCATAGAGAACAATACATTCTTTAAGAGTAAAAACGAACATCAATAGTACATTTGTTCACCACATGAGATTTTACAAAAGAGAGACCCCACCTTCATGTGAACTCCACCCAATCATTATTTAGTCCAAAATACTACTCTAATATCAACCAACAACATCCAATCTGTTCCAAGTTCCAGTCCACCATCTCAACTTCATCAGCTTTATCAAATGCCCTCCAATTCTAGTAGGGACGCTCGCCCTCATAGTTACCAGGAGGATCGTAGCAGCGAATGACAAAAACCCAATTGTTATCATACTTAGCCCTTGCACAACCAAGATGAACCGAGTTCCGCCAAACCACCTGAGTATAATGCCCACATTCATCCCCAACACATTTGTTGGAGCAGTAGTAAGCAACAGGATTTTTACTTTCTCAGAGAACTTTCACCCATTTGTCATGGCAAAAGTCTAGGGGAGACAAGGGCAATTACTCTTCACGTGAATAGTATCTGCCCTAGCAATTTTTTTGTTGCTGTTCCACCCATTGTCATGGCAATTGAAGGACAATTACTATTCAAATGAGATTAATTTAATTTATATGTATGAGATTAATAATTTAAAAAAAAAATTGATACGTATGTATAGAAAAAAAAAATATCCTCAATTTTTTTCTAATTTTTCAGAATTTTTTTCAGTTTTTTTCGTTGCTGACGTCACAACTCTCAGGCAATAGCTCGGGTTGTTCTTGCCTACCGGGCTTGGTTGAGTCCACGCCTTGCCTAGGTTGTTTTGTACCGCTTGAGGAGCATTTCTTGGCCTGGGCAACCTGAAATTGATACTTAGGTAATGAAGGGTAAATTTAATCACACAAACAAGACATAACAACACAGCAATCTTCACACACTTTAAACCTTGACCAAATGCACATATGACTAGTCAACTGCTAGTCATGAACAATCACAATCAAGAGAACACACAGATCATGCCACAATGTACCTGCAACCCTATATGATTACTAGTGACAACCTAGGCACTCAGAAGGACCCGTCAATCTAGGCATCCCCTGTGCTAGCAACAACTATGGTGAAAGTGTGTGAAATCATCATAATCATGCAAACATCAAACAGCAGATAAAGATGACTAGTCAACCACCAAAAACACAAACCCAGAAAAATTACAGATATGCAAAACAGATTTTGTTCACCCAGAAACCCACCATTGGGAAAAACTGGGAGTCATCAACCGACCAGACACTCCACTAAGTAGAAAAAGATTCTTACAAAGGAAACACAACCAAGCTCAAGATGCACCTAGGTCTATTTAGGAAAATTAGCAATACCTCCTTTGTGCAATCTTCTTCTCCAACTTAGCAAAACTTGAAGCTCAGTTCTTCATGGCAATGGCAGCTCCTTCTCCAGCTCGTTCATCCCATGGCACTAGCTTGCAAGCTCCAACACAGACCGAAACCAATATTTGGATTCAAAGGAGAATGACCAATTTCTTCAAGAAACCATACTCTTGAAGAAATCAGTCTTGAATCTGACCTAGATATAAATGAGAGATGATTTAAATAGCTAGATGTAGATTCGGGTTTCAAAAGCAGTTTTTCAAAAAGAAATCAATTGGAAAAACTCATAGATGAAATATATGGTTATCTCTTGAGGAAGAAGAAGAGAAAGAAAGCAAGGCAATCTTTCCAAAACTTCCACCCAAAAGAGACAGCCGCCAAATGAGCAAAATCGTAGCCTTTACAGACAAAAAAATTCCTTAGGTCAGAAACCCACTTGGCAGCAGAGAGAGAGAAAGAAGAATAGGACAAAACAGTTTGTTATCCAGCTGGAAGCAAGGATGACTAGTCATATGAGAAACGGATGACTAGTCATCATTTTATGAAGACTGTTTAATATAATGATATGCAATGCTCAATACCTTTGTCAACTTGTTTGAGCCACCATAGAGCAGAGATTAGAGAAGAGCACCAATAAAAGTTTTCCTTAATCTAGACTTGAGCTTGATAAATTACATTACACATCCTATTACAAAGTTGTCAAGGGAAGCCAAAAGAAAATAGCAAAAATCATACATTAACAATCTCCCCCTTTTTGGCTTTCCTTCACAACACACTCTCTAAGAACACTCAACCCAAAACCGAGACTAAGAAGATGATGGAGTGAAGGTACCTGCAAGAACAACCAATCTTCCCGGCACAAAAACAAGCATATTATCACATAAATTTTAAAACAATATGCAATGTGGGGTTGAGAGTGTTCTCCCCCTTGTTGATAAGGAAAGTGCAAAAAGGCAGAGAGATAGAAACAACATACAAAAGGGATTAACCACAAAGTGATAGGCATATATGAACAAAGTTAACAGCACATAATCATAGATGGATGACTAGTCAAATAACAGTTGTTTAAAACAGTACAGAACATAGATTTATGGCTAGTCAAATACCAGTTGTTCAAAACATTGGAAAGTTAAAACGTCCCACATTGAAAAGTTAAAAAACCTTGCAAGGACTTATAAGGATTTGGGTTACTTCCCCCATTGCAAATTAGTTTTAGGATAAAATCTCAACTTCCTTCAAATAGGACAGGGGGTGGAAATAGCAACATTCAAAAGAAAATACGTGTGGTTATTTAGACTTAAGTTTCTTACCAAAGTAATAGATAATTAGTCCTTTATTAAAATTTTGGATAAACCAATTAGATTTTTGTCTACTTGTATTTTTCTTTCCAATGTAAGAAGCCTCAAATTCGAATCTTTTCTCACTTAAGATGAAAAAAAATAAACATAGACATAATTGGGGAAATATAATTACAACAATGAAAACATTCAAATTTTCAAAATCTATAATGACATAAGCAATCCAAGTTCCTAGCTTTAATCACTGCAACCACAATCTTGATTCTTGACCAAGGGTTTTAATCCAAAAATGAAAGAATGAGGTAATGAGATAATATTTCAGAAAGAGAAAGATTGACCAAAAAATTCATGAAGAGAATGAGATAATATTTCGGTTAGATTTTACAAAACTGAAATTATATTATTCTTTTCCTTTTTTTATTTTATTCATTCTCTTGTAACCTTTCACAATATCATGTCAAGTGCTAGTCACGTACAGGAATGTTGTGGGTGTGGGAAAGAATTTGTATACACCCATTACATTTTATTTTTCTAATTTCGCAACAGAAAAAAAACACAGGACTTTTCAACCGGCATCGTGTAGGTGTGCGTGTGCTCACGCAAGCACACATACATTGTCTAGTAGGGGCGCTCGTCCTCGGGCTGGTACATGGGATCGTAGCTGCAAACCACATAGTTCTGTCCATTGTTGCACTTTGAAATGCCACATCCGACCTCGGTGGTTTTGCCCCATACCACAGCAAGGTAGTGACCACATTCGTCTTCGCTTTGGAGGCATTTGTTGGACTTTTCGTCATATAACTCCTTCTCAGTGACCCAATACTTGGTGGCAGCTGCGCCGCTCATGCCGTCGCCGGAGGCCAAGTTCTCACCCCAACGTCCCCTTGAGTGCTCCATGGCGCAATCGCCAACTCTTTTATCGGCATATTCTTGGGCATACTGGGCCAAGGTCGTGTTCCACTTGAGGGGTTTGTTGCCGACCTCTTTACGAGCCTTGTTGTGCTCCTCAACGAAGCCATCGATCTCTTCTTTGGAAATGTTTGCAGTGACAAGAGTGAAGACCAATGCGACGCAGCAGATGGCCAAAAGAAGCTTCGTGTTGAACGCCATTTTTGTTTCTTGATATGAGAAGTTTAAGGTCTTTTCTTTGTAGTAGAGAAGGTTGGATTGTTAGATGTTGATTGAAAGGGGGCATGGGATTGTGCATATTTATAGAGACACAGGCAAGTTTGTGTCCGCAAAGAGGGTCTTCGAAAATAGGCCCTTAAAAATGGGAGGGTTGAATATTATTTTTTTGGATTCTGTAGATAGCCATAGAGAGGGGCCCAAATAAAGAAAAGAAAGAAGAGATCCATAGAAATTTGTGGTGTCGCATCTTTTGTGCTTGGAATGCGTCCATACCAAGTTTTACTCACAACAAGGAGGGAAGACAATTTCTTTGGAGAGTTTCCTTTTTTTTTTCCTTAAAAAAGTATGTTCGTATTTTCTGTTCTTCTTTTCAGGTGAACTAGTTTTTTTTTTTTCCTTTTGTCTTTTTCTAATGGATAAGATGGAAAGAAGAAATAACAGGGTAGAACATTATTGGGTGCCTTGAGTAATATGTCTTTTGTTTATCCTTCAGTTGTGTCTGTTTTTCCTCATGACTTAGTTGGCCTCCTTTCTCCTAGGCGTCTATATGCTATTGTTTATACCTGTCTTCTGGTCCTAATCCCCTTTGTTCACTGAAAAAACTGATAAAGAAAATCACCATACTCTAGTATTTGGTGTCACGCACTATTCGTTTCTAATTTAGCCATATTCTTTTTTATAAGAATTCACACATGGTTTTTTTTTCTTATGAACAAACTCATGTTATAATGTGCGTTTATTTATTAATATTATATCAGTGGATGCAAATGACTTGTAACTCAAATAGCTAAGAGCATTTACTCTGCATTCGAGGTCCTAAGTTCGATTCCACCCTCCCTCAATATGGCTTGTATTATGTCACAAGATATAAATTTGTCGTCCACTTACATCAATTTCTAATGTTACAGTGACAAAAAAAAAACTTTCTTCAATTATTTATAATCTTAACGGTTTTTTGAGTTACATGTGTCTCTACTAGTGAACTGTTACTCTCTTGTTTTTTCTCTCTTTCTTTCTTTTAGAAATATCGGCTCCAAAATTTCTACCCTCATCAGAGCTATTGCACACCTATCAAATTTGTAGCTATCTAATGAGTCAAAAAATCATAAGCACAACCATACATAATTCAAATCAACGCACCATATATATATATATTCCCTTTCATTTTTATCAACCAAAACACATTAAATTAATTATTTTGAGATGTAACTTTCTTCAATATGACACTCAACAATTATACATATACAATCTAGTAAGGACGCTCTCCTATATAATTTCCAGGAGGGTAATAACTACAAATCACAAACATCCAGCCATTCTTGCACTTAGCCCTAGCACAACCCACATGAGTCGAATTGCGCCAAACCACCTGAGTGTAGTGCCCACAGACATCACCAACGCATGTGTTGGAGGCATAGTCGTAGTTGGGCTTCTCAGTCACCCAAAACTTCACAGCCTGCCCGCCGGTCATTTCTCCATAGCCTTCAGCCAAGTTCTCACCATATGGCCCCTGTGAGTGCACCATTTCACACGTCTCAATCTTCGAATCCGCATACTTCTGGGCGTAGGCTGCAACGGTGTCATTCCATTTGATTGGCCAACACCAACCTCAGCTCGAGCTCTGTTGTGTTCATCTATGAAGTCCTGGTGGGGTTCTTTGTTGGGTCTGGCTTGAGAGACATGGGTGCTTAAGATTAGGGCTATGGAGAATATGCCAAATAAAAGCTTATTGATAGCTCCCATTTGTATCTCTTTGCAAGGCTTGGATCGATGTATTAGAGGTTGATCTTAGGGCAAATTTATAGAGAGATAAGGCAATTTGGACAGTAAAGAAGAAGATCTCAGATTAATTGCTGTCTGTGACATTCCTTGGATTTGGTCAGAAAATAAAGAAATAAAAACAATTACACGCCCATTTTTGGGAATTCTTGGGTTTGATTTGTATCCGTTTGCCAAAGGTGTCACACATTTGGAGATGGCAGTATAAATTCAAATCTCAATTCAAAAAATCTCATATATACATAAAGAAACGGTGCATGCAAACACATGCACCATGAACAAGAAAAGGGTGGCGTTTGGTATCTATTCAAGTATGAAATTCAAAAATTTTGATTTTTCTTAAAAACAAAGAGTTCTGAAATCAAAATTTTAAGATTCAAAAACTTGTTTGGTATTCAATGAGGGAACTCAAACTTTAAAAACAAGGAGTTCTAAAATCTGTACTTTAAGATTAAAAACAGTTTGTAGTAAAAATTCTTAAAAAACAGATTTTTTTTGGTTTTTAAGTATTTTTGTGGTTTTGAGTTATTTTTGAGTAACTAGGTCTACCAAACATATTTTTTGAATTTTGTACTCAATTTATTTTTTTAAAGTTTAAAAAGTTGAATTCAAACAGAATACCAAACATACACTTAACATCACATTTGTCACATATAATTTTTTAAATTAAAGACAAATACGAGATGGGGAGGCATTGGACGATTGAGATTGACCACAAAATAAAATAAAATAAAGAGAATGAGATAATATTTAGTTAGAAATTACAAAAATGAAATAATATTATTCTTTTTCATTTTTTATCCATTCTCTTGTCACCTCTCACAATACCATATCAAGTACGGGCGCTCGCAAAAGAAAAAAAACAACATGGGACCTCTCAAAAGGCCTCATGTAGGTGTGCGTACATACATCGTTTAGTATGGGCGCTCGTCCTCGGGCTGGTACATGGGATCGTAGCTGCAAACGACATAGTTCTTTCCATCCTTGCACTTTGAAATGCCACATCCGACCTCGGTGGTTTTGCCCCATACCACAGCAAGGTAGTGGCCACATTCGTCTTTGCTTTTGAGGCATTTGTTGGACTTTTCGTCATATAACTCCTTCTCAGTGACCCAATACTTGGTGGCAGCTGCGCCGCTCATGCCGTCGCCGGAGGCCAAGTTCTCACCCCAACGTCCCCTTGAGTGCTCCATGGCGCAATCGCCAACTCTTTTATCGGCATATTCTTGGGCATACTGGGCCAAGGTCGTGTTCCACTTGAGGGGTTTGTTGCCGACATCTTTACGAGCCTTGTTGTGCTCCTCAACGAAGCCATCGATCTCTTCTTTGGAAATGTTTGCAGAGACAAGAGTGAAGACCAATGCGACGCAGCAGATGGCCAAAAGAAGCTTCGTGTTGAACGCCATTTTTGTTTCTTGATATCAGAAGTTTAAGGTCTTTTCTTTGTAGTAGAGAAGGTTGGATTGTTAGATGTTGATTGAAAGGGGAAATGGTATTGTGCATATTTATAGAGACACAGGCAAGTTTGTGTCCGCAAAGAGGGTCTTCGAAAATAGGCCCTTAAAAATGGGAGGGTTGAATATTATTTTTTTTGGATTCTGTAGAGAGCCATAGAGGGGGCCCCAAATGAAGAAAAGAAAGAAGAGATCCATCGAAATTTGTGGTGTCACATCTTTTGAGCTTGGAATGCGTCCATACCAAGTTTTACTCACAATAACGAGGGAAGACAATTTCTTTGGTGAGTTTCCTTTGTTTTTTTTCCTTAAAAAAGTAAGTTCTTCTTTTCTGTTCTTTCTTTCTGATGAATTAGTTTTTTTTATCTTTTTTTTATCTATTGGATAAGATGGAAAGAAGAAGTAACAGGGTAGATGCATTTTGAGAACATTATTGGGTGTCTTTAGTAATATGTCTTTTCTTTTTCCTTCAGTTGTGTGTGTTGTTCCTCATGATTTAGTTGGCCTCCTTTCTCCTAGGCGTCTATATGTTATAGTTTAAACCTGTCTTCTGGTCCTAATCCCCTTTGTTCACTTAAAAAACTGATAAAGAAAATCACCATACTCTAGCCATATTCTTTTCTAATTTAGTCATATTCTTTTTTATAAGAATTCACTCATGTTTTTTTTTTCTTATGAACAAACTCATGTTATAATGTGCGTTTATTTATTAATATTATATCGTTGGATGCAAAGGACTTGTAACTCAAATAGTTAAGAGTATTTACTTTGCATTTGAGGTCCTAAGTTCGATTCCACCCTCCCTCAGTATGGCTTGAATAAGAAAATTTATGTCATAAGATATAAATTTGTCGTCCATTTACATCAATTTCTAATGTTACAGTGAAAAAAAAAAACTTTCTTCAATTATTTATAATCTTAATGGTTTTTTGAGTTATTACATGTGTCTCTACTAGTGAACTGTTACTCTTTTTTTCTTTTTTTTTTTTCTTTCTTTTAGAAATATTGGCTCCAAAATCTCTACCCTCATCAGAGCTATTGCAAACCTATCAAATTTGTAGCTAGCTAATGAGTCAAAAAATCATCATAAGAACAACCATACATAATTCAAATCAACGCACCATATATATTCTCTTTCATTTTTATCAACCAAAACTAGGGATGACAATTTTTCCTGCGGGTAAGGGTCTTCGCGGGGCTTCGACCCTAATGGGTCTGGTATGAAGGACAAAAAACGGTTATGGGGAAATTATCGGGTATGGTGATCAGGGAGGGGCGGGGATGATATTTTAATCCCCAACCCGAATCCGACCCGTTAAGAATATATATATGTATATATATATATACACACACTATATATACTATATATAAATATTAATAAAGAGATTTCCTATTATTATATTATATATAATAATAGGAAAGCTCTTTAGTAATAGGAAGTCTCTTCAACTTCAACTATGCGAATATGGATTAATAGGAAATCAAATCAGCCGACATATGGCTTTCTATAATAATAGGAATATTTATTATATATAAATATATTATTATAGAGATTTCAGTATTGCCCTAGTTGTTGTTTATACATCTTACAGAGCCAACATCTAGGGCTCTCTCTTTCCCACATAAATTTGGATCACTTGCACCCTTCATTCTTTCAAAGTCAGAGGAGCATATTATCAACATACTGCAAGCACCACTATCCTAGGTACTCGATTCCAACTTTTAACCATTGACAATATTTTTTTTTTGTTCTATTTTTAGTTCTCATATCATCTAACATGATCACTGTAGGTAAAAACATATATTAATATATTACTAAATTTGTTAGTTGAAATAAGAATTACCAATATTATATCTTAGTTTATGCTTAGACAATTATTTGTCATATTTTACCTATTAATAGATTTCTTGAACATCCTATTCATAGATGCACATTGATAATGAGAACATTTTGGACTTTGACGGTGGTACTCAACAACAAGATTCTCCGAATGTGAAGACATCAATTGAATGCTCAATAAGAGTTGAGAATGAGGATGAGAACCAAGAACACACTGCACAACCAACTGATGAAGAACCAAACCAAGATTCTGGTGGGCGTGATGATAACAGTCAAAATAAGAGAAAGTTAAGATCTGTTGTTTGGAATCATTTTAAAAAACAAAAGATTGGAGATGTGTGGAAAGCAGTGTGCAATAACTGTGGGAAAAAGCTATTGGCTGGAAGCAAAAATGGAACTACACATTTGCATGATCGTTTCAAAATATCTCTTTTTAGGAAGCAAAGAGATATAAAGCAGTCTTTGTTGCATCCTACTAAATCAAATGATGGGGGTGTCAAGCTTAGTACGTATAATTTTGATCAACAAAATGCAAGGAAGGAGCTTGCTTGTATGATTATTTTGCATGAGTACCCGATGTCCATGGTTGAACATGTCGGTTTTAGAAGATATTCAATGACTTTCCAACCCTTGTTTAAGATGGTTTCTCGAAACACAATTAAGGGTGACATCTTTAAAATATTTGAGTATGAGAGAGAAAGAACAATGAAGTTGTTGGAGACAAATCAAAATAGAATTGCAATTACAACTGATATGTGGACCTCAAATAACCAAAAGAAAGGGTTTATGGCCGTCACATCTCATTTCATTGATGAATCTTGGAACTTGCAAAGTTGACTTGTGAGGTAATTTATTTAGTTTTGAAAATAAAACTTTTAACATATGTTTCATTTTAAATGCCTATTATAGCTTGTGTACTTAATTTGTCAAATTTTTTTTTTGGTACTAGATTTATATATGTGCCACGTCCACATACAGCTGAGACTCTTGCTAGTGCTTTGATGGATTGTTTGCTAGATTGGAACATTGATCGTAAGTTATCCACTTTGACTGTAGATAATTGCACATCTAATGATTCCATGATTGAAACATTGTTAGAAAAAATTTCTAGCTCACTGTTGTTGGATGGAAGTTTGTTTCACATGCGTTGTTGTGCACATATATTGAACTTGATTGTTAAGGATGGTTGCATGTTATCAACACTAGCATTGAGAAAATTCGTTCTAGCGTTGCCTTTTGGTTAGCCACTTCAAAGAGAGCGGAAAAATTTATTGAGGTAGCCCGTCAATTGAAAATTGAGAGCACTAAGCAATTAGAGCTAGATTGCAAAACTAGATGGAACTCTACCTATTCGATGCCTAAGACGGCAATGATATACAAAAATGTTTTTCCTCGCTTGAGACAACGTGAGTCCATATATAAAATTATTCCTAGTGAGCAAGATTGGACGAAGGCAAGTATCATTGCTGAAAAATTGCATATTTTTTATACTGTGACTAAATTGTTCTCTGGGACAAAGTATCCTACATCAAACCTTTATTTTCCACACATTTGTGAGATTAGGTTGGCAATTTATGATTGGCTATTGTCTGACCAAGATGAAGTGAAATTGATGGCCTCAAAAATGGTAACAAAGTTTGAAAAATATTGGGATACAATGCATGACATGATGGGATTGGCAATTATTTTGGATCCAAGGTTTAAGATGAAATTGATTGAGTTTTATTTTCCTCTTATATATAAAGAGAAGTCTTCCTTGGAAATTGAGAGAATACGTAAATTGTCTTATGATATTGTCAAAGAGTATCAGTCCAAGTCTAATTCAAGTGTTACTCATGAATTTTGTCAATCTTAAATTTCTACCTATTCATCGATGGCATATCAAGTTGTAGTTGGGAATTGTATGCACAAGTTTGAATCTTTTCTTTCTATTTCAACTAATGTTGAGCTCGTTAAATCAGAGCTGGACCATTATTTGGAAGAGTCTCTTTTACCTAGGACTCTTGATTTTGATATATTATCATGGTGGAGAACAAATGGCATCAAATATCCTACTTTGCATGATATTTCTAGGGATATTTTGACCATTCCTGTGTCTACAGTTGCTTCAGAGTCGGCATTTAGCACTAGTGGAAGAATTGTAAGCCCCCATCGTAATCAACTTCATTCAAAAACTGTGGAGGCCTTGATGTGTGCTCAAGATTGGCTATGGAATGAGATAAAAGGTATTGAAAATATGTTATACAAATTTACCGTTAAATGTAATTGTTACTTAGTATTTTCTGATTATTCATGTTCATTGTGAATAGGTTCAAACTCTACAGCATTGTTCCAGGGCTACACATCTGATAATGATGTTGAGAATGAGGTAAAATATGAATTATATTATATAATTGATAATGATGTTTAATATCCTACTCTACATTATTGTAAAATTTATATTTTTGTTTTATTTGTGTCAGGGATCTTACACTGAAGAAGTTGAAAACATCACTTTGTGCGATTAAGATGTGTGATGACTACCTCTATAATGATGAACATGCTTGGACATGTAATTTTGATATGTATTAATTTTTTTTTAATATAGTCTAGATTTTTAGTTAATAATAATTGAATTGATACATATGTTTGCGCTTATAGTGATTTTTTTTTTTCGTTCAACAAACTATTTTTTTATTGGTTTTTCTTCAGTAATGGGGCAGGTAGGGGAACCCATTCCCCAATGAAGGAGGGGATGGGGAATCCCCGCTTAGAATATTACGGGTATGAATGCGGGGATGGGGATGGGAAGAGCATACCCATCCCTAATTTGACCCATTGCCATCCCTAACCAAAACAAATTAAATTAATTATTTTGACATGTAACTTTCTTCAATATGACACTCAACAATTATACATATACAATCTAGTAAGGACGCATAATATACGAATTTGTATACAAATGGTGCTCGGAATTGCTCGAACGAGCGATTGAGATTTTGGGTAAAAATCGGCCAATTTCTTACTTTTTTCGGCGATCCATACGGCGGTTAGTAACAGATGAGATGTGAGGGTGGTAGAGGACAACATGCTGGTTCTTTTGATACCCACGTCGTCGCTTGGAGTGGCCGGAGGAGGAGATGGCAGCCCAAAAACTGGTCGGATGAACAGTAACAAAGGGGATGGGTTGCTGTTCTGGAATTTTGGGGGGGGATGAACAGTAACGTTCGTAACGGAACTTCAAAAAAACTGACGGAAAGGGTAACGTGAGACGGTTTTTTAAATATTGGGGGGGTACTTTGAGCCGTTTGCAAACACATGTGGTAATCTGAGATAAGTTGGAAAGCATAGAGGGCATGTACATAATTAAGCCTTAAAATTTTGGATAAACAAATTAGATTTTTGTCTAGTTGTATTTTTCTTTCCAATATAAGAAGCCTCAAATTCAAATCTTTCCTCACTTAAGAAGGAAAAATAAACACAATATTGGTGAAATATAGTTACAACAATGAAAACATTCAAATTTTCAAAATCTATAATGACATAAGCAATCCAAGTTCCTAGCTTTAATCACTGCAACCACAATCTTGACCAAGGGTTTTAATCCAAAAATGAAAGAATTAGGTAATGAGATAATATTTCAGAAAGAGAGAGATTGACCAAAAAAAACATGAAGAGAATGAGATAATATTTCGGTTAGATTTTACAAAACTGAAATTATATTATTCTTTTCCTTTTTTATTTATTCATTCTCTTGTAACCTTTCACAATATCATGTCAAGTGCTAGTCACGTACAGGAATGTGGTGGGTGTGGGAAAGAATTTGTATACACCCATTACATTTTATTTTTCTAATTTCGCAACAGAAAAAAAACACAGGACTTTTCAACCGGCATCGTGTAGGTGTGCGTGTGCTCACGCAAGCACACATACATTGTCTAGTAGGGGCGCTCGTCCTCGGGCTGGTACATGGGATCGTAGCTGCAAACCACATAGTTCTGTCCATTGTTGCACTTTGAAATGCCACATCCGACCTCGGTGGTTTTGCCCCATACCACAGCAAGGTAGTGACCACATTCGTCTTCGCTTTGGAGGCATTTGTTGGACTTTTCGTCATATAACTCCTTCTCAGTGACCCAATACTTGGTGGCAGCTGCGCCGCTCATGCCGTCGCCGGAGGCCAAGTTCTCACCCCAACGTCCCCTTGAGTGCTCCATGGCGCAATCGCCAACTCTTTTATCGGCATATTCTTGGGCATACTGGGCCAAGGTCGTGTTCCACTTGAGGGGTTTGTTGCCGACATCTTTACGAGCCTTGTTGTGCTCCTCAACGAAGCCATCGATCTCTTCTTTGGAAATGTTTGCAGTGACAAGAGTGAAGACCAATGCGACGCAGCAGATGGCCAAAAGAAGCTTCGTGTTGAACGCCATTTTTGTTTCTTGATATGAGAAGTTTAAGGTCTTTTCTTTGTAGTAGAGAAGGTTGGATTGTTAGATGTTGATTGAAAGGGGGCATGGGATTGTGCATATTTATAGAGACACAGGCAAGTTTGTGTCCGCAAAGAGGGTCTTCGAAAATAGGCCCTTAAAAATGGGAGGGTTGAATATTATTTTTTTTGGGATTCTGTAGATAGCAATAGAGGGGGGCCCAAATAAAGAAAAGAAAGAAGAGATCCATAGAAATTTGTGGTGTCACATCTTTTGTGCTTGAGAACATTATTGGGTGTCTTTAGTAATATGTCTTTTGTTTTTCCTTCAGTTGTGTCTGTTGTTCCTCATGATTTAGTTGGCCTCCTTTCTTCTAGGCGTCTATATGCTATTGTTTACTGAAAAAACTGATAAAGAAAATCACCATACTCTAGTATTTGGTGTCACGCACTATTCGTTTCTAATTTAGGCATATTCTTTTTTATGAGAATTCACACATGTTTTTTTTTTCTTATGAACAAACTCATGTTATAATGTGCGTTTATTTGTTAATATTATATCATTGGATGCAAAGGACTTGTAACTCAAATAGCTAAGAGCATTTACTCTGCATTCGAGGTCTTAAATTCGATTCCACCCTCCCTCAATATGGCTTGTATAAGAAAATTTATGTCACAAGATATAAATTTGTCGTCCACTTACATCAATTTCTAATGTTACAGTGACAAAAAAAAAACTTTCTTCAATTATTTATAATATAAATAGTTTTTTGAGTTACATGTGTCTCTACTAGTGAACTGTTACTTTTTTTTTTTTTTTCTTTCTTTCTTTTTGAAATATCGGCTCCAAAATCTCTACCCTCATCAGAGCTATTGCACACCTATCAAATTTGTAGCTATCTAATGAGTCAAAAAATCATAAGCACAACCATACATAATTCAAATCAACGCACCATATATATATATATATATATATATTCCCTTTCATTTTTATCAACCAAAACACATTAAATTAATTATTTTGAGATGTAACTTTCTTCAATATGACACTCAACAATTATACATATACAATCTAGTAAGGACGCTCTCCTATATAATTTCCAGGAGGGTAATAACTACAAATCACAAACATCCAGCCATTCTTGCACTTAGCCCTAGCACAACCCACATGAGTCGAATTGCGCCAAACCACCTGAGTGTAGTGCCCACAGACATCACCAACGCAGGTGTTGGAGGCATAGTCGTAGTTGGGCTTCTCAGTCACCCAAAACTTCACAGCCTGCCCGCCGGTCATTTCTCCATAGCCTTCAGCCAAGTTCTCACCATATGGCCCCTGTGAGTGCACCATTTCACACGTCTCAATCTTCGAATCCGCATACTTCTGGGCGTAGGCTGCAATGGTGTCGTTCCATTTGATTGGCCAACACCAACCTCAGCTCGAGCTCTGTTGTGTTCATCTATGAAGTCCTGGTGGGGTTCTTTGTTGGGTCTGGCTTGAGAGACATGGGTGCTTAAGATTAGGGCTATGGAGAATATGCCAAATAAAAGCTTATTGATAGCTCCCATTTGTATCTCTTTGCAAGGCTTGGATCGATGTATTAGAGGTTGATCTTAGGGCAAATTTATAGAGAGATAAGGCAATTTGGACAGTAAAGAAGAAGATCTCAGATTAATTGCTGTCTGTGACATTCCTTGGATTTGGTCAGAAAATAAAGAAATAAAAACAATTACACGCCCATTTTTGGTAATTCTTGGGTTTGATTTGTATCCGTTTGCCAAAGGTGTCACACATTTGGAGATGGCAGTATAAATGCAAATTAATGGTTGTGTTGTTAAAAAATTTCCCGGAAGGATAAGTTTCTAATCGAAGATATTACTGAAAGGTGAGTAAAGACTATGGCGCTACTCTTTTCTAGTAGAAAATTTTGATATATTTCTATAAAATTTGGTCTCGTTTCAAAGAAAAAAAACAGTAGATTTCTTTCCAAATGTAAGAAATTTTTAAAAATTTTTTAATTCAAGATTTAAAAAAAAACTCTCGTTCATGAAATTTGAATCAGGAAGTCTTAAACAAGTAAAAATTATGCAAGTGATTCTCTAAATTAATTTACTTTACGAAAAAGAAACATTATCAAGGAAAGTGACGACGACACATTACCCCGGAATGAGCATACAATGAGTTGTAAGTACTCAATATATACTTTCTTAGCGCTGAATTTTTAAAATTTTTCTCAATAGAGAACAATACATTCTTTAAGAGTAAAAACGAACATCAGAGCTAGAAAGGGTGATCACATCAATAGTACATTTGTCCACCACATGATGTTTTACAAAAGAGAGACCCCACCTTCATGTGAACTCCAGCCAATCATTATTTAGTCCAAAATACTACTTTAATATCAACCAGCAACATCCAATCTGTTCCAAGTTCCAGTCCACCATCTCTACTTCATCGGCTTGATCAAATGCCTTCCAATTCTAGTAGGGACGCTCGCCCTCATAGTTACCAGGAGGATCGTAGCTGCAAATGACAAAAACCCAATTGTTGTCACACTTTGCCCTAGCACAACCAAGATGAACCGAGTTCCGCCAAACCACCTGAGTATAATGCCACGTTTTGTTGGACCCGTAGTTAGTAGCTGGATTTTTTCTTTCTTAGAGTACTTTCACCCATTTGTCATGGCAAAAATCTAGGGGAGACAAGGGCAATTACTCTTCACGTAAATACTATCTGCCATTACAATTTTTTTGTTGCTTTTCCACCCATTGCCATGGCAATCGAAAAACAATTACTATTCACATGAGATTAATTTAATTTATATGTATGAGATTAATAATAATAAAAATTGCTAGGTATGTATAAAAAATATATATTCTTAATTTTTTGTAATTTTTCAGAATTTTTTTCAATTTTTTTCGTCACTGATGTCACAGCTCTCAGGCAACAGCTCGGGTTGTTCTTGCCTACCGGGCTTAGTTGAGTATACGCCTTGCCTGATTGGTTTTGTACCCCTTGAGGAGCATTTCTTGGCGTAGGCAACCTTTTGTCAGGGCTGGACTTAGCGTTGGAAGTGCTCTTACTCTTTTTTTTAAATTCTCCTTTTTATAAATTTCATTTGAAATAATAGTGGGCTACGGTATTTTAGGAATAATGCTGGGTGAAAGATAAGATTGTGTTTTATCAAAGTTACATGGTGGTAGGGAAATAGTGTCAGAATGTGAAGGTAAAAAGTCTCACATCGGAAAGTTAGAAAACTTTGCAATGGCTTATAAGGAGTTGGGTTACTCTCCCCATTTCCAATTAGTATTGGGGTGGAACCTCAACTTTCTTCATGGCATCAGAGCAGGTTGCCCACGTGTGAAAGCCCAATGGCCACACGTGCTCCATGTCACCCAAAATGTGTTGTCCACGTGTTAAGCTTGAAAATTTGCCACAAGAGTAGGGACGTGTGAGAATGTGAAGGTAAAAAGTCCCACATTGGAAATTTAAAAAACCTTGCAAGGGCTTATAAGGATCTGGGTTACTCCCCCCTTTGCAAATTAGTTTTAGGGTGAAATCTCAACTTCCTTCAAATAGGACAAGAGGGTGGAAATAGCAGCACTCAAAAGAAAATATGTACGCTTATATAGCCTTAAGTTTCTTACCAAAGTACGTAATGGATAATTAGTCCCTTATTAAAATTTTGGATAAACCAATTAGATTTTTGTCTAGTGGTATTTTTCTTTCAAATGTAAGAAGCCTCAAATTTGAATCTTTCCTCACTTAAGATGAAAAAATAAACATAGACATAATTGGTGAAATATAATTACAACAATGAAAACATTCAAGTTTTCAAAATCTATAATGACATAAGCAATCCAAGTTCCTACCTTTAATTACTGCAACCGCAATCTTGTCCAAGGGTTTTAATCCAAAAATGAAAGAATGAGGTAATGAGATAATATTTCAGAAAGAGAGAGATTGACCAAAAAAAACATAAAGAGAATGATATAATATTTCGGTTAGATTTTACAAAACTGAAATTATATTATTCTTTTCCTCTTTTTTTATTTATTCATTCTCTTGTAACCTTTCACAATGTCATGTCAAGTGCTAGTCACGTACAGGAATGTTGTGGGTGTGGGAAAGTATTTGTATACACCCATTACATTTTATTTTTCTAATTTCGCAAAAGAAAAAAAACACAGAACTTTTCAACAGGCATCGTGTAGGTGTGTGTGTGCGCACGCAAGCATACATACATTCAAGGGTGGAATCAAGAATTTTTCAACGGGTGGGCTAGCTAAAGTTATTAGCTTAAAATTTAATGATTATTGTTTTTTGGTACTTACAATTTCTATAGTCTTTCGAGAAATAAAATTAACCATTAAATCATATAAGCCAAGCTAGTTCATAGCTCCATAAACTAATTTTCAATAAGTTTTAACATGAACCAAATAAGGTTTAACACCATATAGAGGATTGAACATCTAAGGTTTTTTACCTAGATTGACCTTAGGTTCCTTCATGCATTCATATCATACATGAAAAGTTGTTTTATGTAAAAATATTGACTAAATCATTTCCTCAAGATAATTTTTGGCGGCTTTTATTCCTCACACATCAAATAAGAAAACTTGATTTTATGGGATTTTAGTATGAAGTATATATTGACCTAATGAGCCATCATTTTTAGCCTAAATCGTATTTTGCACTAAAACCAATTTTTCATATTTTGATTTGGTGGGAATTTAATTTTCTAGTATTTTTATTTAAATCCAAATGGGGGGTACTTCCTTATTTACATTGTAAACTTAAGTAAATGAAGTAATATAAAAATAAATAAAAGTAAAATGACAAAGACAAATAAGTTAATATTGAAAATAAGTTAAAGATAGAGGTTTTAATTTTTTTTTTCTTAAAAAACCACACTGGGCTATAGCCCACTGTAGCCTTTAGAGCATTTCCACCAGTTAGCCCCTTGCCATGGCAAGGGGAGCCCTAGGGCCGTTACTATTCACGTGAATAGTGGCTGCCCTAGCCCCCCCAGTAAAGTGTGTTTCCAGCAATTTAGGCTTGTCATGGCAAATACTATTCATTTTTTAATTTTTTTTACAACTTTTTTTACTTAAACAATCAATTTGGATAATATTTTTGGATAAGATTTTATTTTATTTGTTGTATTTTTTTTATATGTGTATTGGTCGATATTTATAGAAAAAAAAAGGTATGAGGATCTGATGTTAAAAGTGAGTATTGGTTGGTATTTATAGACACTGGCGGACCCATAATTTTTTTAGCAGAGGTGCAATATTGACTAAGTATGAAAAATGGTTTTTCGGAATAATCATTTTCTCAAGATAATTTTTGGCGGCTTTTATTCCTTACACATCAAATAAGAAAACTTGATTTTATGGGATTTTAATCTGAATTATATATTGACTTATTGAGCCATCATTTTTAGCCTAAATCGTATTTTGCATATTTTGATTTGGTGGGAATTTGATTTTCTAGTATTTTTATTTGAATCCAAATAGGGGGTACTCCCTTATTTACATTGTAAACTTAAGTAAATAGAGTAATATAAAAATAAATGAAAGTAAAAGGACAAAGACATTTACTTAAAGGTTGAAAATGGAAATAAGGTATAGAGAAAAAAAAAGGAATAATTTTTTAGTATTTTTTTTCATTTTTTTTATTGGGAAAAAATTGGTTGCTGTTGGATTGCTGTTAAAAAGGGGATCCGAGAGCCCAAAGCTAGCCACGTGGAAGAGAGCCGTTGGGGGGGCACTCCATCGCTGATGTCGGGTCAGCCCAGTTCGCTGGGTCCCATTCCTTGCCCTGTCAAAATTTTGTTGCTGATGGAAACGCCATTTTGCAATAGCTTATAAGGAGTTGAGTTACTCCCCCCATTTCTAATTAGTTTTGGAATGGAACCTCAACTTCCTTCATGGTATCAAAGCAGGTTGCCCATATGTGAAAGCCCAACGGCCACACGTGCACCATGTCGCCCAAACTGTGTTGTCCACATGTTAGGCTTGAAAATTCGCCACACAAGTGGGAGCGTGTAAGAATGTGAAGGTAAAAAGTCCCACATTCAAAAATTAGAAAATCTTGCAAGGGCTTATAAGAATTTGGGTTATTCCGCCCATCACAAATTAGTTTTTGGGTGGAATATCAACTTCCTTCTAATAAGACAGGAGGGTGGAAATAGCAGCACTGAAAAGAAAATACTTACGGTTATTTAGCCATAAGTTTCTTACCAAAGTAATGGATAATTAATCCTTTATTAAAATTTGGCTTAATTATGTACATGCCCCCTGTGCTTTCCAACTTATCTCATATTACCACTTGTGCTTGCAAACGGCTTAAAGTACCCCCCAACGTTTAAAAAACCGTCTCACGTTACCTTTCCGCCAGTTTCTTTGAAGTTCCGTTACGAACGTTACTGTTCATCCCCCCAAAATTCCAGAACAGCAGCTCATCCCCTTTGTTACTGCTCATCACTTATTTACCCTCCAAAACTCAGAAATTTCTCATAACCAACACAACTAGCAGCAAGAACAGCTCGAGAGGTTGAAAAACCATACCTGGATCGAAGCAAATGGTGCTCGGAATTGCCCGAACGAGCGATGGAGATTTTGGGTAAAAATCGGCCAATTTCTTACTTTTTTCGGCGATCCATACGGCGGTTGGTAACGGATGAGATGTGAGGGTGGTAGAGGACAACATGCTGGTTCTTTTGATACCCACGTCGTCGCTTGGGGTGGCCAGAGGAGGAGATGGCAGCCCAAAAACTGGTCGGATGAACAGTAACAAAGGGGATGGGTTGCTGTTCTGGAATTTTGGGGGGGATGAACAGTAACGTTCGTAACGGAACTTCAAAAAAACTGACGGAAAGGGTAACGTGAGACGGTTTTTTAAATATTGGGGGGTACTTTGAGCCGTTTGCAAACACATGTGGTAATCTGAGATAAGTTGGAAAGCATAGAGGGCATGTACATAATTAAGCCTTAAAATTTTGGATAAACAAATTTGATTTTTGTCCAGTTGTATTTTTCTTTCCAATATAAGAAGCCTCAAATTCAAATCTTTCCTCACTTAAGAAGGAAAAATAAACACAATATTGGTGAAATATAGTTACAACAATGAAAACATTCAAATTTTCAAAATCTATAATGACATAAGCAATCCAAGTTCCTAGCTTTAATCACTGCAACCACAATCTTGACCAAGGGTTTTAATCCAAAAATGAAAGAATGAGGTAATGAGATAATATTTCAGAAAGAGAGAGATTGACCAAAAAAAACATGAAGAGAATGAGATAATATTTCGGTTAGATTTTACAAAACTGAAATTATATTATTCTTTTCCTTTTTTATTTATTCATTCTCTTGTAACCTTTCACAATATCATGTCAAGTGCTAGTCACGTACAGGAATGTGGTGGGTGTGGGAAAGAATTTGTATACACCCATTACATTTTATTTTTCTAATTTCGCAACAGAAAAAAAACACAGGACTTTTCAACCGGCATCGTGTAGGTGTGCGTGTGCTCACGCAAGCACACATACATTGTCTAGTAGGGGCGCTCGTCCTCGGGCTGGTACATGGGATCGTAGCTGCAAACCACATAGTTCTGTCCATTGTTGCACTTTGAAATGCCACATCCGACCTCGGTGGTTTTGCCCCATACCACAGCAAGGTAGTGACCACATTCGTCTTCGCTTTGGAGGCATTTGTTGGACTTTTCGTCATATAACTCCTTCTCAGTGACCCAATACTTGGTGGCAGCTGCGCCGCTCATGCCGTCGCCGGAGGCCAAGTTCTCACCCCAACGTCCCCTTGAGTGCTCCATGGCGCAATCGCCAACTCTTTTATCGGCATATTCTTGGGCATACTGGGCCAAGGTCGTGTTCCACTTGAGGGGTTTGTTGCCGACATCTTTACGAGCCTTGTTGTGCTCCTCAACGAAGCCATCGATCTCTTCTTTGGAAATGTTTGCAGAGACAAGAGTGAAGACCAATGCGACGCAGCAGATGGCCAAAAGAAGCTTCGTGTTGAACGCCATTTTTGTTTCTTGATATGAGAAGTTTAAGGTCTTTTCTTTGTAGTAGAGAAGGTTGGATTGTTAGATGTTGATTGAAAGGGGGCATGGGATTGTGCATATTTATAGAGACACAGGCAAGTTTGTGTCCGCAAAGAGGGTCTTCGAAAATAGGCCCTTAAAAATGGGAGGGTTGAATATTATTTTTTTTGGATTCTGTAGATAGCCATAGAGGGGGGCCCAAATAAAGAAAAGAAAGGAGATCCATAGAAATTTCTGGTGTCGCATCTTTTGTGCTTGGAATGCGTCCATACCAAGTTTTACTCACAACAAGGAGGGAAGACAATTTCTTTGGAGAGTTTCCTTTTTTTTTTCCTTAAAAAGTAAGTTCGTATTTTCTGTTCTTCTTTTCAGGTGAACTAGTTTTTTTTTCCTTTTGTCTTTTTCTAATAGACCCATTTGTCATGACAAAAATCTAGGGGAGACAAGGGCAATTACTCTTTACGTAAATACTATCTGCCATTACAATTTTTTTGTTGCTTTTCCACCCATTGCCATGGCAATCGAAAAACAATTACTATTCACATGAGATTAATTTAATTTATATGTATGAGATTAATAATAATAAAAATTGCTAGGTATGTATAAAATATATATATTCTTAATTTTTTGTAATTTTTCAGAATTTTTTTCAATTTTTTTCGTCACTAACGTCACAGCTCTCAGGCAACAGCTCGGGTTGTTCTTGCCTACCGGGCTTGGTTGAGTATACGCCTTGCCTGGGTTGTTTTGTACCCCTTGATACTACTTTAATATCAACCAACAACATCCAATCTGTTCCAAGTTCCAGTCCACCATCTCAACTTCATCAGCTTTATCAAATGCCCTCCAATTCTAGTAGGGACGCTCGCCCTCATAGTTACCAGGAGGATCGTAGCAGCAAATGACAAAAACCCAATTGTTATCACACTTAGCCCTTGCACAACCAAGATGAACCTGAGTATAATGCCCACATTCATCCCCAACACATTTGCTGGAGCAGTAGTTAGCAGCAGGATTTTTACTTTCTTAGAGAACTTTCACCCATTTGTCATGGCAAAAGTCTAGGGGAGACAAGGGCAATTACTCTTCACGTGAATAGTATCTGCCCTAGCAATTTTTTTGTTGCTTTTCCACCCATTGCCATGGCAATTGAAGGACAATTACTATTCAAATGAGATTAATTTAATTTATATGTATGAGATTAATAATTAAAAAAAAAATTGATACGTATGTATAGAAAAAATATATATTCTCAATTTTTTGTAATTTTTCGGAATTTTTTTTCAGTTTTTTTCGTTGCTGACGTCACAACTCTCAGGCAATAGCTCGGGTTGTTCTTGCCTACCGGGCTTGGTGAAAAGATAAGATTGTGTTTTATCAAATTTACATGGTGGGAGGGAAGATAAGGTGGGTGGGGAAATAGTGTGAGAATGTGAAAGTAAAAAGTCTCACATTGGAAAGTTAGAAAACCTTACAATGGGTTATAAGGAGTTGGGTTACTCCCCCAATTTCCAATTAATTTTGGGGTGGAACCTCAACTTTCTTCATGGCATCAGAGCATGTGAAAGCCCAATGGTCACACGTGCTTCATGTAACCCAAAATGTGTTGTCCACGTGTTAGGCTTGAAAATTCGCCACATGAGTGGGGGCATGTAAGAATGTGAAGGTAAAAAGTCTTACATTGGAAAGTTAGAAAACCTTGCAAAGGCTTATAAGGATTTGGGATACTCCCCTCATTGCAAATTAGTTTTAGGGTGAAATCTCAACTTCCTTCAAATAGGACAGGGGGGGTGGAAATAGCAGCACTCAAAAGAAAATACGTAGGCTTATTTAGCCTTAAGTTTCTTACCAAAGTAATGGATAATTAGTCCTTTATTAAATTTTTGGATAAACCAATTAGATTTTTGTCTACTTGTATTTTTCTTTCCAATGCAAGAAGTCTCAAATTCGAATCTTTCTTCACTTAAGATGAAAAAAAAACATCGACATAATTGGTGAAATATAGTTACAACAATGAAAACATTCAAATTTTCAAAATCTATAATGACATAAGCAATCCAAGTTCCTAGCTTTAATCACTGCAACCACAATCTTGACCAAGGGCTTTAATCCAAAAATGAAAGAATGAGGTAATGAGATAATATTTCAGAAAGAGAGAGATTGACCAAAAAAAACATGAAGAGAAAAAAAAACACAGGACTTTTCAACCGGCATCGTGTAGGTGTGCGTGTGCTCACGCAAGCACACATACATTGTCTAGTAGGGGCGCTCGTCCTCGGGCTGGTACATGGGATCGTAGCTGCAAACCACATAGTTCTGTCCATTGTTGCACTTTGAAATGCCACATCCGACCTCGGTGGTTTTGCCCCATACCACAGCAAGGTAGTGACCACATTCGTCTTCGCTTTGGAGGCATTTGTTGGACTTTTCGTCATATAACTCCTTCTCAGTGACCCAATACTTGGTGGCAGCTGCGCCGCTCATGCCGTCGCCGGAGGCCAAGTTCTCACCCCAACGTCCCCTTGAGTGCTCCATGGCGCAATCGCCAACTCTTTTATCGGCATATTCTTGGGCATACTGGGCCAAGGTCGTGTTCCACTTGAGGGGTTTGTTGCCGACATCTTTACGAGCCTTGTTGTGCTCCTCAACGAAGCCATCGATCTCTTCTTTGGAAATGTTTGCAGTGACAAGAGTGAAGACCAATGCGACGCAGCAGATGGCCAAAAGAAGCTTCGTGTTGAACGCCATTTTTGTTTCTTGATATGAGAAGTTTAAGGTCTTTTCTTTGTAGTAGAGAAGGTTGGATTGTTAGATGTTGATTGAAAGGGGGCATGGGATTGTGCATATTTATAGAGACACAGGCAAGTTTGTGTCCGCAAAGAGGGTCTTCGAAAATAGGCCCTTAAAAATGGGAGGGTTGAATATTATTTTTTTTGGATTCTGTAGATAGCCATAGAGAGGGGCCCAAATAAAGAAAAGAAAGAAGAGATCCATAGAAATTTGTGGTGTCGCATCTTTTGTGCTTGGAATGCGTCCATACCAAGTTTTACTCACAACAAGGAGGGAAGACAATTTCTTTTGGAGAGTTTCCTTTTTTTTTTCCTTAAAAAAGTAAGTTCGTATTTTCTGTTCTTCTTTTCAGTGTGAATTTTTTTTTTTTTTTTTTTTTTTTTGTCTTTTTCTAATGGATAAGATGGAAAGAAGAAATAACAGGGTAGAACATTATTGGGTGCCTTGAGTAATATGTCTTTTGTTTTTCCTTCAGTTGTGTCTGTTTTTCCTCATGACTTAGTTGGCCTCCTTTCTCCTAGGCGTCTATATGCTATTGTTTATACCTGTCTTCTGGTCCTAATCCCCTTTGTTCACTGAAAAAACTGATACAGAAAATCACCATACTCTAGTATTTGGTGTCACCCACTATTCGTTTCTAATTTAGCCATATTCTTTTTTATAAGAATTCAGTCATGTTTTTTTTTCTTATGAACAAACTCATGTTATAATGTGCGTTTATTTATTAATATTATATCATTGGATGCAATGGACTTGTAACTCAAATAGTTAAGAGCATTTACTCTGCATTTGAGGTCCTAAGTTCGATTCCACCCTCCCCCAATATGGCTTGTATAAGAAAATTTATGTCATAAGATATAAATTTGTCGTCCACTTACATCAATTTCTAATGTTACAGAAAAAAAAAAAAATTTTCTTCAATTATTATATAATTTTAATGTGTTTTTTGAGTTACTACTGTGTCTCTAGTGAGTTTTATTTTTTTTTTTTTTTTTTTTTTTTTTTTTTTTCTTTTTTTTTTTTTAATATCGGCTCCAAAATCTCTACCCTCATCAGAGCTATTGCAAACCTATCAAATTTGTAGCTAGCTAATGAGTCAAAAAATCATCATAAGAACAACCATACATAATTCAAATCAACGCACCATATATATTCTCTTTCATTTTTGTCAACCAAAACTAGGGATGTCAATTTTTCCAGCGGGTAAGGGTCTTCACGGGGCTTCGACCCTAATGGGTCGGGTATGAAGGACAAAAAAGGGGTATAGGGACGGGTATGGGGAAATTATCGGGTATGGTGATCAGGGAGGGGCGGGGATGATATTTTAATCCCCAACCCGAATCCGACCCGTTAAGAATATATATTTATATATACACTATATATACTATATATAAATATTAATAAAGAGATTTCCTATTATTATATTATATATAATAATAGGAAAGCTCTTTAGTAATAGGAAGTCAAAATTTTGATTTTTCTTAAAAACAAAGAGTTCTAAAATCAAAATTTAAGATTCAAAAACTTGTTTGGTATTCAACGAGGGAACTCAAACTTTAAAAACAAGGAGTTCTAAAATCCATACTTTAAGATTAAAAACAGTTTGTAGTAAATATTCTTAAAAACAGATTTTTTTTTGTTTTTAAGTATTTGTGTGGTTTTGAGTTATTTTTGAGTAACTAGGTCTACCAAACATATTTTTTGAATTTTGGACTCAATTTATTTTTTTAAAGTTTAAAAAGTTGAATTCAAACAGAATACCAAACATACACTTAACATCACATTTGTCACATATAATTTTTTAAATTAAAGACAAATACGAGATGGGGAGGCATTGGACGATTGAGATTGACCACAAAATAAAATAAAATAAAGAGAATGAGATAATATTTTGTTAGAAATTACAAAAATGAAATAATATTATTCTTTTTCATTTTTTATCCATTCTCTTGTCACCTCTCACAATACCATATCAAGTACGGGCGCTCGCAAAAGAAAAAAAACAACATGGGACCTCTCAAAAGGCCTCATGTAGGTGTGCGTACATACATCGTTTAGTATGGGCGCTCGTCCTCGGGCTGGTACATGGGATCGTAGCTGCAAACCACATAGTTCTTTCCATCCTTGCACTTTGAAATGCCACATCCGACCTCGGTGGTTTTGCCCCATACCACAGCAAGGTAGTGGCCACATTCGTCTTTGCTTTTGAGGCATTTGTTGGACTTTTCGTCATATAACTCCTTCTCAGTGACCCAATACTTGGTGGCAGCTGCGCCGCTCATGCCGTCGCCGGAGGCCAAGTTCTCACCCCAACGTCCCCTTGAGTGCTCCATGGCGCAATCGCCAACTCTTTTATCGGCATATTCTTGGGCATACTGGGCCAAGGTCGTGTTCCACTTGAGGGGTTTGTTGCCGACATCTTTACGAGCCTTGTTGTGCTCCTCAACGAAGCCATCGATCTCTTCTTTGGAAATGTTTGCAGTGACAAGAGTGAAGACCAATGCGACGCAGCAGATGGCCAAAAGAAGCTTCGTGTTGAACGCCATTTTTGTTTCTTGATATGAGAAGTTTAAGGTCTTTTCTTTGTAGTAGAGAAGGTTGGATTGTTAGATGTTGATTGAAAGGGGGCATGGGATTGTGCATATTTATAGAGACACAGACAAGTTTGTGTCCGTAAAGAGGGTCTTCGAAAATAGGCCCTTAAAAATGGGAGGGCTGAATATTATTTTTGTGGATTCTATAGATTGCCATAGAGGAGGGGCCAAATAAAGAAAAGAAAGAAGAGATCCATAGAAATTTGTTTTGTCACATCTTTTGCGCTTGGAATGCGTCCCACACCAAGTTTTACTCACAATAAGGAGGGAAGACAATTTCTTTGTTGAGTTTCCTTTTTTTTTTTTCCTTAAAAAAGTAAGTTCTTCTTTTCTTTTCTTCTTTTCAGGTGAACTATTTTTTTTTTCTTTTTCTTTTTCTAATGGATAAGATGGAAAGAAGAAGTAACAGGGTAGAACATTATTGGGTGTCTTGAGGAATTCTTGGGTTTGATTTGTATCCGTTTCCAAAGGTGTCACACATTTGGAGATGGCAGTATAAATGCAAATTAATGGTTGTGTTGTTGAAAAATGTCATGGAAGGATAAGTTTCTAATTGAAGATGTTACTAAAACGTGAGTAAAGACTATGGCGCCACTCTTCTTGTAGAAAATTTTGATATATTTCTATAAAATTGGTGGTTTCCCAAAAAAAAAAAAAAAAAAAAAAAAAAAAAAAAAAAAGTAGATTTCTTTCCAAAGGTAAGAATTTTTTTATTTTTTATTTAATTCAAGATAAATAAAAAACTCATGTTCATGAAATTTGAATCAAGAAGTCTTTAACAAGTAAAAATTATACAAGCGATTGTTTAAACTAATCTAATTAATTTACGAAAAAGAAACATTATCAAGGAATAGCATATTACCACGGAATGAGCATACAATGAGTTATAAGTACTCAATATAAACTTTGTTCACCACATGGGGTTTTACAAATGAGAGACCCCACCTTCACGTGAACTCCACCCAATCATTATTTAGTCCAAAATACTGCTTTAATATCAACCAACAACATCCAATCTGTTCCAAGTTCCAGTCCACCATCTCTACTTCATCGGCTTGATCAAATGCCTTCCAATTCTAGTAGGGACGCTCGCCCTCATAGTTACCAGGAGGATCGTAGCTGCAAATGACAAAAACCCAATTGTTGTCACACTTAGCCCTAGCACAACCAAGATGAACCGAGTTCCGCCAAACCACCTGAGTGTAATGCCCACATTCATCCCCAACACATTTGTTGGAGCCGTAGTCGTAGTTTGGTTTCTCAGTCACCCAAAACTTCACGGCCTGAGCGCCCGTCATTTCTCCATAGCCTTCCGCCAAGTTTTCGCCGTAAGGCCCTCCCGAGTGCTCCATGTCACACCCTCTGATTCTTGTGTTGGCATAGTTCTGAGCGTAGGCTGCTACAGTGTCGTTCCATCGGACTGGACCGACGCCAACTGCTGCTCGAGCTCTGTTGTGTTCGTCGACGAAGTCTTGGTGGGGGTTTGAGGGGTTCGGGGCATAACCGACTTTTCGGGCTAGGGAGACTTGAGCGGCTAAGAGTAATGCAATGGAGCATATGGATAGAGAAAGGTTGCTAAAGGCCATAGTTGTATATCTTTGTGAAAGACCCAAGTGGAATGCTAGATAATCTTAACGCAAATGGGGCATGGGATGTTGGTATTTATAGAGAGAAGCTTAGGCTCAAACTCAAAGCTTGCTGTTAGACATCTTAAATAAAGAACAAATACACGCAAGGAGTCCGACATATGTATAGCAAACAGTTTATTGTAGAACAGGCCAGGCCCCACATTTCCCCCAGTGAACCAATAGTCCGTTGCCAATGATGTGAATCAGTTGGGAAAAAACAAAAAACCTAATAAACTAACTTAGTAACAACCAACCGAATAAAGCTACTTGGTACAAGGGCATATGCGCCTTTTGCTGCAAGATGCCCCGTGATACTTTTCTAAGATATAATTAATCTCTCTCAGTATGAATGATTGAATGGGATTAATTGTTGTTTAATAAACACGGCCGTCCCAAACTTGTCTTTTATTATTATTTTGGAGCCGAAACATATGCCAGAGATTCAGAGAGAAGCATGGAAATTTGAAGAATTCTAATTGATCATGTCAAGCTAAGTCACGCTTGGAACAGTAATCATGTGAATTTTCATGTCACTATCGTTACTTGAGGAAGAAAAGCCAATAACGCAACATCAGTTCTTGTTGCTAGATTTTCTTAGTGACTCTTGGCATTGCATTTCACAGATCCGGCAATGACTTTTTCTCACCCGTATAGTTTAATTATTTGTTATACGTAACTCAATTATTTGCCTTGTTTTTTTAATCAACCGAATACATGTGATACGAACTTTGAACATAGTCGGAAATGAGAAATGTCTAAATAAATTTAAAAAAAAAGAGGCGGTGGGACGAAGAAGAAGAAGAATAAGAAGAATGCTAGACAAAGTCACAAAATTCAGATGATACTTTGTATCTTGGATTGTATTAATTCAGAACCATGCTTGTTTTGCGGGGAGAGGAAATTTGGGACATGATATCAGGGCCACTTTTGTGCAACCAGACCTGGATTTCTTCCTTCCTTTTTTCAATCAATTATAGAGTTGAAACTTATGGTAAAGTAACGTTGAGAGTCACGGTATCAGCGGCCAATATTTTGCGGAGCAAATTGACCGCAAAACCAGTAACTTTATGTTGACAGAAGAAAGGACTTTTTATTCTTTTGATATCCCTTACCCTTTTTATGAAGACTGTCGTATTCTTTCTGATGTAAAAAAAATTGACCATGACTGTCGTATTCATTCTTTTGATATCCCTTACCCTTTTTATTCTTTTGATATCCCTTACCCTTTTAATAGAGCTACATGTTTTATTTTTTATTTTTGGTTTCAAGGAGACTTGAAGTCTAGAAAGAGGGAGGATAATATTGTCAAACTCATGATAATATTGTCAGTGGGTCTAGTCCAATAAAAAAGACCTTAACTTGTAGACAAATGGTCTCAAGATCAAACTTCCATGACACATTAGTATTGCAAATTTTTCAGAGCTTTGATTAGTCTAGCTTTGCTTTCCAAAATTCCAATGACGATTGTAGTACTACAAAGAGGATGATTCATTGCTAATATGCAGAGAAAAAAATTGTAGTTAAATGTATATATATCCTTGATCACAATCTAGCTCCAATAAGAGAAAGAACCCTCCAATCTGAGTAAATGGAGGCATTCACATATACTACGTACACAGTTTCAGAAAAGAAGAAGAAGAAAAAGAAGGGGAAAATAAAAGAAGAGACAAAGGGCAGAGGCGAGGTGAGAGAAGACTTCAAGAAGAAAAAAGAAATAGAAAATGACTTCTTAGAGAGAAAGAAACTGTTCTATGTGCATCTTCTCTAAATCTGTCAAGTGAAAGTTGTCCATTTCTTTCAAATGCATTAAAATGATCCAATGTCTTAAACTAAGTTTTCCATCCACAATGTCATCACTACTTTGAAAGGTAAATTCATATAATCACCTACATGAAACTCCAAGTTTCTTCTTCTCTAATAACCATAACTTTCTTGTCCAACACACAAGCTCAAAGCATATCATACAAATTTTGAATCACTGCATCACAGAAACTCTATCTACACAAACTACAAAAGTTCAAACCTTATGCATGACAACACAACCTTCAGTCCAAAAACATAGCTTTTGCATAGAATGCAGGGTAACCTAATGCTCTGATACCATATTGTCACACTCCAAATTCACTAAAAGAACAATTAGATTTATCTCATTACATAGCTGCATTTGAACTACCAAGATCTGCAAGTTTATCTAAACTAAACATAAACACTTCCATTTCCACATAGTGTATCCAAAAGTACAACATTACAATCCAAAGTCTCCCAAATCCAAAACATCTTCATTGGTGCAGTAAAAAATAATAAATGAGCCAATCTTCTATTCCTAGCTAATCTGAAATGGAAGAGGAAAGGGTGAGCTACAAAGCTCAGTTTGCAACTATATATGGCCACCAATGAGTATGAGGATCACAACTATATAATATCTCAAGATAGGAATGAAAAGAGTACACAAAACGAAACTGAACAATTCAAGGGCTGAGACACAATTCATAGTCAGAAATAAGAGAAACAATATCAATGAGATAGCTTCTATAATCCTCATTAGGGTTTCCAATGAGGCCATATTCCCATCATGGTCACACGGGCCTTATTACCAACTGGCCAAATGTCCTAACTCATTCAAAAGAAGGCATAAACATTGTAATTCAAAATGGTCTGAATCAATCACAAGTTCATATGCTATTCAATGTTCACTAGAGTTCCTTTAACAATCAAATGGAGGTGAACATATTTGAATTGGAGTATTAAACAAGGGTTTCATATCACAAGGATCAAATAGAAATGTTTAATACAAGGAAGTTCAAACGCTTGGATTGATTGAAGGAACAAAGCTAGAACCACAATAGAAACTTACGTGAAAAAATAAGTTGAGACTATAGTCTCCAAACACTTCAATATCTTCTTAATGAAGAAAGCAATCCTAGAGTTTCTTAGCTTCAGTTCTTCCTTTTCCTAGCAACCTAGAGCTATGTTTTCATTCTAACTACAATATCTTTACAGACAACTCGTTTGCTTTTTGGCTAAGGTTTGACGTTTAGCATGCCTAATTTTGAGCTTTGTTGGGCTTCATGTTGTTAGTGGGCTTTTTACATTGAGTGAGCTTTATGCATAGTTTGGCCATTGGTTGGCTTTTCTTTGGGCTTTTTTATTGTTTTTGTTAAACTAATTTATTGTTTAGCTTTCTTTTATGTTTCTTAATGAAACTTTATTTCTAAACGAAAAAATAAAGAAGAGATTTATTTATAATAAAAAAATTTGTGTGAGAAGACATTTTTGCCCATGCCAAGTGGGACTTGTCCATGCCACATCATCATTTTTAATGGAAAAGTTGACTGAGATGACCGAAATGATGACTTCTGAAAGTGGAGCACATAATTAAAGTACCACCGTAACAATTTAGCAACATGAGGGACAAAAAGTAAAGTTTGGTCTTAGTCCAGAGACCATTGCTACAATTTAGCCATAAATTTAATAAGGACCAGCAAGTGCACCAAAGCAAGAACAAAGCTAGACCAGAGGTAAGCAACAGAAAAACATGTATGAAACGGGCCACCTAGTAATTAATTTTGGATTAAAAGAAATGCAGTTGTTAATCGCTTGCCATTTTACATAGTTTCCAGATCACATCTTACAGGATCTTACTATGTCCTTGTGTTATTGAATCTTATCGATTTTGGTTCTCTTCATTGCAAATATATTCTACACTTGCTTTCCCTTTCCTCTAAGAGTCGTTTAGCATTTGATTTCTACCTAGTAATTGTAGATTACCAGAGAGTTAAGGGTTAATCGTTTTATTAGTCCCTGAACTTTGACCTGATTTGTATTTGAGTTCCTCAATTTCCAAAATGGTTCCTGTGGTCCTTTAACTTTAGTTTCGTTTGGACAAATGGTCATGCCTTCAATTTTGTTAACTTTTTTTGTTAAATGTAGGGGCAAAATGGTATTTTTTATATAAAAACCAAAAATGAAATAAAAAAAAATCATATCATATAACTATAAATAAATAAAAAAAAAAAAAATCAAATAAAAAAACAAAAAAAAAAAAAAAAAAAAAATCAAGTTGGGGGGGGGGGGGTAGAAATCGGGATAGAAGGGGAGAGAGAGTTTAATTTTAATTTTTTATTCATATTTTAATCAATTTTGATACAAAAATATCATTTTACCCCTGTACTTAACAGAAAAGTTAACAAAATTGACCGTAGGACCATTTGTCTTAACAAAACTAAAGTTAAAGGACCACAGGAACCATTTTGAAAATTGAGATACTCAAATGCAAATTTACAAAAGCCAATTTACTCAAAATGTTGAGCCCTCAAAATTGACGTTAGAAAATCCTAAGCGTCAATTTAGTTTGCTTTTTTAAATATATATATATTTTTTTATTTGAAGAAATGGTGCCATTTGGGTTGAAAAATGAAGGCGTGCCTTGATCTTTTCTTGCATAAACTTCTTCACGTTCACTTTCAAAATACTTATCTTAATGGTAGGGTTCGCAGCCGGCGGATTTTGAAAGTGCTTTTGGACTGCCTACAGTACCCAATCAAAGTTAATAGCTAATCAATTAAAAATTACCCTTATTAGTTTCTTTTACAAAAACAAAAACCATTGACGCAAAATAATAATGTTCGTACGATTTGGATTATATTTAGTTTTTTTTCTTTGTTTCAAAGAGGGCAAAAGAAGAGGAGAAGTTTTAATTGTTTTGTTTTGTACTTGTGTTAATTGTGTGTTGGTATTGTACTTGATAGCATTTGCTGTATCCAAATACCAATGAGATTTTTTTATTTTTTATTTTGAAAGAAGGGCGATAGCATTTTATTTAAAAGAAATGTGCGGCTCTTAATCCGAATTTATTAGTCTTAATCATTATAATCATTAGTAGCTTTCTATTTTGCTAACCTTTCTTTTCTTTTTTCTCCAAAGACTTTTCTTTGTTAGTGGTTGAGTTATTGTTTTCGTAAGATATTGAGAGGTTGACTGAGATCGTTTATAATATAGCGAATTTAGTCATGATATTTAATAATAATATATTTGATTACCAATCAATTTTTTCCAGTCATAATTCGAACTCACCAACTACAGTTACTCCATATAAACGATAGCATCCTTCTGCTGTATGCACGCAAGCCCCGCCACTAGCCTCTCCAGTTCGTAAGTATCATACTCTCTCTCTCTCTCTCTCTCTCTCTCTCTCTCTCTCTCATCAGCATATTCTGTTAAGAAGTGTTTGTTCATTTTTCTGAATCTACTTTTAAGTTAATTATTTTTGTAGTTCTGATCAGAAGACAAAATTAGATAAATAAAATTAACAATCTAACAAAGTGTGATCAGTTTCTTTGTTGCAGTTGTGTAAGAATTTATCCCACATTAATTTGCAGCCATGCCTCCTTCCCCTGCTTTGCAAGCAATTTCTGAATCTGCTGTTCAAAGGTGATTTATGATTATATATACAATGTTAAGCTCTGTTAATTTTATCTCTTATACATATCTTTATTTATGGATGAAATTAAGTGCAGTCATGAAGCAGATGAAAAGTATGGTGATGCCATGAACTGGGATGAACTTGAATTTGCAGTAATTCCAACAGATTACATGTTCATTATGAAATGTTCCAATGGGGATAACTTTTCACAAGGCCACCTCGCTCCCTACGGGAAAATTGAGCTCAGCCCATTTTCTGGAATCTTGAATTATGGACAGGTTATACATTAACTAGTCGCAATTTAATAATAGGTTCGAAGTATTGAAGCTTGTAGTTCTAGTGGTTAAAAGTATTTATCCCAATATGGTGGTGTCATTAGGGAGTATTAGAAGGTCTTAAAGCGATCAGGACCAAAGACGGTTGTGTTCAGCTGTTCCGGCCTGAAGAGAATGCTCTAAGAATGAAGATGAGTGCAGAAAGATTGTGTATGCCATCTCCATCTACTCACCAATTCCTCGATGCTTTAAAGCAAACTGTCCTTGCCAACAAGCGTTGGGTATACACATTTTCACTTTAGACCCTCTACTTTTGGATAATTGTCAATACTGTTTCACAGGGGTATTTATGAATTCTGAAATCTTTTTTTTATCACTTGGAAATATATGCATGCATAGGTACCACCTGAAGGGAAAGGAGCATTGTATATTAGGCCATTGCTCATTGGAAGTGGCCCTGTTCTTGGCCTCGGGCCAGCACCAGAATACACATTCCTAATATTTGCTACTCCAGTCGGTAATTATCACAAAGTAAGTAACTCATCCACCCATTACATATTAGGCTAAATTGTAACAATAGTCCGTAAGTTATACTCGAGTTGCATTTTCGTCCATACTCTTCAAAAATAGTTACAGCAGTCCTCCAATTATGCGCCGATGAGTTGCACCAATAGTAATTTCCTTCATGTATGTTAGTTTTTCTGCTAATTTGTTTCATATCAATTTTGTTTTTCTCATACTTTGAGGATCCCACCACATTTTGAAATGTTGTCTTCTAATTAAAACGACAATTGATTTTGTCCATGTAACAATAGCATGGCTCCACCATGAATTTGTACATAGAGAATGAGGTTCGAAGGGCCACACCAGGAGGAACTGGAGGCGTCAAAAGCATTACCAACTATTCACCTGTAAGTAAAACACGCAACTTGCATAATGAAAATGGATAGGACTTGGAATTTGGGACATGGGAAAAAACTTTTTTTATTTTATTTTAAAGATTAGATCTTATTGGGTTAATCTAAATAATTTTTGTTTTTGCTCCAATCCAATTTGCAATACACAACAGATTTTTGAAGTAGTGACGAAGGCTAGGGCCAAAGGGTTCTGGATGCAGCTTCTGGAAAAAATATCGAGGAGGTTTCTTCATGTAATATTTTCTTTGTGAAGGTATTATTGATGACACTTTTTTAAGGTTTGTTGTTGGTTTTTGTTTTTGTTTTTGTTTTTTTTTCTCTTGTTTCATATTGCATGTTCAAGTAACTTTCTGGGTTGTTAAAATGTTTTCAAACCAGCGAAAGGAAATAATAGCATAAAGAATGGTTTTCTTACCAATCGGTATGACATGTTAAAAATTGTATTCACAGTTTCACAACCTATCATGTGGGACTATAACAAAACAAGAGTTATCTACCAAGTATGTGATGAACAATTTTTTTTCACTGCTGTAGGATAATGTGATTTTAACTCCACGTACCAGTGGAACTGTTCTTCCAGGGGTCACAAGAAAAAGCATCACAGAAATTGCTCGTGATCTGAATTACCTGGTAACCACCCCTTGTTTTCCCCAAAGCATTATATTACTGCTTGGCTTGAAAAGCGATTCCATAAATGTGATTTATCATAGCAACCTCTAAAAGCATGTTTTTTAAAATTGGTTAAGGTGGAGGAACGTGATGTTCCACTAGAGGATGTGTTGGCTGCCGATGAAGTTTTCTGTACAGGAACTGCAGTGGAAGTCACTGCTGTTGCTAGTATAACACATCAAGATAAAAGGTAGATACATTTGTTTGAGAATGTTTTTGGTTTTGTCAAAAGCGTTTTTAATTATCTTTGACGAAAATAAAGTAGTTTGTTTGAGAGTGTTTTCAGATAGTGCTTCTGAGTTATAAAAACAAGCATTTCCGAGTGATTTTCGACATGCTTCTAATAAAAGCACTTCCAGTAAACGTGTTTTAGTACATCGAAATGGTTCAAATGAAACATATCGACAAAGTACTTGAATTTTTAATTAACAAAAACACTGCTGAGGAAAAGATTTCCTAAAAAAAAACACTTTGAAGCAGGCCACAAATACATGGGCATTTTCTAACTAATCCTTGGAATTTAATAGCTAAAAATGGATTATGTTGATGCAGAATCGAATACAGAACAGGGGAAGAAACTGTGTTCCACAAACTGCGTGTAGTGCTTAAAGGGATTCAAACAGGTGTGATTGAGGACAAGATGGGCTGGACCATGCTCATTGATTGAACAAGCTAGCTTCTTCATCTCCATATCTCATTGCCACTGAAGCTTCTTCTCTAGCTATGCACACAAAGATGTTCTTTGATTTCAAATTTTATTGCACACAAAGATGCTCAATTGTTACTGCAAGCACTAAATCTTGTTTTCTTTTTTGTCATAATATTGACTTTAATTTCCACCCTTATTTGCAAATAATTGAATCCACAAGTACTAATCTTGTGCATTATTAAACATTACTTGTTCAGAGAAAGTTTATTTCGACATTGATGTGGATTGAGAACAAATGGATTTCTTGTTGCCCTTTTTTTTTCCCAAAGTTCTTTTTTTTGGGACAATTCTATGGTTGCTTGAAAATGGGGAGTTGATACTTGAACCAAATTTCTTTGACAAAAAACAAAAACTTTTTTAAAAAAAAAAAAAAAAAAAAAAAAAAAAAAAAAAAAAAAAAAAAAAAAAAAAAAAAAAAAAAAAAAAAAAAAAAAAAAAAAAAAAAAAAAAAAAAAAAAAAAAAAAAAAAAAAAAAAAAAAAAAAAAAAAAAAAAAAAAAAAAAAAAAAAAAAAAAAAAAAAAAAAAAAAAAAAAAAAAAAAAAAAAAAAAAAAAAAAAAAAAAAAAAAAAAAAAAAAAAAAAAAAAAAAAAAAAAAAAAAAAAAAAAAAAAAAAAAAAAAAAAAAAAAAAAAAAAAAAAAAAAAAAAAAAAAAAAAAAAAAAAAAAAAAAAAAAAAAAAAAAAAAAAAAAAAAAAAAAAAAAAAAAAAAAAAAAAAAAAAAAAAAAAAAAAAAAAAAAAAAAAAAAACATCAACCCTTCACCATTTGAAGGACTGAGTTTCCAAACTACAATTTGATACGGCATAACAAATGTAATGGATAAATTATTTAAGCTAGCTAGCTAAGGGAAGATGGACTTCTCAATTCGAACAAGTTCTTTGGCCACATCAATCATTTTTGGCCTTTCTTCAGTTTGGTTTTGGATGCATGACAGTGCAAAGTGCTAAAAAATCCTGCAGTTGCTGTTGTGCATGCCCATCTGCCCCTACCTCCTGTAATATTTTAGGATCCACAATTGTCTGAATTTTGAGTCTGGCCATCAGAAACATGAAATTTCGGATTTGCAGTAGGTCCAGTCCTCCTGCTTGATTGCTATATGCATCTCTTCGCGTCAGGAGTACAAGGTAGTCGGGGTCAGTGTACCCAGATGCCCTTATTTTGTTATCGCCTTTGACATGGGATTGATCCCTTATGGAGAATGAAAAGTTGGAGAGTTTGGGAACATAGTCATCATCCAACAAATGCAGGTGGGATCTCAGATTCCTATGAAAGATGGGTCTAGAAAAGGTGGTATGGAGATATGTAAGTGCATTAGCAAGCTGCTTCGCAATATGCAATCTAGTTTTCCATGGTAACAAGGATTGACCTCCATTAGCCCACGCTTAAACTTCCATCATCCCTGAGAACTCCTTTTGCTGCATTTTCATGCACCAGAGCTGGTAGAGGGACTCTAAGCAGCAACCTAATAATTTCAAAGCATTCTTATGGGAGCTCATCTGCATTGATATCACGAATATCACGAATAGCACGAGACCTAACATCATCATTGTCCTTGTCATTCTTACGGATAATGTACTTCCTAATGATAATTGTTCGGTTGTCTAGAACACCATTGAAAATTTGGCAGTCTCCATCATCTTGTATGATGCGAGAAAGATCGAAGTTGTTGGTAGCCCTGACGAGCTCAGCAGCTGAGTAAGAGCGAATAGGTATCCCTCTAGTAAGAGGCTTCCGTTATCCAAGAATGATCTCTCTCTTTCCTTGTTGTTCTTGCTTGAACGTGGAAACAATGAGAACCTAATACATACATATATAGGTAAAAACACAAATGCACAAGAATGAATAATTACAACCACAGTTGCTTTCATTTTGTTCTTTAGAAATTCACATGAAATCCAAAGATATCACATAAAATTTTGAAATAATCGTATAATTAAATCACAAGAAAAAGAAAAAGAAAAGAAAAAAAAAGAGCGGGGGGCCGTGAAGATGAGCAGACGAAGGGACACACGCATTGGCTCTTGGTTGGAGAGAAAGGAGTTAAAAAAAAAATTGGGTTGGGTTTCAGCCCCATCTACGACATGGACGACATAAAATAAAAACACACTTGAATAGCCTATTTCGTCTTACAAACTACAAACTGGTAAGCTCTTCTAGATCCACATGCATAGTAAATGTAGTACATAAATTAATTAAGCTAGCTACTAGCTAAGGCAAGATAGACTTGTCAATTCGTACAAGTTCTTTGGCCACATCAATCATATCTGGCCTTGCTTCAGTTTCCTCTTGGATGCACAACAATGCCAGTGCTAGGAAATCCTGCAGTTGCTGTTGTGCTTGCTCATCTCCCCCGACTTCCTCAAGGATTTTAGGGTCCGCAATTGTCTCTATTTGAATCTGTCCATCAGAAACATTAAGTTTTCGGATCTCTAGTAAGGTATTGCCCTCGCACATTCTTGCTTTTCGTCGCATCAAAAAATACAAGTAAAAAACCACACCAAAGCTATAAACATCAGTTTTTCTCTGAACTTATATATGTGTTTGGTAATAGGGTCCATGTACCCCACTGTCCCTCTTGGGAAATCTTCAACATACAATTGGTCAGGAGGAATGGTTATGGACATGAAAAGTCGAAGAGTTTGGGAACATAGTCATCGTCCAATAAAAGCAGCAGGATGATACACACCTATGAACGATGGGCTTGGAAAGGCAGTATGTAGGTATGTAAGTGCACTAGCAAGCTGCTTTGCAATACGCAGTCTGGTTTTCCATGGTAATAATTCATTATCCGCTACTAAACTTCCATCAAAGTTGAGACCTCCTTTTCCTGCATTTTCAAACACCAAAGCTGGCCCATCGAACTCTAAGCAGCAGCCTAATAATTTCAAGGAATTCTTATGGGTGCTCATCTGCATTGATATGATAATATCACGAATAGCCTTGTCGACATATGTTCTTAATGATAACTGTTCGGTGGTCTAGAATAGCCCCTGTACATGTTGAACTGTACTAATCATCTATACGCAAGAACGATCAAAGTTTTTGTAGCTCTGATGATCTCAGTAGCAGAGTAACAACGAATAGGATGAGATTTTCCATCACAAGAAGCAATTAGATCCTTAGTAACATGCTTCCATTCTTCAAGAATGATCTCTTTCTTTCCTCCTTTTCCTCCTTTTCCTCCTTTCGCTTTACACGTGGAATGATTGAGAACCTGATATATAGACACACACAAGAGCGCACACAACGCACAAAGGAATGAATAAGAAATGGATGAAATGAAAATAAATAATCTCTCAAGAAAAGACATAGCATTAGCACCCACACTTTGCTTTCATTTCGTTCTTTAAACTTTACATGAAATCCAAACAGATCAAATCTCAGCTTTCTTACAAACTGAGAAACAATAATAATACTCTGTTTTAATGGATGGAAGAAAAAACAAATACTTGTCCTGCCGCTTTCATCATATTCATAGATTACTTTGATTTACAACAAAAATTTGGGCTTCAGCCGCACGAAAATTTGGACTTACTAAAAAAACCTTGAAGGAAAGGAAAGCTATATATTTTTGTTAAACGATTAAACCCGGGAAAAAAAAAAAACTTACAAGGCTTTGGATGCCATTGTTTACACTTGAAATTTCTGTGTTTAGGCACACAGGCCCCTTAGAACTGGACTCGGATTGCCCCAAAGTAAACAGTAATTTGTTGATATCTCCTCCCTGTATGCCGCAGATTTCGTGGTCAAGCAACGGTAATTTGTATAATCAAATTGGAAGATGCATGGCAGCTGCGCCCAACTGAAGGGTAGACCTCTTGACTCGACATGATTTATAGTCATCACCCTTTTCCTCGTCCTTGTCTTTTCCGTGTTCCTACCTTCCCCCAAACAATCACCTTTTGACTTGAAGAAAAAATTGCAATATCAAGAAAACCTCAAATAATGAGAAAAATCTACATCAACTTCCAGGAAGCTGCGGTTCACTAGTAACAAGTTAACTGAAATAGTTCTATGTGGCTCTTTCTACTTTATACATAGCAAAGAAAGCACCTGCTAAGAGCCTTTCCACCGCTGCAGCCCAGCCGAGGCTAGGGGAAAAAAAAAAAAAAATGGCGTTCCAGCGGAGCAGCCCAGGCCCGGGGGGGGGTGCCTCCTCGGGCTGGCCCGAAGGCAACTTCTGCCTGAGGTCCAAAACGAGGGGGTTACTGTACAGCGCTACAGTATCTGCTACAGTACCCCGGCTACAGTAC